CACCGCCTCCCCTCTGCCGCGGCGGCGGCGGCTACAGCCACGTCGACGTCATCGTCGTCGGGCGTCCTACCTTCCTCCGCCCACCCTGGCCTCGGCCCAGCAGCGGCCCGCGGCGGATTGGCCCGCCTCGGGTCTGCGAGTCTGGCCCTCCCCCACCACCACCACCACCACCAGCAGCAGCAGCAGCAGCAGCAACACCACCACCACCAGCAGCAGCAGCAGCAGCCCGGGACTGGCCTGTCCCTCGCCCTCGGGCACGCCTCCGCCTCCACCTCCTCGGCTTCGGTGGGGGGCTCCACCACCACCACGACCACGACCACGACGACGACCATCCACCTCGGTGCCCTCCCTTCTCCTCCCGCACTGCAGGCGTTAGCCTGCGGTTCGCCTGCCGCCGCTGTCCGCGCCAAGGCCCAGCACCAACCCACTCCTGTTCCATGCGGACCCGTCACGCCGGGGCTCTCGCATCGCGCGACCCACCTCTCACCTCTCTCCGCGACGGCTGGCGGTGGTGGTGCCGGTAGTGGATTCACCGCCACCATAGCCGCCGCCGCCGCCAGTAGCAGCAGCTCCATCGCCCTTCTGCACCGCACCGCCGGCCGGGGAGGACACGTCGTAGCCCCTTCGTCCTCGTCGTCGGCCTCGTTGTCGTCTTCCTCGTCACCGGCGGCGTTGTCCTCTGTCACGTCGGCGGCTGCCTCGTCGTGGCCGCTCAACCTCACGCCGCTCAAGCCGCCCACTCTCTCCGCACCACATCCCGCCCCGCCAGAGGCGGCTGCCATCGCCACCACGCAGGCGGCGCCCCAGAGCTCCTCCACGCCGCTCAAGGGCAAGCTGCCGGACCACCACCACCACCACCAGCCCCCCACCTGACGTGACCAACAAAGACCTCCCTCGTACTACGTGGCCCCGCGGGTGGGAGGCGGGCAGGATTCCTGTTCCGCGGCAGCCAAGGAATGCCAGGGGGGGGGGGCGAGAGATAAGGAGGGATCCGCCAGTGGCGGCACGTTTCCGTTTTTTGCCGGTGGTCCCCGTGTGGCGTGGTCGACAAGCCAGGAGTTTTCCGCGGGGGGGGGGGCGGTAACGGAGAAAGGTACAGACCTTCTTTTGCTTTTGCATCTTTCCCTCATCTTCCCCTCGTCACGCCACACCATGCAAGCCCCTTCCCCCGCCCCCGCCCTCGAGTACGTGCTCTTGCTTGAGAGGGCAGCCTCTTGCTCAGCAGCTTCCCTCAAAATGCTTTGCTGTTGACGGACCAACGGGGAACACAGAGAATCGACGGAAAAGAGAGTTTACTACGACGCCGTGTCTGCCATCCGGTGGAGTCCCCTCATTCGCCTCAATAAACTCTCCGCCCAGTATGAGTGCGAAATATGTTCGTATTCCCTCGCCACCATCTCCTCATTTGTTGGCGTTGTCTCTTTACATCTTTTTTTTTGCCTTTTGTGCTTTGCACAACATTCATCTTCCTTTTTATCGATGCGTTTGTCACCATCTGTGTTTCATAATTATATTATTATTATTATTATTGTTATGCAGGGGCCAAGTGTGAGTTCATGAACCCGGGAGGATCGGTTAAGGATCGCATCGGCAAGCAGATGATTCTCGACGCCGAAGCGAGCGGCCGCATCAAGCCCGGCGATACGTTGATCGAACCCACCTCCGGCAACACCGGCATTGGGCTGGCGCTCACGGGAGCCGTGCGGGGCTACAACATGATCATCACCCTGCCCCAGAAGATGTCCCAGGAAAAGGTTCACCTTTCTCGCCCCACCCACCCACCGATACCGCGGTTCTACACATATCACATACCTATATATATATATATATTTTAAATCTATTTAAATATATCAAGAAATATGTGGTCGTCAAGAGACCATGGACGGGGATGGGCCTGACCAAAGCACTGGCGTGTGGCGTGTGGCGTGTGGCGTGTGGCGTGTGGCGTGTGGCGTGTGGCGTGTGGCGTGTGGCGTGGTGCAGGTGGCGGTGCTCGAGGGGCTCGGGGCGCGTATCATCAGGACGCCGACGGAGGCGGCGTGGGATGCGCCCGAGTCGCACATCGGGGTGGCGAAGAAGCTGCAGGGGGAGCTGTCCAACGCGCACATCCTGGACCAGTACGCCAACCCGTCCAACCCGAAGGCCCACTACGACAACACGGCCGAGGAGATCCTCGCGCAGACCGACGGGCACGTGGACTACGTGGTCGTGTCGGCCGGCACCGGCGGCACCATCACCGGCATCGCCAAGAAGATCAAGGAGAAGGTGCCCCACTGCCGCGTCGTCGGCGCCGACCCCGTGGGCAGCATCCTGGCCGGCCCCGGCCCCATCCTCCCCTACCGCGTGGAGGGCATCGGCTACGACTTCATCCCCGACGTACTCGACGCCGGCCTCGTCGACGAGTGGGTCAAGACCGAGGACAAGGAGTCCTTCCTCCTTGCCCGCCGCCTCATCCGCGAGGAGGGCCTCCTCGTCGGCGGCAGCTGCGGCTCCTCCCTCTACGCCGCCCTCCACGTCGCCAAGAAGGCCAAGAAGGGTACCCCCACATACACCCCGTACACTCCATACACTCCATACATCACACCACACACCATACACCATACAGCACACCCGCACGCACGCACCCCCCCCCGTCGTGTGACGGTGACAACGTCAGACTGACCCTCGCGAGTCACGTTTGCGGTTTGGCTGGTGGTGGCTGGTGCACACCACCACATCAGGCGAGCGTATCGTGGTGGTGCTGGCGGACGGCGTGAGGAACTACATGTCCAAGTTCCTGGACTCGAGGTGGTGCATCGACCTGGGCTACATGGAGCCGCCGGCCAACGAGCACTACGGACAGCACACCGTCGCAGACCTGCGCCTCGACTCGCCGCACGCCCTCCCGCCCACGGCCACGCTGCGCGACGCCCTGGCCTTCCTGCAGTCCCACCCGGAGGTCACCCACCTGCCGGTCATCTCCGAGGCCAAGGGCCTCGAGGGCGTGGTCTCCCTCGACTCGCTCACCGACGCCCTCCTCGCCGCGCCCCCGTCGGCGCCCTCGCCGCCCGTCACGGTCGCCTTCCTGGCCGAGTTCCGGGAGATCCCCGCCGACCTGCCCCTCGCGCAGCTCCACTACACCCTCCGCAAGAACGACGTCGCCTTCGTCACCCACCGCGCCTCCCCCACCGCCCCCAAGGCCCTCCGCGGCATCGTCACCAAGCGAGACCTTCTCGCCTTCCTCGCCACCGCCACCAACAACACGCCCTCCTCCTCCTCCAGCTAGAGGCCCCCCTTACCCAACTTTCTTCTTTCTCCCGCAAAAAAACATTTTTTAACATTTTTTAAATCCAATTTTGCGCACGTGGCGGCACATGCAGCAGCATGGGGGAAGCCAATGGGTAGTGATCTCAAGGCTGTACACTCAAGGCTTCCCCTGTCCCTGTACCCACCACTTCACAAGGAAGGGTGGAGGGGCTGCCAATTTACACAGCAATGCAGATCATTGTAGTGTATTGGGGCACATGCTGACTGGTGCATGGAGCATGACAGGTGGATGGCACATGCTGACCACTGCATGGAGCATGACAGTTGTGTGGCACACACCAACTGCTGTGCAGTGCCTGCATGGCATGTGTAGACACCCATGTGCACAATGGGTGTACAGCACACAGTGATTGCTGTGTGAAGTATGATGGGCATGCAGCACACACTGACAGCCACACACAGCATGACAGGCATAAAGTGCACACTGACCACTGTGCAGAGAGTGATTGGTGCATGGCACATGCTGGCACATGCCAACTGCCACACAGAGCACAACCACCACAAGGAGCATGACAGGCGCATGGTGCATGCCAACTGCTCATTGGAGCACAATGGGCACATCACATACACCAACCATTGCATGGAGCATGATGAGTGTGTCACATGCTGACCACTGCAGAGAGCATGACAGAGGTGTGGCACCTGCCTCCAAGAACACCCTCCCCTTTGCCAAAGCAAAACCCATGCTACAGTACTCCCACCCATGCAGGGTTTAGTTACACCTGTATTGCAGGGAATCATGCCTGGCCTGGCATGAGGGCATAGTGGCGCCCCTCCACCTCATGGAGGTGAGGCTGGAGTGTGTTTATGATGTCCTTGTACGAGGTTGCAGTGATGTGTACTGCCTTGACAGCAGACCCCTCAGTGATGCACATCTCCTTGAACACACACATGACCTGGATGAGCCACTGATTTGTGTTCCACCTATCATAAAGAAACAGTAGGTCAAACACACCATTTTCATGTATGTGACAACAAAAACTGTAAAACTGGACACTTACTTTATTGTGTACATGTGTGATGACTATGTGTTGACAACACAAAAATGGTGGTTCTTAATGGTTTTAATTTAAAAATAGCAAGACAAAATTGAGAGCATCTTGATGGCAGATTAAAATACCTTCTGTTCTTGCTCCTGCTGCTCCTGCTCCTCCTGCTCCTGTGGTGCTTGTGTCAAGATCCACTGCTGTGCTTGTGCTGGTTGTTGTGGGCACTGCTGTGTGTGCAGATGTGGGTGTAAGCCTCAAGACTTTGCTTTCTCTTGTGTGATGGTTCTGCACATGGGGTTGTGGAGGGCTGGGCCTCTCACTTGGTTGAGTACCTGTGCAGGGGTGCTAGGAGCTGATGCCATGGAGGTCAAGGAGGAGCAGGGTGAAGGTCAAGAAGAAGTTGAGGTACTGGATGAGGTGAGTTGATGCACCACAGTCCAGGCTGCTGAAATCCAGGACACAATGTCAGTTGGATTGGAGTGAATGATGATGCTGTCAATAGCACTTGTGATGATGTTGGTCTCAGATTCACATATACCACCAAGTCAAATGAACAAAATACAGACTCAGTTGATGCACTTGAGGAGCAACATGGCCACTTTGGGTTCCACTTCTTGATGAGGAGGGCTTCTTGTAGGCCATGAGCTTGGGAATCTTGGCAATGTGACCAGCAGCAACTCTGGATTGAACGTACAGCACTTGTTTGCTCAACTGATGAAGATGGTGTAGAGTCCTGTATGAGTATCATACACAATGGGTTGTCAGCAAGGAGGTTGAGAAGAGCTGCCATTTCCAGCACATTGGTTGTCAGGATGCATCAAAGCAGTCTGTGTGGTGAGACAGGTTAGTAATCATACACATGAGCCTTGTTTCAGAGAGGTCATACCATATCAATTCAGATTGGTGTAACCCACCATTTGGTTCAGCCTGTGCTGATCCCAGTGGCAAGTAGATGCATCAACAGAGATGTCACACAGGACAATGTCAACTAGCTTGGGATTTGCACAAGTGACCTGGAGATGTTCAATGCACTTGCAGAGGTCCTTCCAGTCAGATTTGGTCTCATTGGGTGTTCTTGCTGGTTTGAAAGGCTCTTCTGCTGAGTCAGTGGATTTCCTCTTCCCTTTGGCCTTCTCTTTATGTTTCTCCTTTTCTTGAGCTTTCTCCTTCTCCTCTGTCTCCTTTCAAAGCCTCTCCTGCAACTCTGTAATAACATCTTCCTTCTCAAGGTGGTGTCTGGATTGCTGAGGATCCAAAGAAGTTTCTCCTCCCTACTCATTGTCAGAATGCCCATCTCATTCCTTGACATAGAGAGAACTCTGCATCCTCTAGCAGTCACCAACCAGTGAGTGCCACTCTTCATCATTTGGTCAATGTCAATCATCACAGCAGTCATCTTCACATGATCTGCACCATTTTGCTTGAGCAGGCCTCCTGGCATGGAGAGCTCCTCTTCTGTGGGCTAGGAGGAGATAAATTGGTAAAAGTGCTATCAGGTGAAGGTATGCATTAGAATGTCCTGCAGTTTGGGAGCATAACCAGCTTCATAAAGAGTAAGAAAAGCATTCTGGAGCTTCAACAGCTCCTTGTCAGTGGCCATGGCAGATGGCAGTGTGACTTGCTCCTCTATGGCAGGTCTTGTTTGGGCTGTCCCATCAACCTGAAGGAAGTACAGGATTGGTGAGATTTATGAAGGACTACATTTCATTCCAAATAAAACACACATACCTCTGGTGCTGAGACCAAATCTGGTGACATCTCCATGATGGAGCTGGCTCCAGTGGTGCTATTTTTCTTGGCTTCTTCTGTCAGCTGAGTGTTGAGCATTATCTGCAATGAGAATATGTCAGTTATTCTATCATGTACACATATGTGATAGATTACTTATATATAATGGTGGTTATAATTGCTTTCCAGAGTCAATGTTCTGGAAGAGAAGAGAAAGAGGCAGTATAAGGAAACAACAGATACTGATGGCAAACAGAAAGGATGAAACAACTGATATGCTGATGGCACAACACACAAACTGAAATGATAACATAAAATAGTTTTATTGTATATTTAAAAGGATATTTCATCATGTCACCACGAAATTGTATCAAAGAATGCTCATAAGATTTCATTGTGTATGTGTACATGATGGGATGGTGTGTACCAATTCAGTCAGTTTCATCTTGTTCTTCTCCACCTCCACCACACTTGCAAAGTAATTCTGCAGTGGAAGACACTCTAATCCATTAATAACATTACTGCACATGTTTTGAAGATTGACTATTGCACCAGCTTCTGCCTTGAAAGGACAACATCCAAGCTTCCTCCACTAGGTGTTTTCAAGTATCACATCTTTCATTATGATGGACCCTTTACCCCAACTTGATCTTGCTCCATATGTGTGATAAGCCATACCACTGCCAGGGTGAGTGGTCAATGCCCTACCAACTGCTGAGTTCACTCCCAATTGGTTCCTACCACCTCCACCACCACCATGCTTTCTTCTGTTGCCTGCCATCTCAACCCTTTGCTCCAGGTGTTCCCTGGACTCTCCCACCCTTGGTCACAGATGCTGAGATTTCTCCAGAGCTGTTTTCCCACTGCTCTCAGCCTCTCTTCACCTCTTCCAAGGAGTAGTAGGACACACTGGACCAACATCAGACTGAAGCCACATGCTGTCCCCACTCTATTTGATTCCCTCACCCCACACTTCTGCTTCCCAGCTAACTGATAATGCACTCACTTGCTTCCAAACATGTGTGCAGGTAGCTCATCACTGACATCCTCAAGCTGCCCAGCACTTTGTCTTCACACCTGGCATCCAGGACCGAGAGGATGAATGGCGCTGCGCAAGAAAAAAGAAGAAGAAAAAGAAAAAAAGCCAAAAAGAAAAAGGACAAAAAAATCAAGCACAAGAGAGCCTACCATGGAGGAAGAAGACAAGGTAGCAGGGGCGGCAGGGCCAACAGGCAATACGCCGCACCGCCACCGCCACCGACAGCAGGAGGAGGAGAAGCGCGAGGAGGAGGAGGACGCGGTGGAGCAAGCCCTGAGGGTGCTTCTGGAGCTGCCCCCTCCGCCCAGCGCCCTGCCGGCGCCCCCGTGGCGCCTGCCCTTCTCTGCTGCCGCGGTGCTCCGCCACCAGCAGCACCAGCAGCAGCCGGCGGCGGTGGCGGAGTACGCAGGTCCCCTCGAGTACCTGCTGGCCGTGGCGCGCCTCCTCCCGCGACCGCCAACCCCAACTGCGCACTCGACGGCCGGCACGCCTTCCTCGGGCGGGGTGTCCTCCTGGCGCCGCCCGCCGCCCCACCAGCCCCAGCCTCAGCACCGCCAGCAGCCGCGGCATCGGCAGCAGCAGCAGCAGCAGTCCGTACGTGTACAGGAGGAGCACGAGGAGCGGCGGAGGCGAGAGCGACAGCAGGCCGCCTTCTGCCAGGCCGCTCGCACCTGTCTCGCGCGCCTCCCCTCCGTACGGCGCCTTCCTCCCTCCTTCCCAACGCGTAGTACCTAGCCTGCTCCTCACCGACAGCTGCGCCTTTCGTGTGTGTCGTGTGTCCGCTGGTGGTGGTGGTGGTGGTGGTGGTGGTGGTGGTGGTGGTGGCCTTGTGGTGGCCTGGTGGGTGGTGCAGGAGGGCGTGTGCCTGAGCGAAGCAGAGGAGCTGGTGGGCGTGCTGCGTGGCCTGGCCGCCGTGTCCGTGGTGGCGGCGGAGGCTCTGCACGCCCTGGGCCTCGTCCTCCTCGAGCGTGGCCCTGATCTCTTCGACAAGGTCCCCTCCACCCCCATCCGCCCGCCCGCCCGCCCATGTCACTCAGAGGCGCAGGACGCGTCTTTGTGCTCACCGTGCCGTGTGTGTCGTGTGCGTCGCGTCGCGTGTGTCGCGTCGCATGTGTCGCGTGTGTCGTGTGACATGTCTGCGCGGACTGGGAAGCAGGGGCTGGTCGAGGAGCTGGTGGGGTGGGCGCAGAAGGCGGAGGGAGGGCTGGAGGTGCAGCGGATGGCGACCAACTGCCTGGCCAACGTGTGCGTGCGGGGCGGCAACCGCCTCCTCCGCCACTATCCGCTCGTGTGGGCCACCCTCCGGCACAACTTCGGCGTATTCCACGCGCGCCTCGTGGCCCCGCACCAGCACCCCTCCCCCGCCCTCTCCAAGGTATCGAGCCCCGCCACCAGCTACCAGCCACCACCAGCCACCACCGACATGGGCAGCAGCAGCCACACTCACGGCGGTGGTGTGCGGCGCCGGGGATGGCAGGCGCTCTGCAGCACGATGCGGGGGCTGCAGGTGGTGCTCACAGAGTGGCGACGGGCGGGGGAGCGAGAGGTGGGTCCGCTGCTGATCTCCCTCTGGCCTCTCTCCCTCTACGGCACGCCCCGCTGGCCCGGCGGACTCACCGCCACCGCTACAGCCACCGGCGGCAGCAGCAGCACGACCCCGGCATCTCCCGCCCTTCTCCCCCCTCGCCCCCGCCCGGATGGGGCGCCGCCGCCTCCATGCCCACCGGCACCACAACTACCGGCAGCCCCCCTCTACCACCAGCACCAGCACCAGCACCAGCACCAGCACCAGCACCAGCACCAGCACCAGCACCAGCACCAGCACCAGCACCAGCACCAGCACCAGCACCAGCACCAGCACCAGCACCAGCACCAGCACCAGCACCAGCACCAGCAGCAGTACCAGCCGTCGTCCGACTCGGAGGGCTCTGACGGGGAGCACGCTAACCCGTACGGGTACGGCCTTCCCTTCCACCACCTTCCACCACCACCACCACCCCCTTTGTATGGCGGCAGCACACATCTGCTGGCTCTGCCCTGGCCGCGCCGCCTCCTCACGCACATCGCGGGGTGGCCGTGGCCGTGGCCGTGGCGGGGGGTGGCGTGAGCAGGGCCGGATGGAAGGTGCGCTTCCACGCCCTCGCGTGTGTGCAGGCCATCGCTCGCCACTGTCCGCGCGTCTTCACCGCACACTCCAAGCCCTACCTCCCCGATTCCGATTCGACCCGGCGCACCTCCCTCGGTACCGAGCCATTTTCCTCCCCCGACCCATCCGACCGGAGGACTGAATGCATGTATGCACGCGCGCCTCGGCTGTGTGACGTGTGGCGTGTGACGTGTGTGTTAGTGGGCGTGATGCGGGAGGACGGAGCGCATCGGGTGCGGGGCGCGGCGGCAGCGGCTCTGGGGGCGGCTCTACATGCTTGCCGGCCCTACCTGCAGGCCGCTGCCGACGAGCCCGGCGGGACGGCCAAGAGCTCGGCTCCCCTCCAGCGCTCCTACACGCCCCTCTCTCGCTCTCTCGCCGCCACCGTCCGCCGCATCCACCTCGTACGTCACAACTCCCTTCTCTTTCGCTATAGATAAATAGATAAGATAGGTAGATAGATAGATAGACTAGAGAGATAGATAAGATAGGTAGGTAGATAGATATTGAAGGGAAAAAACGAAATATCGCGGGCATGGTGGTGTGGTTCGTTGTACCGTCTGATGGCGGGTGGTGGGGATCATCATGATGGGGTCCAGGCCGTCTTTGCGTCGCTCGACGAGGAGGGCGATGCCGGGTGTCTGGTGCAAGTGCTCAGGGCAGCCGCGCAGCTGGTCGAGAGCGTCCCCTACCAGCGCCTCACCCCCGGTTACGCCCAGGCACGTACCACGCAACCCCTCCCCCTGCCGTATCGTGTGTGCGTGTGTCGTGTGTCATGTTGTCGTGTGTCGTGTCGTGTGTGGCTGGGCCGACGCTCATGCCACGGGGGGGGGGCGAACACTCAGGAACTGCTGGGGCGGTTGGATGGGCTGCTGCTGCTCCGGCGCGGCAGCGAGCCCGTACGGGCGGCGGCACTCGGTTGCGTGGGTGCCGTGCTGGGCGCCATCGACGAGGCCACGGCCGCGCGCGAGCTCGTGCCTTTTCTCGCCTCGCTCGATGCCTCTCCGCACGAGCAGCAGCAGCAGTGTGAAGAGCCGCGGCCCGAGGGGCGCGGGGTTGGCGCGGTGGGTGCGGGACTGGTGGGGGGCACCGTCGTGGAGATCGCGCTTCGGGGCTCACTGCTCGAGCGCGCGGCGGCCCTCGACGTGCTGGGGCGGCTGGGGCGAGTGTTCCCGCTGGCCCGCCACCTGTGGCCGCACCCGCTCCTGCCCGTGTTTGTCGCCGCCCTGCGCAGCCCGGAATCCTCCGTCCGCTACCACGCCCTCTCCGCCCTGGCCAACCTCACCAGGCCCCCCAAGGCACCCACCGCCCCACCTCCACTACTCACCACCAATGCCCCCCCCCCAATGCGCCAGTTGCGCTCATGCTCACTATTGTGTCGTGGTGTGTCGTGGTCTGTCGTGTGTCGTTGGCCCCTGCAGGCAGCCAAGAGCGGGAGCGACCACCACGCCTCAGAGTATCAGGAGGGGGAGGGGGAGGAGGAGGAGGAGGAGGGGAATGCGCGGGTGTGGCAGGACGTGCTGCCGGCCAGCCCGCTCCACGCCCTCTTTGCCGATTCGAACCCGTCGATCCGGGGCGCCGTGGCCTCGTGGCTGGCCAACATGAGCCCCCGGGCCTTCGCCTCCCTGCCCGTACGCACATCTCACACCACCACCCCACCATCACGTGCCCGCGCGTTGCATGGGTCCTGCCCACGCGGAGCGCTGAAGCCTCCGGCGTGTCCGCGCGCGCGTGCAGAAGGGCACCCAGCTCGCTTGTCTGCCGCTTCTCCTGTGCGCCACCGCCGACTCGGCGGCCTCTGTGCGGGCCGCCTCGGTGCGCACGCTGGGCGTGTTTGCCCTCTTCCCGTCCCTCCTCCAGGTACCCACCACCACCGCCACCACCACCACCCGTCGCGCCCGTGCGTGCCCGTGGTCCCGACCAACCCCATTCCCTTGCTTCCCGCCAACACACACATGATACGCGCATGGTACGATACGTATCGTGTATGCGTCGTGTATGCGGTGTGTGTGTGTGTGTGTGTTAGGACCTCTCCTGGATCTGCGATGCCGTGGAGGCTATCCTGGCTGCTTTGCAGGATCCCCAGCTCCCCGTGCGGGTACGCGTGCATCCCCTACCCCGCCACCCCACACACAACCACTGGCTGCGGCGCTGCTGATATCCGTCGCAACCACCTGTCTCTCTGTTTTTGTTTATTCCCCGTCCTCCTCTCCAATCTCTGGTGTGTCGTGTGTGTCGTGTGTGTGTCGTATGTGTCTCGTGTGTCTCGTGGGGGATGTTAGACGCGCGCCTGCTGGTCGTTGGCCAACTTCTGTCAGGTGCTGGTATCGCAACAGCAGCTGGCGGCGGGGGAGGAGGGCGCGGGGGCGGCGGCGGAGGATCTCGAAGGCGAGAGCGATCCGCTGGGGGACGCCACGAGGAGGGAGATCGCGGGCAAGGCCATCGAGGCGGTGGTAGCCGCCAGCGAGGACCACCACAAGGTGCGAGCCAACGCCGCTCGCGCCCTCGGGCACCTGGCGCCTCTCATCGAGTTGCGGCGCCTCGTGGCGGCCCTCCTGCACTGCCTCCAATCGAGCCTGCCCAAGGCCCGCTGGAACGCGTGCTACGCCCTCGCCAGCGCCCTGAATTCGGCGAATGCGCAACCCCGTCAGCCGGCATGCCCCGCCTCGACCCTGGCCCCCATGTGGCACGCCCTGGCCGCCCTCCTCCACGACGCCGCCCACTTCAAAGTCCGCATCGCGTACGTGCCCCCACCTCCCTCCGCACGCACACCACAGCCGCTATTTATATTTACATTTATATTTACATTTATATTTACATTTATATTGAGAGCTAATGCGCTCCACGACCGGGCCACCTGCAGAGCGTGCGTGGCGGTCTGTGCTGCGCAGGGGCGAGGGGCCTACGGTACCACCTATCTCGACCTATGCGAGGCCTTGCTCCGCGCCATTCTGGTCCGCCCTCTCTCCCTCCCCCCTCTGTCTTACCCCCGTGGTGGAAGCTTGCTTCTTGGGGAGAGCACCCATTCGGTGGTGGGCCATCATCAGCTGAGCCGGCTCTCATCACCGTTTGGCGCGCCGTTGGTTGGGGGCCGCCACCACCACACACGGGCGTGGTGGGCACCCTTGTGCAGACCTTCGACGAGGCGTCGGGAGAGAGCAAGCTCGACTTCCGCTACCGCAGCACGCTCCAAAGCCGGCTCGTCGACACCCTCACGCACCTGCTCCTGCTCTGCGACGCCTCGCACGACGTCGGCCCGCTCCAGCGACTGCTCCACGGGCACGCGGAAGCCCTCCTCGACTTCGCCGTCCAGGTACGCGTTGACAGCGAAGACGAGGACCTGTTTGCATGGGGCCCCAGTCTCTGACCCACGACCGCCGCAACGTTTGTGCCGCAGGCGCAGACTCGGCAGACCATCTCGCGCGACTCGCCGGAGACTACCGAGCTGCCGCAGGAGAGTGCGGCCTCCCGCCTGCGCGCCGCTTTGGCCGACCTGACCGGGATCGTCGCAAGCTTGCCGTCGTCCTGCTAGAGCAGCGGGCCTGGCGCAGCGACACGCGGGGGCCGTCAGAGGTGGGTGGGCCAGCAAGTCCGAATAGCACCAATGCACTACTGGGAATGGGGAGTATTGTTGTTCTTCCTGTTGTTGTTGACGATGATGATGTTCTTGTTGTTGTTGATGATGATGATGATGATGTTCTTGTTATGGGGAGGTGGTGGGCACAAAGGCGTCGGTGTGTCGTCGGAAGGAGCGGAGGAGGAAGATTGGGGGAAGGGAGAGGAGGGAGAGGCAGCCGCCAACGACGTAGGCGGCCGGGATGGAGGCGACGTTGGCGCAGTACCCCAGGGTGAGCTGCCCCAGGACGGAGCCCCCGCCGACGAACATCTGCTGGAAGGAGATCACCGTCGCCCGTTGCCCCGACGGGATCTCGCGGTGAAGGAAGGCCTGCCGCACCGGGTCGACCACGCCCATCGTGGCCATCAGGCACATGAGCCAACACACTGAGCCACCCCCCACGTGGCGCATGAGTGCGAGCTCGAGACGAGAGGAGAAAATGGGGGGGGGGGCAAGGGGGCACGCACGGGCCTGAGCGAAGGAGGTGCTGCGGCCGAGGGCGATGGCGGTGAGGGAAAGGACGGGCATGGCGCCCAGCATGACCGTCGTACGGTGCCGCACGAGACCGCTGGCGATCAGGGCGTCGACCAGCAGGTTGCCCAGGCTGCGGGCGCAAGACACCAGGGCCGACACCACGCCTGCACGCGCGCCCCGAAATGCCCCGCCGCCGCCATTCAGCATTGTGCGCGTGCGCTCGTGATGTGGGAGATGGATGACCACCCACCGATGAGCCACACGGCGTGCACGTCCCCGTAGAGCGTGAGCAGGTGGCTGTGCCACGCGTAGAAACCCCACGTGGTCAACATGGCCTGCGCACCATTCGCACCATCGCACCACGTCGTAGGAGGAGGAGGAGGAGGAGTAGTGGTAGTGGTAGGAGTACAAGTGAGGCCTTCCTGAAGCTGCGCCCCCCCCTACACATACAGACCGACACAGGGTGGTGGGTGGTACCTGCGAAAAGGAGGCCAGCATGATCATTCGCACGGCCTTGTTCGACCACCCGTAGCGGGCGCTCGCGCGGCTGATCTCGACCACCTTGCTCACATAGACACTGCCACGCACACCCGTACCGCCCGCGTCAGCCCATTGCGCACACAACACACAACCATGTGTGTGTGTTGTGTGTGTTGTGTTGTGTGTATTGTGTATTGTGTATCGCTGTATGCGTGTCGTGTCGTTGGTCGTGTCGCTGGCCGTGTCGTTGGCCGTGTCGCGTGTCGCGTCGTGGAGCGAGGAGGTCATACTCGGCGGTGAGAGGGGTGGGGCTGAAGCCCGTGTCGTGCATGAAGTGGGCGGCGGCCACCAGGGTGCAGCCCAGCAGCAGACCCCGCATGGCAAAGGGGATGCCCAGGGCGCCCTGCGCCATCGCTGCGCTCCCATCCAATTAATTGTTTGCCATGCCACGTACACACAACATCGGTGGTGCGTCACGCGTGTGCCAAGGAGAGGGGAAGGGAGGGAGGCGCACCTGCTCCGCCCAGCATGCCCAGCAGGCCCAGCAGGCGGCTGATGGCAGCTCCGCGCGCAAACACCTGGCGCGCACCCACCCGTACCAGCCCGGTGCCGGGATGGCCACGCCACCCACCAAACATCATTGGGGAGGAAAGGAGAGGCGACACACACACACGACACACAGAGAGAGAGGCACGAGTGAGGGCACCGCGCCACTCGTGGCACGCAACCACCAGCCTCCCCCCCACGCGCCCACCACCGTGGCGGGGTGGGGGGCGGAACCTGGTCAAGAGTGCGGCCACCACTGTCGGGCATCACGCGCAACGCGTCCACGAGCCACGCATCTGCACCCACGCACGCACCCGCGCCTGGTCACTCCCTCCGACACCAGCCACCCATCCACCCACCACCACCACAGCAGCAGCAGCAGCACCGGTGCGGGAGGGAGCGGGGTAATGGTGCGTGTGCGTGTGCGTGTGCGTGTGCGTGTGCGTGTGCGTGTGCGTGTGGTACCGATGGCGCCCGAGTAGAACGTGAAGCCCAGGCCCATCACCACCTTGAGCCCGCAAAACAACACTGCAGCCGCCACCGCCACCAAGAGGCGAAAGGCGGTGAGAACCACCACCATCACCACCAGCAGCAGAACCGCTCCACAAGGCCGTGGCGGCGGTGGCTGGTGGTGCGATGTGGCGTGGTGGGTAAAGAGATGTGGGGTGCGATGTACCGAGGCGTAGGGCGGCGGGAGCCCACGCGGCGGCCACGTAGGCCACACTCCCCGCAGAGCGCACCGCGAGGCTGGCCAACACGCTGGCGCGCCGGCCCACCGTGTCCGCCACCACGCCTGCCCACATCACCACCGCACCACCACCACCAGCAGCAGCAGCATCGGGCATGGGCAGCCCAGGCACCACCACCCACCCAGCAGTAGCGTGAGCAAGAGGGACGGGGCAGCAGCAGCAGCAGTGAATGATGGGTGGGTGGTGCCTACGGTATGTACGTACCGGTGGGTATTTCGAAGAGGACGAGGGCGGCGGTGAAGGCGGCGCCCACGAGGAACACGCTCCACATGGAGAGGCCGGCGTGGAGGAGGAACAGGTCGTCCACGCTTTGCGTGAGGCCCATCGCCAGCGCGTAGAGGCCCTCCAGCGCGTAGTAGGTGGCCACCACCGCACCCGCCTCCGCCACTACCGCCCCTGCTGCCGGCCGTGGCGACGCAGCCGATGGTGCTGATGGTGCTGGCGGTGGTGGTTCTGAAGGTGAAGGGGCCGACGTGCGGCCTTTCTCCTCCTGTTGATGCCGCCGCTGCTGCTGCGGACGGTGGCCACCTGCGCGGCGGTGCATGGCTGCAGCAGTGACTGGTTGCTCGCACACTAAAAATAAAATAAAATACAGACCAAAGAAAAGGCGACGAAAAGGAAATAGAAAGGGAAATGTAAGATGCAAGGACGTGGCGGGGAGGTTTCACATCCCAGAAGCCCCCACGACAAGAGGAGGCCACGGCACATCTTCTTCTTCTTCGTGCAGAATAGCTATTATCAACCCAACATATCTCTGTTGAATATGGAGCTACTCCGGCAAGCGGTATCCGCCTACGAGCAGCTGGTCGTGGTGCAGGCTTCCCAAGTCGGGTACGCACCCCAACGTGCCCCCTCCCCCTCCCCAAAAAGGGAGTCCCTCCGTCGTCGTCATCATCATCATAAGTGGAGAGAGAGCTCTCACATGACGGGCAACGTTGTCCGCGCGCAGGTACATGGAAAATGCGCTCCGGGGCCTCTTCTTCTTCAGCCCTGGCCGCTTTCGGGAGTCGGAGCTTGCCATCGAGTTCGGTGTGGACCCTCTCCCTCTTTACAGTCTCCATGCCCGCCGTGTGTGTGGTGGTGTTCTTACGCGCGCGCGTGTGTGCGGTGCGTGCGTGTGTATGTACCCCTCCCCCCCCATTTTTGGATAATAATAGGATACGGAGCGTTGGGGCTGCTGGGCATGTACCACGACGTGGTGGTGCTGCGCCACTTTCGCCGCGCCACGGGAAGCGGCGAGGCGCGGCTGTCCAAGGCCGACTGGCTGCGCGTGGGACTCACCGCGCTGCAACACACGGAGCTCTTTGCCGAGGTGGCCGCCCAGCATCGCCTCGGCTCTCGCGGCAAGTGGACCACCGTGGCCATCGTCGAACTCCTCAAGTACGCTCTCTCTCTCTCTCTCTCTCTCTCGTTCTGGCGTGCGTTGCGTTGCGTTGCGTTGCGTGTTTTGCGGGCTCGAGCAGTGCTGACGTGTGGCGGCGACAGAGCGTTGGTGAGGCTGGGCCTGCTGGCCGTCCAGGGAGGTCGTATGATCGTCCATCAGAAGGTCCCAGAGCGCACAGAGGTCCTCACCGAAGAGAACCAGCACCTCTTCACCGCAGAAGCGCTGGCCAAGTACCAACCTCTCTCACGACACGACACACACGACACACACGCGCGCCATTTTGTGTTGCGTTGCGCGCGCGTGGGCGAGTGGGTGCCAAGGCGAGGCTTGAGGCGGATGTCGTGAGGCGCTGACGAACATGGCAACCTGCAGGATCCGCAGCCGGAGCACGGGCGGCGAGGCGGCGGGTGCCACCGCGGCCAAGCAGCAGCCCGGCGAGGAGGAGGAGGACATCCTCCTGCGGCCCCTCCACGACTCCTACCCCCCTCTTCCTCCCCCTCCGGTTCGCCCCACCCTCGTACGTCACTCCCCCCCCCCATCCGTTCCGACACGCGCCCAAAAAACACGTGCACGCGATGCTGACGTGGGCACGTGCGCGCTGGCGCGTGGCATGGGGGGGGGAGGGGCGACAGGCGGAGAGTGCTGTGCGAGGCGGACGAAGCCAGAGGGAGACGATCCTCCGAAGGGGAGGGGCGAGAGGCAGGGCGGCGGCGCACCACCCGCACGACGCGGCCCCGCCCGCCCACGAGAGCGGCGGCCAGGCCCTGGCAGGAAGCAACGGCCCGCACGACAACGACGCCGATGCTGCTGCTGTCGTCCTCAAGGGTTGGGCGCTCACCGGGGAGCTCCTCTACATACTGCGACCTCTGGCCTACCGTACGCCTCCCCCGTGGTGGCTGGTGGTGGCTGGTGGCTGGTTGTCGTCGTTGGCTGGCATGGTTGGTTGTGGGTGGACCACTCACTCTCTGGGCGGCGGGGGGGGGTGGCAGTGGCGGCAATGTACGTGTGGGGCGTGCGATCGTGGCGAGCCTGGTGCTGTTCGCTGGCCGTGGACGTGGGGGCGTGGGCGTGCTCCTCCACGGCATCCAAGTCCCCGTCGCCTGAGCTCAGTCGTCGCACCACCCAGGTCACACACGCCTACCTCCTTCCTCCTCCTTCCCCTCCCCTGCTGCCCCTGGGTGGTAGCGACCTGCACGTGCCCCCAACCAACTGACGTGAGCGGCGGCGGCGCACACACCTGCAGTGGGCGTACTACCTGGTGCGCTCCCCCTTCTACGAGGCTCTGCTCACCAGCTGCGTGCTCCGTCGTCTGGCCGACCTGCTCAAGCGACTACCGTTCGTGACCGCTGCTCTCGGTACGCCATTCTCCCACACGCACACACACGCACACACACGCACTACACCCGCGCGACTCTCTCTCTCGACGTCGGCCTGACATTCGCGTGGTGCGCATGCGTGTGTGTTCAAGGCATGGCCCGATCCTACATCGAGGCGTACAGGGAGCGGTACTTCTACATCAGCGGGTCGTCGGCCTGAGCGACCGAGTGCTGCTGTCCTATCGGACAGTCAATGCGCCCAGCAGACGCGCGACAGTTTTGGTGTTTGGCGGTGGTGGTGTGGGGTGCTCCTGTGGGTCTCGGCCCCCACGTGGGTGATGAAGAAATAGATGGGTGGATGGTGGATAGACGGGCGGATGGGAACGGGGTTGGAATGCGCGCGCGCGCTAGCGGATGAGGTAGTAGAGGAGGCCGAACACGAAGAAGCAGAACATGAAGAGGTAGACCATGTGCCGCGACCCGGCGGCGGCGGTCACCTGCTCCAGCCGCTTCATGGCACCCTCCAGCAGGGCTCGCGTGTTGTCCATCGTGAAGTTCATCTCGTCCAGCATCCGGTTACTGTTCTGCAGCTCCGACTCTATCTCGAGCGTGATCTGAACCGACGACGACACCCCACGCACGACGTTAGCAGCCGCTGGTCGATCACAAGCGGCCACGCGCCACACATCACGACAGGCAGGGGGGGCAGGACACGTACGTGCTTGATGGCGCCCACCTGCCGCTCGAGTTCGCCTATTTTCTGGTCGTTGTGGCCCTGCAGCAGCAGTTCGTCGGCCCGCCCTGCTGCATGGCCCTGGTGAACCTCGGCCGAGGTACCGCCAACGAACGAGGAAGACGAGGTGCCCACGTCATACCCCAGCAGCGAAGTGCGCCTGCCACGTCCAACCCCCCCCCCAAAATAAGTGAAGGCCCCCGCCGCAGCTTGCCCCACGGCCGTGCGCATAGCGGGAGGGACGTACGCGCTGGGGTGTTGTCGGCTTCGCAGGCTCATCTCTCTCTGTCTAGTTTTTTTTTTTTTTTGTTGTTGTTGTAGTTTTCTGTTTTCGTTTTCGTTTTCGTTTTCAGATTTCTCTTCGATGCCGGCATTTTCTCGTAACTTTTCTTCATGGGTGACGTGGCAACGACCGAAAAGACTGGCGCCTGTAGCGAATTCGAAAAATGTGTGGTGGTTGGGTCGCTGGTTGCTCCGCTCGTGGTGTCTGGGGAGCCTCACGGTGTGGGGGCCAATGGTGCGCGGAGGCGGAGTGGACCGGAGGTAGGTTGGCCGGGCCAACCACCGGGGAGCATGGCTGCGTGGGGGGAGGCCACAAGCGACGAGGTCCAAGGCACCATTTTCTTCTCCACCGACCTTTCCACCACCAGCAGCCCACACACTCACTCGTCTCCCCTCCAAGAAGAACAAAAGATGTCTCGCGTGGTTCGTCAGTCCAAGTACAGGCACGTCTTCGGTACCCCCCAGAAGCCTGAGAACTGCTACACCGACATCAGGCTCTCGACCAACCAGTGGGATTCCAACTACGTGACGGCCAACACCAAGTTCTTCGCCGTGTGCTGGGAGGCCGCTGGTGGCGGTTCCTTCGCCGTCGTCCCCTGGGTCCAGAAGGGCAAGCTGAAGGCCGACTACCCCCTCGTCTCCGGCCACAAGGGTCCCGTCCTCGACGTCGACGCCAACCCCTTCAACGACTACCTCTTCGCCTCGGCCTCTGAGGACGGCACTGCCAAGATCTGGAAGGTCCCCGAGGGTACGTTACCGACCACCATCGTTCCTCCTCGGCCACCACGTAAAAGTCGTTCTACACTGGCCATGTTGTGTACAATCACAACACGCCTTGGGACACACTTGACTCGCTACACATTCTCACTCCATCATCATACTCATCATCCCGCTACTTTTTCTTTGACTGACAATCCGTGTTTCCGTCTGCTACAGATGGCCTGACCGAGACCATGCGCGACCCCGTGCAGAACCTCTCCGGCCACAAGAGGAAGGTCGGTAACGTCCGCTGGCACCCGACCGCCAACAACGTGCTCGCCACGTCGTCGACCGATTACACCGTCAAGGTGTGGGACGTCGAGAAGGGCGCCGCCAAGTGCCACGTTGATGGTCACGCCGACATCATCCAGTCCATCGATTGGAACTACGAGGGTTCGCTCATCGCCACCGCTTGCAAGGACAAGAAGATCAGGATCATCGATCCCCGTACCGGCCAGGTTGTGTCGGTACGTTCTCATCCATCAAATCCCTCTACACTCATCAACCCCCCCCAATCCAAGTTGATGCCCGGTTGGCTGACTGTTTGGTCTGTGCTGTCTCTTTACACTTCCAGGAAGCCGCCGCTCACACCGGTGTGAAGGGCAGCCGCGCCATGTTCCTCGGCCGCACCGAGAAGGTCTTCACCGTCGGTTTCTCGCGTACCTCGGACCGTCAGTACGCCATCTGGGACCCCTCCAACATGGGCACCGCCCTCGCCCAGGAGAACATCGATACCGGCTCCGGTCTCCTCATGCCCTTCTTCGACCCTGACTCCAGCATCATCTTCCTTGCCGGCAAGGTACCTACCGCTCTCCTCCTCAGCGGGTCCAGTGTGGTAGCGACTGACGTCTCTCGGTGGTGGCGATGGTGATGGTGATTGCAGGGTGACGGTAACATCCGTTACTACGAGCTGACGGACAACGGCTCGAAGATCTACTTCCTGTCGCAGTACCAGTCGAACGTGCCCGCTCGCGGCATGGCCTACTACCCCAAGTACGGCGTCGACGTGGGCTCGTGCGAGATCTCGCGTCTCATCAAGGCCACCACCACTGGTATCGAGCCGATCTCCTTCAACGTGCCCCGTAAGGAGGGTCTCGACGTCTTCCAGGACGACATCTACCCGCCCACCGCCGCCCCCGAGCCCACCACCACCGCCGAGGAGTGGTTCGGCGGCAAGACCGTGCCCCCCAAGCAGATCTCGCTCGAGGGTGGCTTCGTCGCCAGGGAGAGGCCCGCCGACTTCAACCCGACCGAGGTCAAGTCCGTCGAGGACGAGGGCCCCGCCTCCGAGAAGGAGCTCAGGGCCGAGTGGAGGAAGCAGAAGGACCGCATTGCCTTCCTCGAGAGCGAGCTGGCCAAGAAGGACGCCCTCCTCAAGAACCAGGGCAACTAAGCGCGCCCTTCGCCCAGACCACCACGCTCCACTTCTTCTGTACACTGCCACCACGCGAGCCTCCTCCTTTGGTCGCGCAACCACCTGAGATAAACTACCCCTGTGACACCACCACGCTTGCCTTCACCCCCCCCCCCAATGCGTCGTCGAGGAGCACAAGAACCGTGCGTGGAAAGTTCACGTTGTGCTACACACGTTGTCAGCTCGCCTCGGGTCGCGAGCCGGGAGGGAGGAAGAACTCGAACTCGGGCACCACCACCTCGAACTCCTCGTGCGAGTCGAGGTACTCCTGCACACGACGCGTTCCCAATCTTAGAAACGTTTGGTGGTTCCGACGTGGAAGGTGAGGGAGGGTACGTACCATGGTGAAGCTGCCCTTCATGGTGCCGTGCGGGGCAGGCTGGGGGCAGCAGCTCTCGTACTCGAAGTAGGCGCCGGGCTCCATGACGGGGAACAGCCCGATCACGCCCCGCCCGCGCACCTCCTGCACCTGCCCGTCGGCGCTCGTTATCACCCAGTGCCTCGACTTGAGCTGTCATCGCACCACCAATGGCAACACAATCAGTACGACGACGCAGCACTCGAGTGTTAGACGCGCGTCGTGTGCGTGTGCGTGTCACCTACCTGGGAGGATCGAGCGGAGCAGTCAGCGGGCATGTGCATGCGTATTTGGTAGGCCCAGAAGTAGGAGGGCGGGTCCGACCTCAGGCTCGACTTCTCCGGGACGAAGAGCGGGGAGGTCTCCACCGTGATGCCGTGCGTCGTCGCCACGCCCACCCCGCGGGCTCCCGGCTGCGGGAACAGGTTGATCTGGCACTTCTCATCCACTGCATACAGGAACACCACACCACACACCACACACCACACACACAACACACACACACACGGTCAGCTGCCAAACAGAGTACACACCTCTGGGCGTGATGGGGGGGAGGGGTTTACACACGTTTGTACAGGCCCTTGGTGAGATTGGCGAGGTGATCGGACAGGTACGAGGTGTAATCTCGCGCGAGCAAGAACGTGTGCTGGTAGTCCTCCCTATGTCATGTGCGGCGTGCATGCCGTGTGTGTCGCGTGTGTCGTGTTGTGCCGTTGTGTCGCGTGTGTCGCGTGAGTGTCGTGTCGTATCGTGTCGTGAGGGTGAGCTTAATCATCGACTGGCGACAGGACCACGCAGAGAGGAGAGGAAAGAAGGGGGGAGGGGGGGGGGTGGCCCTACGAGCAGGCGACCACGTTGCCTCGGCTGCCGTGGCCCTCGAGGTCGTGCAGGAGCACAAACACGATCTTGCCCTGCGTGTGGTGTCGTAGGCGCCACGCACGTGAGCGATTGGGCAGGCATAACGCGCGCGTGCACGCTAGGAAAAATGGAGGAGGTGGGGGGGGGGAAAGGGTACCATGAACCGGGAGCGGGCGATGGGGCACGCCTTGGCGAGCCACTGCGGGAACAGTGGGTCGTTCTGCACGTGCCGCGTGATGGTATCGGAAAGCAGGCGGATGTCGTTCACGCCCAGCAACTGCATCTCCACCCGGTGGTCCTACGTGCGCTCACGGCGAAAGGACACACACACACACAACGCGCACACCACACAATCGTAAAGCCGGGTACGGATATATATATATATATGTGGTATTTATATATATATAGAAGGGTCGGGTGTTGGTTGCGCGTGCAACGGCGGTGGTGGTGGTGGTGGTACGTAGAAGGAGTAGCCGCCGAGAAGGCCGGAGAGGTTGGTGATGAGGTTCTGGCCGTTGCGAATGCGAAGGGAGCACTTCATTTCCAGCGGCAGCTCCGCTCCCAGGACTTCCTCCAGCTGACGCACTGCCTCCTGTCATTTGCCGCATGGCCCAACGATACCACACGACACACGAAACACACGGCACACCAATCATGGGTCAGTAAATGGGAGATGCCGGTTGTGTAGAGGATCGCGTGGACGGGCGCGTGTGGGGCCAGATGGTCTATATGTACCGGCGTGGCGGCGGGCATGAGGGTGATCTGGGGAAGTTTGGCGGCGAGCCACTTCTCGTAGGCCTCCCACATGTCGCTCACGCCCGCGTACAGCGCGCGGTACTCGCCGTGCTCCTGCACCATCTCCCCATAGAGACGCTGTGGAGCCCCCCCCCCCGTCAGTGCGTGCGGGCGTGGGGTGAGCGTGTGCGCGTGCCATAGAGGTACGCACCTTGAAATCGACTCCCTCTGCGCTATTTGCCTGCGACGCGCCTGCAGAACATTTGGTCGAGAGGGAAAGCAAAAGAAGAAGCAGATGAGCTGCAGATGGATAAGAAAGAGCAGCTTGCGAGGGCCCAAGTACCGAATGGGCGGCGAATGCGCCAGTCGCGTTGGCACAGACGGCGCCACACGCGATTGTCTGTGGCAGCGGCGTGCCAGGCGCGACACACGAGCCCGGCGTGGGCCAGGTACGAGGGGCGGTCCAGCAGCGAGAACGCCTCGAGCAGCGGCACCCACGGGAGAGCCGCCCACCCGTCTCCTCCACCTGTCTTGTCTTCGTCCATGGTACTGCTGCTGCTGCACGTCGCTTGCTCTGTTGGTTGGTCCTCTGCCAGCTCGACGCTCTTCCTCTTCATGGTGGTGTGCGGCTTTTTCGCTTTTCTCTCTCTTTTCTCGCCCAGAATAGAATAAAGAAAACAAGCCTCGAAAAGGCGAAAAATTGAAATCAAAAAAGAGGCAAGAAGATGAACAGCGCGGACAAGGGACGACTAATTGCAGTGTTGGGTTTTGCCCTGCTCCTCCACTCTGCCTACTCGGCCACTCAATGTACGCTCCCATCTTCATTTGTTGCAGTAAATCGCTTTTCATCTCAGTCCCCAAATTCTGTGCCAGATCGCAACTACTTGCGAATCATGGAGACACCGACCGGGTCACTTCCTCTGGACGTACGATCAGCCACTTGTCATCTTTATTTCCCCCTCTTCGCCTGATTTTTGTTTTATTGTTTGTTTTTTTTTGGCACGTTTGTAGATTACGTTTGAGTGCGTGGCATCGGTGGTGCTGTGTGCATACGGTTCTCTCTTGTGGGCGGGCACCCTCTTGCCCATCCGCCTCTCTGCCTCGCTCATGCACCGGTACGTCGCCATCCCCACAAGGGATCGGGGCTGCTCAAAATGCCAGCAGCTCCGTGGCCGCGGCAGCGCACCAACCGGTCTGTCTTGGGAACGGTGTGGGATCCTGCAGGACGTTTGATGCTGCTCACTCGCGAACCGAGTTCCAGACCTTCAACCACCGGCACAAGTGGGCGTGTTGAGGTTGCTGGAGGTGATGATCGCCTCACTTTGCGTGTGTTTCGCCGTGTGGCCGACATTAAAATTCCAATCCCAATCCCACCGGCCCAACCCCCGAGCCCGAAAGGCGGAAATAGCGGGGGCGGGGTTTGAGCAAGACGAGCCCTGTGTTTAATTTTTGGTGTTTGTATCGCGCCCGGAGCCTGCAGCACGGCTTGAAGAAGAGAGATGGCCGACCACCCCTTCACCAGCGGCCTGGATGACGACGACGTCAGCCCCCTCCTGCCGTCGCAGCTGCTTATCGTGCCCAAGAAAAAGCACGGGCATGGACACGGCGGCAAGAAGAAGGGGCACAAACACGGCTCCAAGTGCGTAGAAAACAAAAAATCGAACAAATCATCTTCATACTCGTATCCGTTGAAGGTGCGAAGATGATGAGTTCTTACAAGATGCATGTTTTTCTTTGATGGATATGTCGCCCAGATCGGAATCGAGCTGTTGCGATATGAAGCTCCTCTCGTTCGTTGTCATCGGCGGCATGACTCTCATCTACGTGGTAGGCGAGCTGGGCGTTGCCATTTGGCTGGGCTCCCTGACTCTGCTCTCCGACGGGTATGCGCCCTTGTCCCTTGTCCTTTCCAAATCCTCGCGCCCCGAAACGCCCCAGCAGAGAGACGCACGGCGTTAACGCCCTTCCCGTCTTCTCTGTCTCTCGATAGCACCGGCTAACACCTCTCCGTGTTCCTCGCTCTCTCGTTCAGGTTCCACAACTTGAGCGACGTCGTTTCGCTCTACATCGCCTTCTGGTGCGCATTCTCCTTCTTCTTCTCTCGCGCCTCTCGCTGTGCGTGTCGTCAGCTGACGCCGCGTGCGCGTGTCAACCGTGCAGGGCCGTGCAAGCCTCCAAGAGGGAGTCGAGCGACCAGATGTCCTACGGTTGGGTGCGTTCAGAGATTCTGGGAGGGCTCACCAACGGGTGCTTCCTGCTGTCCCTCTGCCTCTACGTCGCCCTCGAGTCCATCCCCCGATTCATCGATCCGCCGGAATTCGACTCTGGCTGGCCGTTCATCATCGTGGCCGCCTGCGGTCTGGGCATCAACACCTTCGGCACCATCGTCTTCGCCTGTACGCCGCATGCCTGCCCGCCCGCCTGTCCTGTTGTTGTTGTTGTTGTTGTTGTGGCTTTTTCTTTTCTTTTCTTTTGTCTACTCGGGTAGCGCTAGCGAGCCACACTCTCATTCTCGTTCTCCTTCCCCTCTAGTCACTGGTCTGTCGCACGGTCACTCGCACTCGCACGGCGGCGGACATGGCCACGCGCACGGCGGCGGCGACAAGAAGAAGGAGAAGCACGGCCACTCCCACGGCCACGGCGACAAGAAGAAGAAGGAGAAGCACGGCCACTCCCACGGCCACGGCGACAAGAAGAAGGAGAAGCACGGTCATTCCCACGGCCATGGTGACAAGAAGAAGAAGGACAAGCACGGCCACGCCCACGCCGAGGTACGCGCCTGCCTGCGCTCTGTTCGTTGTGGCGCGAGGACTCACCCGCCCTCGATACTCAACGTGCAGAAGAAGAGGGAGCTCAAGTTCGACCTCAACATGTGGGGCGTGTTCATCCACTACGCCGGCGACATGCTCTCGTCGGCGGTGGTGCTCGTCATGGGCTTCATCATCCACTACGTCGACGGCAGGTGGGTCCTCTACATCGATCCGGCCTCGTCGCTCCTCATCGTGGCCCTCATCCTCTGGACCACGTACCCGCTCGTCAGGGACTGCTCCATGATCCTCCTGCAGAGCACCCCTGGGTACTCCCCCCATTCCGCCACCACGGTGCCCCAGGCTTTCGTGTGGTGCGCGTCAGCTGACTGACTGGTCATGCTGTCGTTGTGTGCAGTGAGGTGGCGCTCGGCACCCTCAGGGAGGATCTCCTCACGCTGCCCGGCATCGAGTCGGTCCACGACCTCCACGTGTGGCAGCTGACCGAGGGCACGGTCGTGTGCTCCGTGCACGTCGCCATCGAAGAGGGCACCGTGTGGAAGGGCCTCGTCAAGAAGGTGAAGAAGGTCATGCACAACCACGGCATCCATTCTTCCACCGTGCAGCCCGAGTTCGTGCCCAGGAACCACCCCGTACGTCTCTCCCCCCCCCAATCTTGCTCACGAAAAACAAACGTGTTGCGTGCGCGCGCGTTGTTTGGTGCTCACGCCTTGCTTCATTCTGTGTGCGGGGGGGGGTCCACAGGTCAAGGCCTTCTGCGAGGAGAACTGCAAGCCCGGCTGCGAGGAGAACTGGTGCTGCAAGAAGACCGCGGACAAGCACAAGAAGAACGGCCATGACGACCACGATGACCACGACGACCATGGCCACGGGCACGGGCACGGGCACGGGCATGGCCACGGACACCACGAGGACGACGAAGAGAGCCACTACCACCCCGTCGTCGACCCGGCCTCCCGAGAGCCCACGACAGCCCTCAACGAATCCGGGGTGAGGTTGGTCAACCTCTAAGGAGTCACTTGCGCCACTTCTCTTTCTCTTCCCTTTTTGTAATTTTTTCCTTTTTATTTTACACATTTTATTTCTCGCTTCTGTTTTGGCGCGGAGAGCGGTATCTGTGTGAGATTTTGTAATTCCATACATCACATTTGAGCAAGTTCTTCTGCCGCTCGAGATGGTACGTGCCGCGGTGTGGTATGCCTTGCGCCTTCTTAATTGTGATTCTTGTGGCGAGCAGAAGCCCTTCCACAAATTTCCCACAGAGCACAAGGCGGTGATCCACGATGTGAGCTACGATTTCTACGGGAAGCGGCTGGCGACGTGCTCTTCGGACCAAAAGGTAAAGGTGTGGGATCTCGATGAAGAATCGCACTGGAAAAAGACGGCCGAATGGAAGGCCCACAAGGGCTCCGTCTGGAAGGTCGAGTGGGCTCATCCCGAATTCGGCCAAGTGATTGCTTCGTGCTCTGTCGATCGTTCCATCTGCATCTGGGAAGAGGGCGAGGAGGAAGGCACGTAGTCTCCTTCGCCGCCTCTTGGCCTTCGTGCTGCCGCGCGCGTGCTAATCGTCTAAGTCATCTGCGCTGCAGTGCGGGGCCAGGGCCGAACGTGGATTAAGCGTGCTGAAATCGTTGACTCGCGTGACTCGGTGAGAGATATCAAGTTTGCGCCTCACCACATGGGCCTCAAGCTTGCCACCTGCTCTGCTGACGGCTTCATGTACAGCAGCCCAAACATCCTCCAATCGCCGTGTACCCCTGTTTCGCGCTTGTGTGCTCGGCGTGGTCTCACTGTACTGGCTGGCTTGTGCTCACAGCCGAATCTACGAGGCCATGGACATCATGAACCTCAACCACTGGTCGCTCACCGCCGAATTCGAATCTCACAAGGGGTACGCTCTTCCTCTCTCCACCTTTCTTTGTGTGCTCCGATTTGTCGAGACTCTCTCCACGATCTAATGTGGCGACGCCGGCAGAGGGAGCAACTGCATCAGCTGGAACTCCTCCGCCTTTGACAAGCCTTCGATGGCGGTGGGCAGCGCGGGCGACCAGGGTAATCCCTCCCCTCACCGCTGCTGCGTTCCTGCGCGTCTCTGTGTCGGACCGGTCTGCACGCGCGCCTGGCCGCCCAAGCTTGTGCCCGTGTGCCCATCGTGCTGTTATTCGTCGCGCCGTGTCCTCTAGAGGTGAAGGTCTGGGAGTACAACGAGCAGCAGGGCAGGTGGAAGGTCGCCTACGCCCTCAGTGGCCACGCCGAAGAGGTGCACGACGTCGCCTGGGCGCCCAATCTCGGTACGTGCGCGTTGTTATTGTCTGCTCTACGGGAGGCTGCACTTGTATTGTGTCAATTTGATTTCCCTTCCGACTCACTGAACGCAAACCTGGTCTACCGTGCTGCAGGGCGAACCTACAATCTGATCGCGACCGGATCGAAGGACAAGACGGTCCGCATCTGGCGCTTGCCCACCGCTCGCTCTCCCACTCAGGTACGTCGCGCTGTTTTTCGTTTCTGCTGCCCGGTCACTTCAAGAAAGGTGGCATGCCAGCTCACCCCCTCTTCTCTTACTAAACGTTGGCTCGTCCAGTTTGCACCCTACGAGGAGGCGGCCCTGAAGGAGCACAAGGACGCCGTGTGGCGGGTGCAATGGAACGTGACGGGCACAATTTTGGCTTCCTCGGGTACGCTGGCTTTGGGCGACTGGCTACTTCTCGTCAATGTGCCTTGGCTCTCATCTATGAAAGCTGTCTTTCAATCCACCCACACGCGTGGCGTTGTGCAGGAGACGACGGGAACGTGTGCCTGTGGAAGGCAAACTTCAAGGGCCAGTGGCAGCTCCTCTCCATGGTCGGCGGAGACGACGACGATGCCGAACCCACGTTCATCTCTGCCAAGCAGGACGACTAAACCCACGCCCCTGTACATACCAACCAATCGCCATTTCTCTCGGCGTCGATCACCAACAACCGAACCAAACAAAGGGCCAAGTCTTTCTTTTTTTCTTTCCTTTTCTTTTTTCTCCACGTGGCTTTTCGGTAATAATTATTTATAAAATAAACAAATCTACAAGCCAAGAAGATGGAGCAGCCACCGGAGGGCGAGGAGGAGTGGAGCGGGGCGTTGGCGGGCATGGCCCTTGCGGAAGAGGAGGAAGAGGCGGGGGAGGGGCAGCAGAAGAGTCGGGCGCAGCAGCAGCGGCGGCCGCGGCCCAACGACAAGGTGCGGCGCAAGAAGAAGACTCCGGAGGAGGCCGCCCGTGCCGCCCAGGCCAAGGTGGCCGCCCAGCAGCTCGGGGCCGCGCGGCTCGAGAAGGCCGCCCTCGACGACAAGAAGCCCGAGGACGAGGGCTGGAAGGACGTCTACTGGTCCTTCCTCCACAGCAACCACAACAACCACAACGTTGGCCAGGGCCAGGGCCAGAGCGGCGCGGACCAAGGCCAGGGCCAAGCCGATGCCGCGGCGGTGGCGGTGGGGAAGGCGGAGCTGGACGAGGACGAGGTCGACGCGGAGCGATCGTGGGCGCTCGTGTCCGGGCTCGACCCGGCCCGCGCGCAGGCCGTCAGCCAACGGGAGGCCGCCACCCCCACCCTCTCCTCCGACCACCGCCGTACTCCCTTCCTTCGCTTCTGTAGTGTGTTCCCACACGGTGCGGGCTGTGCTGACGTTGTGTGCCTGCTGCGGCGGGGCGGCACGCAACAGAGCAGTTCGTGGAGGGGTCGCAGGCCAACTGGGACCGGTTCTACCAAAACAACACCGTTAACTTCTTCAAGGTGCGTGGGGAGCTCAGCTGGCTGGCTGCCGGCTGTCGTGGTGCTTTGCTTTATTGCAAACAACGTGGATACGCCTGGTGCACCACATTCATTCGTGTGTGTGTGGCTGGGGGGGGGGTCATCCAGGATCGGCACTACCTGCACCACCAGTTCCCGGAGCTGCTTCCCAGCGACGAAGAGGTTCGTGGAACCCATCCCTAACGATCCTCCTCGCCATTGTCGCTGTATCGTCGTGTTGTGTGTGCGTGTGCGTGTGCGTGCGTGTGTGTGCGTGCGTGCGTGCGTGCGTGTGTGCGTGTCGGTGGCGGTGGTGCTGACTTGTGGTGGTCCACAGCGCACGTTCCTGGAGTACGGGTGCGGGGTGGGCAACACCATTCTGCCCCTTATGAAGACCCACCCGCGCGCGCGCTTCTACGCGACCGACTTTTCGCCCACCGCCATCCGCCTCCTCCAGGTACGCACGTGACCACACGACGTACATATGATGGCAACTCTGCTGCCTAGCAGGCCCTCGCGATGTAGTGGTTGGGTGTCGTGTCGTATTTCGCTCATCGCACACACGCGGGATACTCACGGGGCGTCGCACTCAGACGCATCCCGAGTTCGAGGCGGGACGGTGCACGGCCTTCGTGAGCGACCTGACCAAGGAGGACCTGCCGGCCTCCATCCCCTCCGAGTCCGTCGACTTTATTCTGCTCGTCTTCGTCATGTCTGCCCTCGCCCCCGGTACGCCCTCACACACCAAAGTTGTTCGCGTTCTCTTTCCCGTGGCGGCTTGGCTCCGGCGAGACTTCATTCGTTCGTTCGTTCGTTCGTTCGTTCATTTTACGACGAGTGCGCTTCGCAGAGCAAATGGTGGACGTGCTGGCCAAGCTGCATCGGGTGCTGAAGCCCGGGGGCGCGATCCTCTTCCGCGACTATGGCGAGTACGACATGGCGCAGCTGCGGTTCCTGTCGCGCAAGAACCCCAACAAGATCGACGAGTGCATGTACGTGCGATGGGACGGCACCACCTCCTACTTCTTCTCGCTCGGTATACTTTGCCCCTCCACCTCCACCACCACCTCCTCTTAGCCATTGCCCTCCATGCGAGAGACGCTCCGCCTGCTCAATCCTCACGCGGAATGCCGGACAGAGGAGCTGCGGGAGCGGTTTGGGAAGGCCGGGTTCATCGAAGACGAAAACAAGTTTGACATCCGCGAACTCAAGAACCGGAAGCGCAAGGTGCGTTCTTCTTTCTTCGTTCTTCTTCTGGGGCACATTCACACAGTGTCATCACGTTATTATAACATGACCGTGTGCCCATTGTGCGATCAGATCGTCATGTTCCGGGTGTGGGCCAACTCCCGATTCCGCAAGCCCCTCCCCGGCGATCTCCCCACCGCTTGCCCACCCACGGGCTCTGCCTCCAGCAGCGAGCAGGAGACGGTGGCCTAAGTGGCGCTGTCTTCGCTTGGCCACGCCACACAAATCAAAAAGAAAAAAAAAGCAAAAAAAGTGAAATGCGAAAAAACAATTCCTTGCCGTTTTCCACTGCGCACTTCGCTTTCGTCCTCGCCACAACACATACCATCCCTCCCATTCATCATGGTATGGTTCCAAATCCCTTCGTTTTGCTTCCTTTATGCACTGCGCACAGTGATCCAATGTTGTGGCGCTCATCTCGAAATTGATTTTCAATCTTTAAAACGTATTTCCTTCCTCCCATCCCCTGGGGCGTGCGCAGTTGGTGCTCGTAATTGGTGATCTGCACATCCCGTACCGTGCTCACGGTCTGCCCAAGAAGTTCAAGAAGCTTTTGGTGCGCCCCCCCCCCCACGCGCAATGCAACGCGCTACGCAACGCGCCGTGTGCTCCCCCCTCCAATCTGACGTTCGTCTCTACGCATCACCCGCTGGTGTAGGTTCCGGGCAAAATCCAACACATCTTGTGCACCGGCAACCTGTGCACAAAGGAGGTCTTCGAGTACTTCAAGACCCTCGCCAACGACGTACACATCACCCGCGGTGATTTCGATGAGGTTCGTTCGCCTTCTTTTTCTTCTCCTCCTCTACACTTGTTTCGTGCGCTGTCGGTGCCCCCCCCCCCTCTGCTGGCCCTTCTCTCGGCTGACCCCCAACCACGTCGCGTGGACGATACGGGCGGTGCCCCCCCCCCTTGCACCCCAGAACACCAAGTACCCCGAGAACAAGGTGCTCACGCTGGGCGAGTTCAAGGTGGGTCTGTGCCACGGCCACCAGGCGGTGCCGTGGGGCGACAGGGAGAGCCTGGTCATCCTCCAGCGACAGCTCGACGTGGACATCCTCATCACCGGCCACAGCCACAAGTTCGAGGCCTTCGAGTACGAGAGCAAGTTCTTCATCAACCCGGGCTCCGCTACGGGCGCCTACTCGGGCCTCAACGTGTACCTCCTCCTCCTTCTTCTCCTCCTTCTCCTTTCCACCACCTCTTCTTGTTCGTCGTCATCGTCCCTGTGTCGTGCTGGCCGACGTTGGGGGCCTTTGCCTGAAACATTTTTGCGTGGCGTTGTTGCGGTGATTGGGTTGGGATGGTGGCGGCGGGCCTCTGCAGGGAAGCGACGCCGTCGTTTGTGCTGATGGACGTGCAGGGCGCCCATGTCGTGACCTACGTCTACCAGCTCATCAACGACGAAGTCAAGGTACGGCCGCATCCGGCCCGACCGTGCGCCGGTTTCGCGGCCCTTGCCTGTGTGCGTGGATCTCACCACCGTGTTCTCTGCTGCGATGCGCTGCGCAGGTGGAGAAGATCGAGTTCAGGAAGAGCTAGGCAGCGCACGCGATACTCTTGTGACCGTGCGCCAAGGGGGGGGGGAACAACATGATCAGTGGTGGCATGCCGTAAAAAGGCCCCGTGTGTGTGTCGTGTGTGTGTTGTGTGTTACGTGGCTTGAGAAGTGGGAGGGAGACTCCAGCAGTGTTGGGCGCGTGGGGCCACAAAATGGAAGAGAGTACACAGCCGCTGGGGAGGGGGAGGCGAGGCGGGGGATGAGGGGGCGTTTAGTCGGCAAAGCGAGTGCCGGGGCGCATCTCGCGCAGGATGTCCTCGGTGAGCAGGTCGACCTCCTTCTCCTCGGCGAGCTTGATGGTCTGGGCCAGGTGGGCCTTGGCCTGCGTGTACCGCTTCTCAGCCCAGCCGGCGAACTCCTTCTCCTCCTCGGAGACGTCCCGCACGTACTTGGCCGGGTTGCCCGCCCACACCTGCGCACGCACACACCAGCGACGACGACATGGCACGCACACGTCAGCCACTGTATTTAGTGGATGATAGCAATAATAATAAACCATAGAACGATAACAACGCGGGGCGGGGGCTGTACCTGGCCGGAAGGCACCCTCTTGCCCGAGGTGACGACGGCACCGGGGCCCACGATGGCGTGCTTCTCCACGACCACGTTGTCGTTCAGCACGGCCCCGTCGTCGACCCGGCACTCGTCCTCCAGCGTGCAGCCGTGGAGCACGACGCCGTCACCTGTTTGGACCCCCGACGTTACTGCGGGTCCCTTCTAGCGGGGGAGGGGGAGAACGGGAGGTCAGAGGAGGGTCGAGTGCGTACCAACGACGACGTTGTCGCCAATCTTGGTGGGGGCCAGGGTTGTGAGACCCCCCGAGGCGTGAACAACCGACCGGTTGCCGATGGAGCTCTTCTTGCCCACGGAGATGTCATTAACATCGCCTGAACAGATTCAATTGGTTACAGGCTGGGTGGGAAAAATGTAATTGTGCGCATTGTGTGGTGTGAGCGTACCGCGAAGAACGCTGCCATACCAAACGTTGGCGCCCTCGCCCAACGAGACGGAACCGATGACACTGGCATTGGGGGCGATGAAAACGTCCTGTGAAATGGCAGGCTGCTTATCGTACAGGCCCATGACCCTCCTGTGCCTGCTCACTGTCTCATCGTCGTCGACGCCCAGCCCAGCCCAATCCATAATCCACAGCCATAATGGGACGTAAGCGTAAGTTCCGAAATGGGGGGGGGTGCCGATGTCGATCCGGGGCGGTAAGAACGTACGCTCCTCCGTGAAGGCGTAGTTGCCCTGGAGGCGGCAACCAACGCGGTCGAGCGCATAGGCGGTCTCTCGCACAGTATTGCCCAGCACGTAGGAGAATCTCTTCAGCATTCTTGCGCAACAAAAAACAATTAATCTTGTGCGTTGGCCTGTGGACTGCAGCGCACCACTCGCCTTCTCTATTTTCTCCGCCCCCTCCCCCCCAAGCAGAAAAAGCAGGAAAAAAGAATTTCTTCGCCAGGCCGAGAGATTGAGACCTCAACATGGAGATGGATGCAGCTGCCGGCACCGGCCCTTCTGTGCCAATTGGGACGAAGAGGAAGGTGGAAGAGGTGGAGACATGCGAAGAGTTGTGCCGCCTTTTGAAGCAGCAGGTGCAGGAGGCCCTCGCCGTAAAACGGCGCGCTACTCGACGCTCCTCGCTCGATCCCAAGGCAAGCCCCCCCCCTCCCCCTTTTGATTCAGGAGAGAGAGAGAGAGAGCGGCACCACAAGCTCGAAGCTTACACGACAGGCGGGGGCGGGGGTGGCCTGGCGCAGGCGGTGCGTACAGGTGCCGGTGGGGCGGCAGGGTCGCTGCTGCTGCTGCGACTGAGGGAGGCCAACTGGGAGGCCCACTTTGAGATGGAGGAGCGGAAGGAGCTGACGAAGCGGGCCAAGGCGACGCTCGACGACCTCAACCTGCAACTCCAGAACCTGGTCTACGAGGAGGCGCACTACAACAAGGAGATTCAGCACTGCCGCGACTTTCGCCCGCGCGAGGTGGTGCACGACCTCCTGCCCGCGCCGCCGAGCGGAACCGAGGCCGCGGCCAAGCCCGACGAGGACGAGGAGAGCCGCGCGCACCGCCTCATGACGCAGCGACTCGCGGCCGAGCTCGAAGAACGCAAGCGGCACGTCACCGCACGACACACACAACACACAAGACACATACCAGCTGGAGGTGATTGATTGCTGACGTGCCTGAGCGGTGCTGCGGGGGGGGGGTGCAGGCTGTGCAAGGAGGTGGAGGCCCTCACCAGCCGCAAGGCAGCCCTGCAAGAGGCCAACCAGGCCAAGCGCAAGTTCCTGCATGGGCTACGCAGCCGCCTCCAAACGATCGCCCAGGTATGCCACCCCCCGCCCCCCAATTTGCTGCGTTGCCGGTCGTGATGCTGGGAGTTCACCGCCACCACCACAACGACCACCACCCACCACCCCCACAACCACCACACCCTCTTTGTCTTGGTCGCTGACGTGGTGTCGTGTCACTGGCGATCGATCAACCCAGGCCGCGGAGCCGGCCCAGCAGCATTTTGGGTACACGAGCACGGAGAAGACCGACTCCTTCGACACAGCGGGCCAGCTGCCCGCCCCTCTCTACACCCTCTTCGCGCAACTGAACGCCCACAAGCTGGCCTTTGGTACCCCCCACCCCTCTCACCCCATAGCCCTCTCATCGGCGAAGCTTTGCGTAGCAGCTACTGCGTACCTCTCCCCCTCGTCACTCTCACTCTCGCCGTTGTCAGACACCGGAATCGGAGTGAGCGTGGGCGGCGACGCCGAAGCAGCCCTCGCCCTCAACGCGCAGCTGAGCCGCCGAGGCTCGACCGTGGGTGCGTGCTCCACCTACCCTGCCCCCCAGTGAGCGAGGAGTCAGCCCGCGCTCGACCTTTCGTTCATCCGAGGTTTCACATATTTTATCTAATCCATTATCTCATCCAATCTAATCTCTAATCTATCTAATCTATATTGCAGCCACCAGGCTCATGGCAGAGAGGACGGAATCGCAGACTGACAAGCCCCACCAGTTCGCCATCCACCCCCTCGCCGTCCTCCTGCACTTTCCCAATGGCGATGGTGCGTTGGCCCTTCTTCTTCTCCTCTTCTTCTTCTTCTTCTTCTTGGCGGCATGGACGAGGAGCTCAGCGTGGTGCTGGATGGGTGGGGGGGGGCAGATATGGCGCAGGGCGTGGCGTTGAAGCTGCGCTTCGAGTACCTCTACGAACTCAACGTGGTGGGCGTGCGCGTCGAGCACGGCGACGAGACCCTCCTCCACAACCTCTACCCCCGCGACATCGGCCTCACTTCGCCCAACCCGGCCAACCGCTACCTCTTCAATCAGTACACCTCACCCCAACCCTTCCTCCTAGCTGCACGCCTGCAACGATTCACGGCGTCTCACGACACACACACGCACACACACACGACACGACACGACACACAGGGAGGTCAGCATCAAGCAGGGCTACCCGGGTCGTGCCTACAAGTGGGCTCAGTGGGCGGCGGGTCTCGGGTTCGCGCAGGAGGAGAGGGGCCTTCCCGGTCGACCCCACGTGGCGTCCATCATCCAACGCCTCAAGGCCCGCATACGCGACCACCGCTCCCTCAACACACAGCTCAACTTGCTCGGTAACACATCCCCCCCCCAACTCCCTGGGCGCTCGCTTCATTAGCCACACCGCCATTCCTAATATCTAAATTCCTTGCGGTGTGTGTGTGTGTGTTGCAAACGTAGGCAAGGGCATGATCCCCGGCCAGCCGCACGCAGCCCTCCACATCTGGAAGGAGATCTCCGCGGCCGAATTCCAGGTGCGGCGCCCACGCCTTCCCCCCCCCCCGAACAATGCCGACGGCCGAAGCTCATCGAGTTCGTTTCGCAGGCGTCGGAGCTGCTCGGAGCCGCCGGTGCGGCGGGGTTGGAGGAGGGCGAGCTGGGCTCACGCACCACGGGGCGCGAGGCCGAGGGTCTGCCGTGGCACTGCTATGCCTCCCGCCACTTCTACGCCCTCCTTAAAAAGCCCGAATGTAGTGCCCCCTCCCCCCCCACACAACCGCCGTTGCCGGCGCTGGCCGTGGTGCTCACGCGTGGGTGGGTGGGTGCGGCGTTGGCACAGTCGAGCTGGAGGTGTTCGCCAGGGTGGGCACGGAGTACCCGTATCGTCCGCCCGAGTGGCGACTCCGCTGGAAGGTCTACAACGGCAAGCGCGGGTGGGTGCCCTACACCTTCCCCGCCTCGGTGTCGGCCGACGCACACCCGACTGCGCTGGATGCCGTCGGCAGAGCCTCGCCTTGCGACAACCAACTCAAGGTGCGCACCCGCTCGCTCGTGTGTGTGTGTGTGTGCGTGTGCGTGTGTGTTTGTGCGTGCGTGTCGATGCCGCTGCTGAGAGGTGGGCGGTTGCAGGCGCTGGACATGCGGTTGAACAGTGCTTGGGACACGAAGCAAGGAGAAGAGAGCATGCTCCTTTCGCACCAGTGCGTCGTGTTGCAGGTGGGTGCCACCCCAGTCCCCAGATGGTGATGGTGAGGGGAGGAGGGATATGGCGCCAATTCGCTAAGCCGCAACTTCCCCATTATAACGCACAGACGGGTTTCGAGCGGCTGGTGGAGGCCTGCCGCAGCACCACAGCGCCGGGAAGAAGCCGCACCCCGCTTCACGGCAGGGCGCGCCTTGCCCCCATCGTCTAACCCCCGGCCCAGGAGAACTGAAGCGAGCGCACAACCCCTCCCCGTGCTCTTTCGTGTACACGGCACAGGCGAAGAGTTCAATAATTTAATGAAAGCCAAAGCCAACCAAACTCCCAACATAGCTTGGGGGAGGGTACACAAGGGAGGCCTCGAGATAAATAAACGAATGGGGGGGGGGTGACGTGGAATAGTACAAGGATTGGGGGGAGGCTTAGGCCCCAATGATGGTCTCCAGGACCTGGCAGGCGACCTTGGTCAGCATGTCCGTCTTGATCGCCGGTTTCTGATCGGACGAAGATCGGTGAATGTCAGTATGGAGGGGTGGAATGGGTGCTTGGCGTGAGTGTGAGTGTGTACCGAGAAGGTGTCTGAGTCGATGAGGCCCTGGAAGCCGAGCTTGGCGTGGACGTAGTCCTTGTTGAGGCGCTTCTTGGAGTTCTGCATGTCGGGCTTGAACATGGACTGCATGATGGCGAGGCAGGCGTCGATGATCTGCTGGTTCTGGCTGTTCTGCATGACGAGGGCCATCTTGGGCACCAGGATGTCGTAGACCACCGGGAACGCGTCGGGCATGTGGACGATGCCCTCGCGCAGCGACTCGTAGATGAAGAGCTGCTCGTGCTCGCTGTCGGACGACTTCAAAATTGTGACGAGCAGGGTGAAGAGCAGCGCCGCGTTCATGTTGTCCGGCAGCATCTCCTCCCGGATCAGGTAGTGGTGCAGGTTCCCCGAATCCGGACCTGCCGGCAGCAAACTGTTCGCGCGCGCGCGAAACGAAAACGAAAACAAACATAAAACGAAAAAGGGGTGAGAGGTGCACATAAGTGAAGCTTATGCGAGGCCGGCGGGGGGGGGGGGCGAAGAGCGTACATTTGGCGGATGTGGTCGACCTCCATCTCCTCGCCCTGGATGGGGAGGAGGGCGGCGAGGAAGCCCAGCAAGTTGGACCCGACGGCCTTCTTCGCGCAGATGTCCACGAACATGGACAGCACGCGCGCCGTCGACGTCTGCACGAGAGACGTCAGTACACACACGACACACACACGACGCACGCACACACACACGCACACACACACGACACACACTAGAAAGTAAGGGGTACCTTGGTGGCGGGTGCGCGCAGGCCCTTGAGGAGGTGCGCGGTGACGGCGAAGGAGAAGGAGGTCTTGAAGGAGACGCCCATCATCTGGTCGGCCTTGGCGAGGGCCGTCTCCAGTCCGCCCTCCTCGCGCGCCTGCATGCAGTACTGCACCAACCCGTCTGCACTCGCGTCACACCACACCCGGTCAGCCCATCGTCGCCACACCATGAGGCGCGTGTCGTGTCGTGTGTGTGTCGTGCTGTGTGTCGTGTCGTTGCGTTGCGTTACCGTTGATGCACTGGGTGGAGTCGCGGTCGAGGCGGCGGAGGACGACCTCGAGGAGGCCGATGGCGACGGCGAAGATCTTGGGCTCGTCGATCTGGAGGAGGGTGAGGGCGACCCAGAACATGGGGCGGAAGTAGCGCGAGGTCGGGGGCAGGTGCTCGAAGAGGCGCGTGAGGCAGATGATGAGGGCCATGGGCAGGTCCAGGTCGAGGCGCACGGCGGGCAGGATGTCGCGCAGGGTGATGAGCACCTGGGCCATGAGGTCGTCGGTGACGAGCGACGGCGCGCTGCAGAGCACGCCCACGGCGACGATGGCGCGCGGCTGGAGGACCGGGTTGGGCGTGAAGGCGGCCTTGGTGGCGAGCGAGAGGAGGCGCGCGTGCCACGGCGTGCCGACGCAGTTGTTGGAGGGCGAGCAGGCGTTGAGCACGCCCAGCAGGGTGCCCGCCACCGTCTCCACGGTGCTGATCGACAGCGCCACGCCCGCCGGCTCGGGCTTGCTGCTGTCGGCCTTGCTGGCGGCCACGCCGGCGCCCGCAGAAGAAGAAGCGCCGGACTCCTGGCGGGTGGTGAAGGCCGACACGGCCTGGCCGCCGAGGCCGAAGAGGACGCGCATCTTGGGCTGGTTGAGCTCGGCGAGCAGCAGGCGGAGCGACTGCAGCTTGTTGTCGGCCGTGACGAGGGTCGTGTAGAGCGAGTGGACGATGTTGATGAGCAGGCCGTGCACGGTGGCGCGGGTGACGGGGGCGCCCGTGGCGAAGAGCAGGAGCACGGCGTGGAACAGCTCCGGGAGGTACTGCTGGACGTGGACCAGGTTGTCGAACGAGAGCATGAGCAGGATGCGCACCAGCACGTCGAGCTGGAACCACAGGTCGGCCTCCGACGACGACGACTCGTCGCCGCCGCCGCCGCCGCTGCTGCTGCTGCCGTCGGGGTACTTGTCGCGGTAGCCCTTGAAGTGGGGCAGGAGGCGGAGGAGGCGCGCGATGAGCTTGCCGGCGATGAGGCGCGCGTTGCGGGTGGCCATGGAGACGAAGACGTCGGCGATGACGGAGAGGGCGGTGGAGCCGGAGCCGCCCTGCTTGCGGTCGAAGGCGCGTGCGAGGAGGACCTCGATGACGAGGTCGAGCAGCTCGGGCACGGCGCCGATGACCTCCCAGACCTTGGTCTGGATGGCGGGTCCGGTCATGGAGGTCTCCTTGATGGTGAAGTCCATGAGCATGGTGACGATCTGGGTGGTCTTGTCGATGTTGAGGGCCGACTCGGACTTGTCGGTGAGGAGGCAGAAGTCGCGCAGGTTGGGGAGCCAGTGGGTGAGGTAGTTGAGGCAGAGCTGCTTGCCGGGCAGGTTGGCCTTGATCTTCTCGATGCCGTGGAGGGCCTCGATGAGGAACTCGAGGGTCATGTTGGCCTCGGTGCGGGCGAGCTTCTTGGAGAGGCCGACGATGAAGCTGTTGGTGTTGCGCGGGATGGCGAGGCCCGAGGTCTCCCACAGGTGGAGCTGCACGGAGAGGTTGAACGAGGCGCAGAGCGAGGCGAGCAGGTTGTAGGCCTCGACGCGCAGGGCGGCGTTGGTGTTGCCCAGGTTGAGGAGGGCCATGTTGAGCAGCGTGCCGGGCACGTCCGACGCGCGGAAGCTGCGCTTGCGCGACGACGGGTCGGCCGCCGGCTTGGCCAGGTTGAGGCGGGCCTTGGAGGCCTTGAGGGCCATGACGATGCGGTCCGACGCCGGGCACTTGAAGGCCAGCGACTGCACGGCCCCGCGGTCGGCGCCGCCCTCGGTCTCGTAGTACTTGATCACCACCTCGTGGGTGTCGACGGCGTGGTTGATCTCGAACATGGACGAGATGGGGTACAGGTCGGAGAGCGGCACGCGCTTGCCCAGGACCGAGTGCTGCTTGGCGGTGATGACCTCGACGAGGTTGGTCGAGATGCGGATGATGACCTCCTTCTGGTTGGAGTACTGCATGAGCTTCTGCACGGGCGAGAAGGTGGCCTTGACGTCGCGGTCGACGGCCAGCGTCGAGGTGGGCAGGCCCAGCTCCTTCTCGGGGATGTGCTGGGCGAGGGCCGACACCGACGGGAGGAACTCCATCTTGGACTTGGCGCGCGAGAGCAGCTTGCCGATGCGCTTCGAGTACTTCTTGAAGCAGTGGTTGACGTTGACCAGGAACACGCGCGACAGGTTGTCCAGCCCGCCGGGCGCCACCTGGCGGAACTTGGTGATCCAGGCGTAGGGCAGCTCGTGGTCCTTGTTGTTGAAGAGGGTGCAGTCCACCACGAGCACGAACTTCTTGCCCATGTCCGGCTGCACGGTCTTGAGGATGTGGAACAGCAGCGCGTCGAGCTGCGCAAAGGCCCGGTCGGCCTTGTCGAGCCGCCGCGCGATGTAGTAGAAGACGGGCTGCTTGTCCTTGGTCACGCCCTGCTTGTAGAAGATCTTCTTGGCCACGAGCGCCGCCGCCGTCTCGGCCGACATCTGCTTGGCCATCTCGGCCATGAACTCGGCGTGCAGGTTCGTGTTGCCCCCGGGCCCGCCCTTGCCCTTGCCCATGCCCGCCGCCGACGCGCCGGGCGCAGCGCCGAACGCGCCGGCGTTCTTCTGCTTGGTGGGCTCGGCGGGCGGGCCCAGCTGGGCGAGCACGCTGGTGAGGCCCAGGAAGGCGTGGGAGCCCTTCTGCTTGGAGTCGACCGAGGTGAGCACGCGGCGCATGCCCTCGAGGTTGAGCGAGAGGTGGTAGTGCAGCGCCGCGACGTCCTCCTCGCGCTGCTCGTCCGAGACGTGGGCCAGCGCGCCGGTGGGCTCCACGCCGGCGGGCACCTGCGCGAACTTGTCGAAGAGGCCCGAGATGGCGTTCATGTTCTCCTTGAGGAAGCCGTTCATCTCCTCCATGTAGGGCTCCTTGGTGAACATGACCTTGTTGGCCAGGTTCTGGAGCACCTTGGTCGTGAGGATGAGCCCGCGGCGCAGCTCGGGCGTGAGCACGCGCGACTGCACCAGGCCGTAGCCGTCGGGCGACACGATGGCCGGGCAGATGAAGCGGAGGTAGATGAACCCGCCAATCGCGGCGTGCTCGGCGCCCGGGAACCGCTTGCCCACCTCCTGCTGCAGGTAGGCGCAGATCTCGCGGAACTGGACCGGGCAGTGCTCGACCGAGGCCTCGATGGCCTTGAGGAAGTCGTCGGCGGCCTTGGTCACGTTCTCGATGTTGGTCGCGCGGTCCTGGCCCGCCGGCAGCTTCTGCGGGTCGAGCTCGAGCGGCGGCGGGTTGGCGATGAGCCGCTGCAGCGTGGGCGTGAGCGTGTCCTTGAGGTAGCGCGTGCCGATCAGCTTCGTGTAGGCCGCGAGCAGCTTGGTGGCCATCGAGTTGCGCCGGAACAGCGTGTTCTCGGTCTCGGTCTTGCTCACCTCCTGCTCGATGACCATCTTGAGCATCATCATCGTCCGCTCGTTGGCCTCGAACAGCCGCACCAGCAGCTGCGCCACCTCGTCGGCCTCCGTGATCTGGATCACCGCGCACAGCGCCAGCACCACCTCCAGCTTCGGGTCCAGCACCAGATCCAGCAACTTGTCGAACTTGTCCCCCTCCTCCGCCAGCGAATCAAACTCCGTACCCTGATCATCACATCCCACACACCACATGTGCCATCATCAACACCAACATTCCACACGATCAGCGCGTGTCGTGTGTCGTGTGTCGTGTGTCGTGTGTCGTGTGTCGTGTCGTCAGAGGGGGGGTCGAACCTGGTTGAGGATGTTGGTGAGCACTTTGAGGAAGGAGGCGCGGGTCTCGAGGTCCTCGTGGTAGCCCATGGTGACAAAGTACTCGAGGGCCGAGTCGATGTTGGCGCTGAGGAGGTTGGAGAGGGCCATGACCGACATGTCGGCCTTCTGGCGCGGCGTGTTGGGGTCGGACTTGGCGCGGGTGAGGAGGCGCGTGAAGAAGGTGAAGTATTTGCCCAGCGTCGACGTCTCGGCCTCCTCGGCGTCCTCCTTGGAGACCGGCAGGCCCTTGAAGAGCGCCGCGATGGCCTTCACGGCCGCCACGTCCAGGTCCACCGTGCCCTTGGTCACCTCCTTCTGCTTCTCCGGCGTGAGCTCGCTCAGCGTGGTCTGTGTGTGCACAACAGGTCGGAGGGAGGAGCGTTAATATAAGAGAGAGAGAGAGAGAGTTGCAACGTAATGGATCTCAGTAGAGATTAGATTAGATAAGTAGGTAAGTAGATAAGTGGTAATGACTAATTAGATACCTTGCCGGGCTTGGCGGCGTTGAAGTCGGATATCCACTCCATGACGATCTCGACGACGCGGTGGCGGAACTGGAATTCGTTGCCGAAGGAGATGAACTGGTGCTTCTGCATCATGGCCTCGAGGCAGGCGCACATCTTGCTCTTGATGCGGAACGAGGCGGCCGGGTTGTCCTTGATGACGAGCTGCGAGACGTACTTCATGAGGTTGGTGATGACCTCCTCAAAGTCGGTCAGGAGGGCGAGGTCGTCGGCCGTGTAGGAGTCGACGGGCAGCTCGAGGATGTGCTTGATGACGGAGATGGCCTGGTCGGCGAAGGTGGTGGCCTCGGGCGAGTAGTTGATCTGGCCGGCGGTGCCGAAGAAGGTCTTGACCTGCGCGTTGAGGTGGTGGAAGAGCACCGAGTAGGCGGTGGGCGAGAGCGTGGAGCCCAGGAGCTCGGTGGTGGTCTCGCGCACGACGTCGATGTTGGAGACGAGCAGCTCGAGGAGCTCGTCGATGAAGGCGTCGATGATCTTGACCTTGGTCTCGGTGGCGCCCTTGCGCGACTGCTCGACGACCACGCGCTCCTGCGAGAGGCACACGCCGGCGACGGCGCACAGGAAGCCCGAGTAGTGGTTCCACTCGATGAGCACCTCGGGCGGCAGCAGCGCCACGGCGGCCGACGGGGTGATCGACGCCGGCTTGCTGGGCTTGGCCGCCTTGATGGCCTTCTTGAGCGAGCCCGCGTGGTTGTCGCCCTTCTCGTCGACGGCGCCCTTGATGATCACCTGCGACACTCGCGCCCACCGCTTGTAGACCTCCTCCCACGCCCGGAAGTTGCCCTGCGTCTGCCGGATGCGCCGCAGCTCGATCCTGATGGTGCGCTGCTGGGCCGCGCGGCCCGTGAGCAGCGCCGACGCCGACGCCAGCTTCTTGTAGGTGAACAGGTTCGACGCGATCGAGTTCTCCGCGCTGTCGACCTCACTCAGGGTGTCGATCTCGTCGCACAGCAGGCCCAGGCAGTTCTCCACCTTGGTCACGATCTCCGTCTCGCCCGAGCACAGCTGAATGAGCAGCGCCACCTCGATCTTGGTCGACGCGTTCGTGCGCAGCGACGCCGCCGCCACGCCCGACGACGACGACGACGCGCCGGCCTCGCCTGCCGACTCGCCGGCGCGCTGCTCCTTGTGGGTGGCGAGGAACTCGTTGCGGAAGGCCAGGATCTCGCGGAAGAGGTTGATGTACTGCCGCAGGTCGGGCAGCTTGATGGACTTCTTCTCGATCAGCACGTCGGAGAGGTCGATCAGCACGTGCGACGAGATGTCCCAGAAGCCGGCGATCGGGTTCGAGGGCACCCAGCGCTCGATGAGCTTGGGCCGGTGCAGCTCCACGATCGCCGAGCAAGCCGTCTGCGACAGCTCCGGCAGGAAGAACCACGACGCGCACAGGCACAGGCCCTTCAGCAGCGACCGCGCCGCCTCCAGGTCCTGCGACCACGACTTGCCCTGTGTAGAAAAATAAAAAGGAAAAGAGAGATGGAATGTCAATCACGCTGAATACCTGAAGGTGACGTGACAGCGGGGCGGCTGGCGCGTACCTGGGGGTGCAGCGGGAGGATGGGGTCGGACTTGAAGAGCTTGATGAGGCGGCGGAGGATGTCGACGTTGTACATGGCGGCCTCCACGGCCTTCTTGTCCTGCTTGTTGGTCTGCTTGCGGAGCTCGTTGTACGAGCGCACGCTCTCGACCAGCTCCTGGAAGAGGATCCGCAGCTGCGGGGCCATGACCGGGTAGGCGTCGGTGATGGTGGCGTTCCACGTGATGCTGGCCCCCTCGTCCACTATTCGCTGGAGGGTGTTGACCAACACCAGCTTGTACACCGGCGGGAACTCCTTGGCCAGCAGGTCCGTGAACGACTTCACTCCCTGCTCTCACCCAAGCCCCCCATAGGCCGTCGTTAGGTAACCGGAGAATAAGTGACCACCGGGAAGAGGCGATCGGAGGTATTGTAGCCAATGATGAAACTGAGAAGAAGGGTGGAGGTTTACCTTGACGTGAGAGAGGCGGAAGGAGGCGAGGAGGCAGTCGGTCATGATCTGGACCTCGTTGCCGTCGGAGGGCTTGAAGGGCGAGGCCGGGTTGAAGAGGCGCTCCTTGAGCTCGGGCTCGATGGCGGTGACGGTGAATCGCAGGGCCGAGCTGTCCTGCTTGGTGACGAAGGTCGAGGCCTTGAAGATGTTGACGTAGCACACCACGGCGATGTCGGCCAGCTTGCCCTTGAGCGCCTTGTTGAGGTTGTGCATGAACTTCTCCTTGGTGGCGGTCTCCTTGGTCGTCTCGCTCTTGGCCACCTTGAACATGATGTCCGGGCACAGGATGAGCAGCATGGTCTGTATCTCCCAGTAGTGGCCCTTCTTGTTCTTGCCGGACCACCCCACGAACACGTCGAACAGCTCATCGGGCTTGCCGGGCAGCTTGGTGCCGTTCTGTTGGTGGTGTGTGTGATGTGTGATGTGATGTGATTGGTGGTCGGTATGGTTGCATGAGCAACCGCGTTGCGTGTCAACAGACCGGGGAATGGCGTTACCTGGGACAAGGACACGAACTCCATGGGATAGTTGTCGATCCAGTTCCAGATGGCGCGGGTGAGCACTCGGGCCAGCAAAATCCTCAGATTGTCCTTCTTGAAGGGCGCATCGTCGGAGGCCGCGAGCACCTGCCATGAAGAAGCAGAAGAAGCAGAAAGCAGAAGAAGACAAGATATCAGACATTCTGGAAGTTCAGCTCGGCGTGACGTCGGCGTGACAGGGAGCGAACCTTTTGCAAAATGTCGGTGAGGCGGGCGGCGTTGAGGTTGAGGTACTCGATCAGGTTGAGCGGGGACGAGACTTCGTCGCCGGCGGACAACGGCGACCCGAGCTTGCCCATCAGGATGTCGAACTTGGAGGCCGACACCTGGAAGAGCACGCGCCCGGCCTTGTCGCGCAGCTCGGCGGCGTGGTGCGGGCCGGGCGGCTTCAAAATCGTGTTGACGGCGATGTTCCAGATGCGCACGGCCAGGTTGTCGTCGATGTTCGGCGCTGCCACCTGCTCCTCCTTTTGCTTGAGCTGTTTTTCCAACACAACACACAACACACACACACACACACACACACACACACACACACACACACACAGAGAGAGAGAGAGAGCTTAGTAGCTGCCCACGGGAGTAGGTCCAGGGGGTGCACACGTACGACGTTCTTGTCTTCGACGTCGCTCAGCTTGCTGAGCTCCTCCTTCTTCTGTGAGTGGTGGGTGGTCGCACGCGGGTGTAAGTGGAAAGTGTAAAGTGGTGCCGGGAGGCCAGATCCCGACGTCCCAACGCCGCGGCCTTGCTAGGCACACACACACACGGAGAGAGGGAGGGCTTGCGGCCACGTACGAGGTACTGCCAGGCCGAGGCCATGCTGGTGGCGAGCAGGTTCAGCAGGTAGATGCGGGCCTGGGCCAGGCTGCTTTGGCCCTCCTCCGAGTCATCAAAGCTCTGCCAAACACGGTGACGCGTCAACGTTGCAGGCCACCTCGATCAAAAATGAAATAATAATAATAATAACAAGAGACGATAAATGAATTAAAATATTGAAATAATGAAATAAAACGATCAACGACGACGAAACATGTTCGCAAGGAACGCCCCGACATTACATTAAATAATAACAATAAAGATCGGACAAATTAAACAAGAATGGAGGTGGGGTTCTTACCTGGGGCAGGTTTTCGAGGACTTGCAAGAGTGCGCCGGCGGCTACGTTGAGCTTGTGTTGGCTCATCTCCAAGAGCGCCTGCTCATTTTGGGTGCGCAGGGAAGCCTGCCTCACCCTTTCCGACGTCTGCTCATCCTTGTCCTTGTACAGGGACACCACCTGACGGCATAATTCAAATCAATTAGCATTTGATTATGTAGTGATTATTACCACATATAGCGGGCAATAAAAATCGAATCACTTGGATAAAAATGGCAAAACTCAAATGAAACGCCCGCGTACCATGCTGCTGATTCGGTCCACGAGGTGTTTGATGAGAGATGCCTCATCAGTGATGGCCAGCAACCCGGCGGCATAAGACGAACTAGACATCATGTTCATTGAGCCCCCACGCAGGAAGGTGGTCTGCGAGAAAGATGATGCCCGAGAAGACGCGTTCTAGACGGGAAGAGGCAACGGCCGCTGAAGAAGAAGAGGGAAGATAGAGATGTGCGGCCAACGTTGCGCGTTGTTTGTGCTCTGTGTGTGCTGCTCGTGCGGGGGCGCAATTTTTGTCGCGACAGAAAGCGAAGGCGGCACCCAACAGGAGGCGACCACAATTTCGCGGTCGACGCTGTCGGCTGGTAGCGAACGGCCGCCCACCATTTTGCCACCGCCACGATCCCTCCACTCCCATTGGCTGGGGCAGCGAGATTATTATTAAACGTCACTCCGCTTCACGCGTGGGTCTTTGGTTACGGCTAGGTTTGTTGGGCGAACAGAGAACGAGGCCCTCAGCGTGTTGCGTGTTGTGTTGGTACAGGGCGGCGGTGGTGGTGGTGGCAGAGGGCGATTATCAGGCGGCGAGGTTCTGTGCGAGGGTCTCCTTCATGGTCTGGACCCAGGTGTCCATCTTCTGCCGCAGCTGCGGGGAGATGGGGTCGAAAACGCGGGGCAGGGCCGTCCACTCGCTCTGCACGCGGGCCTTGAGGGTGTCAAAGTCCTCGGGGAAGGCGCCCTCGACGGGTCCGTGGTCGTAGACGACGCGCAGGAGGTCCTCGCCCGCGACGTCGGCCTCGGCCGGGTAGATGACGGGCACGCCCTGCTCGTTGCGGATGACCTTGAGCGTGCCGGGGAGCGAGATCTTCTCGGCGTCGGTCTTGGGGTACTTCATGACCTCGCGCGTGCGGCCGTCGGCGTACTCGATGTAGGAGAGCTTGGTGGCGAAGGACATGGTGTCGCGGTCGACCTTCTGCAGGAGGCCGCCGCCCATGCCAAAGGTGCAGCTCTGGGCCGAGTAGCCCTTGGCCAGCGCGGCCTCGAGGATCTTGACGAGCGTGGCCGAGTTGATGCCGTCGCCCTGGATGACCGACACGCCGCGCAGCACCTTGTAGCCCTTCTTGTTGACGTCGGCGCCGAAGGCCTTCTCGCCGGCGTCGAGGCCCATGAGAACGGCATCGACGGGGTCGCCCGAGTCGGGGCGGAGCACCATGTGACCGCCGGCCTTCTCCTTCTTCTCCCTGATCTGCGGGAGGATGTTGTAGAGGCAGTTGGCGTAGTCGTACGAGTCGAGCACGCACGAGAAGACGCCCTTGCCGTGGTGCTCGATCATGTTCTCGATGGCCTCGCGCTCGGTGCGCCACGACGTCATCACCGAGTGCTCGGTGGCCGGGATGCTCTCGCCCACGGGCTTGCCGTGGTTGAGCTCGAACTGGGCGTAGTAGGCCGCGCTCATCGTGTCCGTGCCGCCAAAGTTGAGGAGGTGCGCGCACCCGCCCAGCACCGACTGCTCGAGGCACGTGCAGCCGCGGAAGCCAAAGTCGTGCAGCTTGAAGTTGGCCAGCTTATGGTTCTCTTCGTCCACGCTCTTCTCGAACGCTGCCTCGATCGTGTCCTTTGCCCTACGGCTCAGCGTGGCCACCGTCGTCGGGTACCACACCTGTACCGCAAAAACCCATAGACAGCTGTCAGAAGGCATGCGTAGGGAGGAGCTCACTGTAGAAATATAATAATATAATTAAAAAAAGATGTAAAGTCAAAAAAAGATTACGCAAATGTCGGGGGGGGGGCGCACTTGGGTGAGGAGGGTCTCGAAGTAGGTGAGAAGCAGGGTGTACTCCTTTTCAGCAGTAATCTGGTAGACGGGGACGTGGATGTGGGCGCAGGTGCCCTCGGGCAGGGCCTGCAGCTTCACGGGGAAGTAGCCGTTGTTCTCCTCCACGAATTTGAGGAATAGATGCTTGGGGAAGGGGAAGGCAGTGTGGCCGGCGTTGTGGGTGCTGTAGAAGAGGTCGGCCTTCTCCACGTCCTCCTTGGTCCACTGTCTACACAGGAAGTTCTCGACGAGGTACCGTATGCCATAGTAGACGAACCGGTTGTCGGTCTTGTCGCCCCCGTAGGGCTTCCTGAACTCGCCGTAGCCCACCGCCTTCTTCGAGTCAGGATACATCGTAAAGTGACTCGCCTTGTAGGAATCAGCCACCACGCTGATTGGAATGAGGCTGTGCAGCGGTGTGCGATACATGTTTGTTTTCCTTGCTCTGTTCCCTCTGGGTTGGCGATTTGTGATGTGGTGATGTTCAGAAACGATTTGTTTATCCAATGATCGTTACCGTACAGCCTTCAAAATTCGCGCAAGAGGCAGTTTCCTGAAAAAGGAGTTGTAACGAAATTTTTGCATATTTGCGAATTCCTTTCGTGCCTTTCGTGCCTTTCGTGCCTTTCGTGTTTTTGGGTTTGCCACCTCCGACGGTCGGTTCACGGGAGAATTCAACGGCATTCCTCGATTGCATCGCCGGTTCGGCTGTGGCGGAGAAGGGGGAGGAACAAGCTACACCAGCAACACTGCCTTCTCCACAAAACCGCTGGGCATTGCTTGCCTACACGCACCCCACACACACTTGCCCCGATGACCATGGCTATGTTCGCTCCCCCTGCACCTTCCACCTTCCGCACGACGACTTCATCGCAGCTGCCGTCGTGGGACACTTCGAATCCCATCTTCTTTGCGCCCAGCGCTGCCGCACCATCTGCAGGAGCCGCCTCGAACCCGTTGCCCACGGCCTCTCGCAGCAAGCGAAAAACGCCTGAGGCGGAGGAGCTCGTTGCTGCCTCGCGAAGGGAGGCGCTCGATGAAACGAGAACCGTCGCGCCTAGCAGCCGCCATCCGCTCAAGCGAGCACGACGAGGCCAAATTAATCATCCCGTGGTGGCGGCCCCGCAGAGCTTGGCGTTGGTCCTCTACCAGCCGCGAGAGGATATCATCGGCCAATCTGCAGCACACGCAGAGCAGTCGCTCCTAAGCTACAATTAGTGGCCGATTCGGGATGCACACAATCATGTACATAGACACCTCCACTATTTATACAACAACAAAGACAATTACAAGATCGTTCTTTATTTCTTTTCTCTGTTTATTTTTTATCAATAATTGTCAAGGAAAATGAACACAAAAGAGTCGACAAAGAACCCGTGGACCTACCCAAACCGAGCGCAACGCTTGGCGCGGTGACACGATTCTAACTGTTGGCCACAGCTTTCCCTTCGTAGTTCCCCATCTTCAAGCCTCTTCTTCATCAAAAGAATGTCGTTCACCGAGAAGCTCGACCCGGAGGCTCTTGCCTACTTCAACAATGTGTGCCAGAAGCCCTTCGCGCAGCAGGCCGTGGCCTTCTTGAACGCGTACTGGAGGGAGACGGCGGACCAGGCCGATTTCATCTTCAGCGTGTCGTGGGAGTTGATCAAGTATGCCGACATGCACAGCAAGGGCATCTCGCTGCGCCACCTCTACGAGGAGGGTCACGATCTCGATTTCGACATCGGTCTCTACTTCTACGAGCAGCTCTGCAAGTTCGTCGAGGACCCCAAGAACAGCAAGTGGGCCAGCCCCGCCTTCCGCAAGTCGCAGCCCGAGATGCTCACCGCCATCAAGCGCAAGCAGGAGCTCAGGGACCGCGTCGACGTCAACTTCGACGGCCGTGTGTCCTTCCTCGAGTACCTCCTCTACCAGTACAACAGCGTCGCCAACCCGGCTGACTTCTGTAAGAGGTCCATGTCCTGCCAGGACGAGCACCCCGAGATCCGCGCGCGTCTCGCCCTCGAGGAGGTCAACAAGAGCATCAAGGCCTACGAGGCCGAGAGGTACCGCCTGACCGAGGAGGCCAAGCTGCCCGGCGTCAAGGGCCTCAAGGCCACCAACGAGCTCGCCCAGCTCGACGCCAGCCCCCTGGCCGAGAAGCTCAACAAGGCCCTCATCACCGCCGAGGCCGCTGTGCGCATTGCCGTCCGCAAGTTCGGCGGCCAGAGCCTCCAACTCCTCCGAGACCTTTGCCCCGACCGAGGGCGCGCTCTGGTGGATGTCCCGCGACCTCGAGGAGAAGCAGAAGCACTACGGCAAGAAGAAGTAGAGCGAGCGAGAGCGAGAGAGCGAGGCAGAGACCCCGCAAACCGTGGTGTCGGGGCAAGCCCTTGTTCTATATTTTTTGTAGTTGAAGCGACGTGTGTCGCTCTTCCAAATTAGTCGCCATTGCCTTTATTTGTACTAATAAAGTGAAATGGTTAAAAAAAGATAATAATTAAGGCGCATTAATTTCACTTTATTTAGCTGTATTGCTTGGTCTCTTCTGCGAAGTCTTTACGACGGGTTCAGTTTGCTCCGGACCTTGGTTCGTTTTCTTTTGTGCCCTACACACGCCGGCGAAGATGGCTACCGCATCTGCATCCAACGTTCTCCGCCTGCCCGGAGAGGGGCTCGCGACTGGCCTCGAGCAGCTGGAGTGGGCCGAAGTGCAGAAGCACAACACGCGCGAGAGCTCGTGGCTGGTGATTAACGACCAGGTGTACGACATCACCAACTTCGGCCGGCGCCATCCCGGCGGCAAGGTTATCTACCACTACGCGGGTCAAGATGCCACAGACTCGTTTCGGGCTCTTCACCCCGATTCCGCCCTGGTGATGAAGTATCTCAAGCCCCTCCTCATCGGTCAAGTGGCACCCGGCTCATCCACCGCAGCATCGATTGTTGATGGCGCCCGACCGGCGCCCTCGGCATTCGTGGAGGAATTCAGACAGGTGCGCAAAGAATTCGAGGAGCAGGGCCTGTTCGAGGCCAGCTGGTCCTTCTTCTTCGGGATGCTGGCCCACATCTTCCTGCTCGAGGCTGCCGCCTACTACAGCATCAAGCTGCTGGGCAACAGTTGGCCCGTCTACCTCCTCGCCGTCGGCCTCCTCGCCACTGCCCAGGCACAGGCCGGCTGGCTCCAGGTGCGCCCCCCAAACCCCTGCGACCGCAGTATTACACTACACAATTATTTATTTATGTATTTATTTATTTAATACTACGTATCCATTACTATCACTTCTCTCTTTTTTTTTTACTTAATTTGTCCATTTCTCGCACGCGCTCATCGCTGACCTGCGACGCTGGTCGTACTCTCTTCAGCACGATTGTGGGCACTTGTCCGTGTTCAGGAAGTCGAAGTGGAACCATTGGATGCACTACATCGTCATCTGCCACATCAAGGGCGCCTCGCGAGCCTGGTGGAACTGGTACCCCGCCACTACTTCTTCCTGGCACCGGTGTGTCACATGTGCTGATTGATCTCCTTTCTTCTTCTTCTTCTTCTTCTTCGTCCACCCAGGCGTCACTTTGAGCACCACGCAAAGCCCAACGTGGTGCGCAAGGACCCCGACATCACCTTCCCCAACCTCTTCCTTCTCGGCGACCACCTGACGCGCAAGTGGGCCAAGGCCAAGAAGGGTATGCAAACACCCACCACCTCATCACTCCACCACATGCCTTGCGCGCGTAGCTCACTCGACTTCTTTTGTTTTCTGTTGTTGTTGTTGTTGTTGTTGATTGTTTCGTTGTTGTTGATTGTGACGATGGTGCAGGAGTGATGCCCTACAACAAGCAGCACCTCTACTGGTGGGCTTTCCCCCCGCTCCTGCTGCCCGTCTACTTCCACTACGACAACATTCGATACGTCTTCCAGCACAAGCACTGGTGGGACCTCTTCTGGATCGCCACGTACGTCCGCTTCACCTCTCGGGCGCCCTACATCAAGGGCTGGCGGGGTCTTGTTCATCACATACTCGAGTAGTCGCAGTCGTTGGCGTGATACTCATCATCGTCCGCGTGTGCAGGTTCTTCGCGAAGCACTTCACGCTCTACGGCCCGCTGATGGGCGGCTGGGGCGCGTTCTGGTTCTACATGCTGGTGCGCACGGTCGAGAGCCACTGGTTCACATGGGTGACCCAGATGAACCACATCCCCATGCACGTCGACAACGACCGCGAGCTGGACTGGCCCACCCTGCAGGGTCTCGCCACGTGCAACGTCGAGGGCAGCCTCTTCAACGACTGGTTCACGGGCCACCTCAACTACCAGATCGAGCACCACCTCTTCCCCACCATGCCCCGCCACAACTACGCGGTGGCCAACAAGAAGGTCCAGGCCCTCTACAAGAAGCACGGCGTGCCGATGCAGACCAAGGGCCTCATCGAAGCCTTCGCCGACATCGTCAAGTCGCTCGAGCACTATGGTGAGGTGTGGAAGGAGGCCTACTACGGCTAAGTACTCTGCCGGAGCGTGCAAAGAACACTCGCTCGCACACGTTTTCATTTCTGCCTATTTTTCACAGGCCATTTCTTCTGGCGCCAAAAACGTTCAGTAACGAAGATGGAGGCGGGCGGCTACCCCCCGTCAGACACGATGGAGGAAGAGGAGACGGCCTCAGGCGCCTCGCATCAACAGCCCACAGAAGATTCCAATTCTGTACGATGGCATCCACGCGAAGCCGCAACTGCCTCGATTAGGGCTCTCATTTTCGTTCATCCCTGACAATTCGCCCCCATTCGTGCAATTAACACTTAGATGGATGAGATTGATGAACTGGGTCGCGTGCTCGAAGAGTGCGTTGCTGCTTTCAAGCAGAAAGATTCGATCATGGAAGTGGGCGTGCTGCACGAGACCAAGAAGTTCCTTGCCTCTGGCGGCACACCTCAGGTACGAGCCAGCCGCTGGCATTTGAATGGATAATCTGGCGCTGATGGCAGACGATGGCGCGTGTGCATGTAGACGGTGGTTCACCTCTTGGCAGAAAACTACCGAGGCTATGCAGAAATGGTGAATCTTATGTCATCGTGGCTGGTGGCATCGGGCCTCAGCGCTGATGAAGTGAGCGAAATCGTCAAAGAGAAGCTTAAGGACATCCTCATGGAGAAGTTTTCGCCCTCGCAAGCCGATTCAATCTTTGCCGAGATGCAGTCGGCACCACACTGGCTCGACGTAATGATCGAGCACCCTGAATGGCGTGCTCTCATCTACCGCGTACGCGACACCCTTTCGCTTTCGCTTTCGCTCTTGCACTTCCAGCGCACTAATGAGTGCTTCATTGTTATGTGTTGGTGGTGGGCGTGTGCCTCACACAGTTGTCAGAAGTGCATCCGAGCTGTCTGATGTTGAACTTTGCCATCCAGCGGATATCCGACGCCGGCCATCAGACCGAAATCGCGTCGCTCGCCACGGCCTCCACCAACTTCGGGGTCTTCAACCGCGTGCTCAGCCACTCCCTCCTCCAGCTCGCCGAAAAGGTGAGTGCGACACTCCCTCCTCCAGCTCTCTCCACTGTGCCCCCCCCCCTCCAACCTCGTCGGCTCACCCGCCCACCCACTTGCGCGCGTAGGACGAGTCCTCTCTTCCCTCCCTCCTCCCCGACTTCAAGAAGATGTGCGGACACAGCCAGCACACCTACCTCTACACTCAGGTACGACAACAAGCCTATCGACCGCAATGACTCACGCTTTCGGTTTTCTTCTTCTTCTTCTTCTTCTTAACAAAACTCTGCTGTCTTCGACGGCCAGGCTGTGTTGGCGCACCTGGTGCGCGACAGAGCGGGCTACCACGTCAAGAGGCTCGCGCAGGAGCTGACCAACAGCACCATCGAGCACGGCCAGGTGGGGCGCAAACTCAGCTACCTGCTCTCCGACTCGCACCGATTCCCCAACATCGCCGAAGCCCTCCTCGCCATGCTCTCCTCCAACGCCACAAACCCTGCTGACGTCATCAAGGTGCGGCGTCGACGCAGTGCTTTAATAACATTTGGCAGCTGATGGTGTGATTTGCTCACCAAATGTGTGGCGGTACCTCTGTATGTTATGTTTCTCGTTACGTGCAGCTGCACAAAGAGTACATTAAGCCCGACCCGCCATCGGTGGAGTTCCTGCGGGATCCCAACATCCTGGAGCTGTTCATCCGGGACATGTTCAGCCCTGCGCGCTCCATCAGCCCCAACTACATCCTCAAATACTTCTTTGTCCTCGCCTACGCCGCCTCCGTGCGAGACGACCGAATCGTACGAGCCTCCCCTCCCAGTCCCTTTTGAGGGGGCGGCACTCACGTGTCGTGTCGTTGGTCGTGTCGTCTCGTGCGCGCACCAGTTCGGGGGCAAGCTGGACAAGGAGATGCTGACGCCCACGATGAGCGCCCTGAAGGCCGTCCAGCCCATCTGCCAGGGCAACACCCTGGGCTCGGAGCTGCAGGCCGCCGCCCACGACCTTCGCACCAACCTCTCCTACCCGGTGGTCGCCATGGGCATCATTCACTGGATTCGAACAAACCTCACCGGTACCCGCACGCACTCACGCAGCTCCTCCATCTCCACACGCATCGCTGTAATCTCGCCAACTCATCGGTGGTGCTGGTGGTGGCTGCTGGTGGTGGGCGTGTGCTCTCAGACCCGGCGTATTATGTGACATCAATCAAGACCGTGCGAACGCCCTTCTATCTGGAGCTGCTACGGGAGATCGCCTACAAGCACCCGTTCCAGGTACCCACGCTGCTTCGCTTCGCCATGATAGCGACCCCAGGACACCTCCTGACCTCGCTCATCCCCCCCCCCAATCCACTACCCACATTCCAGCGAGGGTCCGTGTTGCAAGTGCTGCAGGAATGCTTCACGATCGACTACGATCTGGACGCCCTCGCTGCCGTACGCCACCTACCCTCCCCAATTCCTTCCGGTAGTAATAGTAATAATATTCGTTGTTGTAATAGTAATAATGATTTTCTGTTTGTGGGAATTGTGGGCTCAATGATGGCTTGCCTCCTCCCCCTCGTCACCGCGCCAACCAACAGGTGGAGCTGCGGAAGGAGCTGCTCGAGAACATGCTCTACCTGATGCGATGCGGGCACATTATGCCGGTGCTCGAGTACGTCCTTGGCTGGCCCAAGACCGTAGACCAGGGCCTCCTCCGACACTTTGTCGCGCAGGTGCGATTGAATCCCCCTCCCCCTGCCTTTTTCCAACACACACGACACACACACACACACCTCTTCGGCCGAAGAGGGTTATGGGCCGCTAGTACTCACCCGATCCGAATGGCGGCAGGTGTTGAGCATGATCGAGCCGCCCTACTCGGCCGGATTCCTCCGGATGCTGCTGCGCATTGTACATGTCAACACCGAGGCCTTCCGGACGGCCTCGGCCGATAGCGCCACCCTCCACGAAACCCTCAACCTCTTCATCGGTACCCACCTCCGGTCCCGCGTCATTTCGCGTTCACGTTCTCGCCCTGACGTTGCACCACCTGCCGCCGCGCCGTGCCACGCCGCACAGAGGAGTGCGAGGAGAAGGCGATGGACTACGGATTCACGAGTGCGGGCGACAGGGAGCTGCTGCGCCAGCTCCAGCCCGAGTTCCGCGGCACCAGCCAGGGCGCGCCACCAACCCCGACGGCTGCCTCCTCCTCCTCCTCTTCCTCTTCTTCTTCTTCTTCTTCTTCCCTCTCATCCTCCCAATCCTCCGCCTCTACTTTCTCCTCCGCCCAGCAGCAGTCCCAGGGGGCCGGGGTGCCCACCAAGCTCAAGATCAAGCTCAGCGGCGACCACCACCTCACCCACTCGCACGACGGCGCCAGGAAGTAAAATAAAACACCAACCAATCAACCGCCGTGGCGCCCCTTCGATTGAATTCAATTGGTTTGCTTCTTCTGTACACCCTACACCCGCGCCCGCCGCAGGGGTCATGGAAGGTGGTTGCTGTCGGTCTGGCCGCGTTGATGGCGGTGGGGACTCCCTGAGGCGGACGGTGGCCGGTGCCGGTGCTTGGGCCGTTCGTGTTCGGGCGGCTCCCAGCCACGGATGACCGCCTTGGCCGCCGCCAACGACGACGCCGCCGCCGTTCGAGGCAAGCCCAACGCCCTGAGGAGCGGCGACGGCGACGGTGACGACACCGGCGCCGACGTGGGCGAGGGCGTGATCGGGTGGTCGAACGCGCCTGAGTCCGAGGTGTACATGCGCTCGAGAATCCAGCTTTCGTCGATGTCAGTCGCAGACGAGCGCCAAACTACCGAGTCGTCGACGGTGACGGCGGTTGGGTGGTTTCTCAGTAACGGCAGCGAGGCCGGGGTGGCGGTCGCGCCCCGCTCTTGGTCACGCTCTTGTTTCGGGGGAGCTCGCCCGATATCGATCGCATCTTCTGCGCCGTCGGGGGCCGGCCGGTAACGGCCGTGGAGCGTCGGGCCATCTCCGCCACCTGCGCGCCCGACGACGTCGGGCAAGGGCTCTGCCGGGTCAGCGGAGGCAGCCGCGGGCTCAGCAGCTGCGCCAGTCGATCTCGCGGGCTTTGTGACGGGCTCAGGGCCGTGGGCGACGTTGGCGAAGATCGTGGCGACAGCGATGATGGTGGTTCGTCCCGGTTGTGGTGGCGGTGGTTGTGGGAAGCGGATGAAAACCTGCGCAGGGTGAGGGAGTGGAGGAGGTGCTTCCGCCTGGTCTCCTTGTCCTTCTGCTGCCTCTCCCGCTTCTCCTTCTTCGCTTGACCGCCTTCCTTGGCCGCCGCCGGCTCCGGCGAGGTGCTGCTGTCCGCCGACAGAGGCTGGTGGTGGTGGTGGCGGCTGGCGACGGCGGGGGTGCTGCGGCTGGCCTGGGCCTGGTCCAACTTGCGTTGGCGCAGACGACCGCTCTTGACCCGACTCAACCGGCCTGTGGGCTCCTCGGCGGACTGAGTCAGCTCCTCGACGCTCGGAAGCGGAGCCGAGTGGGAGAACGATTGAGTGTAGAACCGACGAGGCGACAAGGCCAACGACGGGTAGGATGATGATGACGATGAAGACGATGGTGATGAAGAGGAAGAAGATGATGATGAAGATGTGGAAGTCGGGAGAGAGGGAAGCGGGGAGGGGTCGGAGTCAGAGGTGTCGGGGGAGCGCTTGAGGAGGTTGCGATCGCGCAGCAGCCGCCACACGCCCTGCGACTTCTTGCTGGGCTTCCACGACTTGCGCTGGTCTGCACTCGGCCCAACATGTTCAACGTGAGTCGCGACACACGACGTGTGGACGACCAATCGGGTGCGGCGCGCGAGTGTGGGCCACATATTGAAGACATGTAGAGGCTTGGTAGAGGGGTGTACCGACGAGGTCGGGCTCGGCAGCGAGGAGGGCATCGATGGCGTCCTGGATGGCGGCCATCCAGGCCACCTTGTCCTCGGCCTTCTTCGTGTAGAGGGTGAGGGGCTTCTCAAAGGCCACCAGCACCTGGAACGCGTTCTTGAACTCTGTCCCCTCCCGTTAGCCTGGCAGCGTTGCACATCAATACAACACAACAGGTGGCTGGCTGGCTAGCGTACCATCCGAGTCTGGAATGCTGCGCACGAAGCATTCCGCCAGATTGATCTGCTCTCGAGCGGAGCGGATTCCGGTCGTGTGCGTGTGCGTGTGCGTGTGCGTGTGCGTGTGCGGTGGTGCGTGTGCGGTGGTGCGTTTGCGTGCGTGAGCGAGAGTGGCAGTGGGAAAAGCGGACCGAGGAGGAGCCGTACGGTGCCCTTGTAGCGCAGGAGGGAGAAGGACTTGAGGGACCGATGGGCGTAGACCAGCACATCGGAGAAGAGGAAGATGGTGCAGTTCACCGCGAATGACGAAGACAGCTTGAGCACCACCCCCTCCCTCAGCAACACACGGTCCGGCGTGGCCAGCACCTGCTCCACACAAACGCAAACGCAAACGCAAAAAGATGACGTCAGCGCCACATTAACCATGCCAGTTGTGGGTGTAGAGAGGAAGAGTACGGGGCAGGAGAAGAGCTGGCTCTGGATGTGGTAGATACGGTTGCGGTTCTCCATGCGCTTGAGCTGGTCGTCGATCCGAGTGGCGGTCTCCTGGAGCTGCTCCAGGGCCTCCCGCAGCAGGCCCTGGTCGGGATGGCCCGCGGGCGTCTTGGCCGCCAGCGCCCCCAGCAGCATCAGGTACCGCGGCAGCCGCTGGATGGGCAGAATCAGCCTCGAGCCTGTCGACACACACACAACACACCACACACAACTCGCACGCACACACGCACACACGCACACACGCACGCACACAACACAACACACGCACAAAGACTTGAGATGTAAGATATGTGATATCGCGGCCAGGTCGTTGGTTGGCTGCCGGGTGAAAACTGAAACAAGCCAATCGTTTTGCGTCGATGACGTACCCAGGGTGAGTGCCTCGCAGCCGAAGCCGCCGACCTGCACTTGGTCGAGTAGGAACTGCTTGAAGCCGGCGTCCTGGCGCTCCAGCGTGTCGACCGTCTCCACGGCCCGGTCGTAGTTGTGGTAGTACTCGTCGTAGACCTGCAACGACGGCACCTGCGCATTCCACGCCACCAACATCATCAGAAAAGAGAATCGTGGGCGCACTCTCTGTGTTCAGTTCTCTCGCGAAGTCTCACACACGCACGCGCGACCGAAACCCAGCACAGGGAAATGAGGAGCACGCACCAGACGAAGGAAGACATCGCCGAGCTGCTGGTGTGGACCCCACCAGTGCAGGCGGTCCTCGAGTGCGGCGAGCAGCTCGGAGCTGATGGCCCACAGCCGTTCGATGTTGCCGAACATGTGGCCCAGCTGCTCCTCGGCCACCAGTCCTTGCACCCGCAGCGGCTGCAGATAGGTCTGTGCTCATGCCAACCACCGCCAATCACATAGAGACAATAGGGTCAGTGGTCAGACGTGCGGCCGTGCCCCGTTACGGGGGCAGCTCAGAGAAAGTGACGTCGGGGTGGGGCCAACATGCCTGGACGAGTACTGTGATGTTGGCGACGTAGGTGCGCTCGGTGTCGAGCAGTTCGCGGGCCACGTCCCGCCTCTTCCTCTCTTCCACCTCATCGACCATCAAGACCTCGTCTGCTGCTTCCATGGCCGGCCTCCAGCCTTGTCGAGCAGCTGCCGGTTCAACGTCAGTGTCGGCACGAGTGAGCTCCAAGACCTGCCAAAACAGGACACATACGGTGGCCATACCAGGTATGCTTCCCAAATCAAGGCCAACGGCCTATTTGCCAAATAGGCATCGCAGACCACTGCACACCCTTTGTGAGGAAAGGAAGAGCTTGCAAGTAGTAGTGTGGGTGCCCTACACCAAGGCAAGAAGAAGTGTGAGTGGTGAAAGGGTGTTGGCCTTGTGCTGTGCTCAAGTGAGAACAAGAAAAGTTGCTTGCTGTTCCTGCCTCTTTTGTGCGGACGGGCGTTGGGTGTTGATCTCTTTTTCTTTATTCTCTTATCCGATAGTTTGAATTGTTGTCTCTGTGTGGCTGGCTCTGCTTGCCTTCACTCGACATCGCCACCGGCAACGCGGCCCTGATCCGATAATCAGGGGTATACCCTTCCATCAGATTCTCTCTTAATTTCCACAACCTCAATTCATCGCATTTCGACGCACATTTCTCCATAGAGCGACTATGGAACCGATCAACATACACCGGCGGCCCTCCACAAGCCGTGCCGCTGAGGATGGCCCGTCCTGGGGCGGGATGGCGGCTTCGGCACCCACGCCCAACGCCTTTCCGCCTCACCACGGACATGGACACACGGCCTCCACATCGCCCCCTACTTCGGGCTCCTCATCATCGTCATCCACAACCCCGCCCTCATCGTGGGGCAGCAGCAGCATCGTCGATGTCGGGGGGCGCGATTCGCTCTACTTGTCATCATCGCCAGCATCGCGCGCCTCCCTGCGCTGGTCGCACCAGGAGCTCCGCCCCTCGGCCCAGGCCACCCTCGCTACTCGGCACGCCACCCAGATCCTGCACGCCCCCGACCACGGCGGCCGCAGCTCCACGTCGGTCGAACTCCGCCAGGGCGATAGTGATGGTGAATCAGATGAGGCGCTCGGAGACGAATCCGAGGCATCAGGGCTTGCAAATGGAGGAGGAGCCAAGCAGCCGCCGGCACACATCGTGCGGCGCACGTCAACACTGTTCGAGAAGAAGAAGGCGACGCGTGCGGCGCACAGCCTGACCCTCCCCAGTGCCGGCGGCAAGGTGACGGTGGACGTCGAGGAGCTGGTGGCCGACATGTGCCACCCGGCCACCGGCGTGCCCGTGCGCGACCGCAAGTGGCGCCTCCGCACCTACCGCAAGTGCTTCGTCGGCTCCGAGGCCGTCGACTGGCTCATGCTCAAGCTCAAGCTCGACGGTACCGTCTCGTCTTTTATTATTATTTGTATATTAAAAGAGACTAATATTTATTCATTTAATCATTCTATTTGTTTGCATCCGTACTCTTTGATTTGTTATTTGTTTGTTTTATTGTAAAAATATATATATTATTGTTGCGTAAAGAATGTGTTGCTGACTGGTACACGCGAAAAAATATAAAAAAAAACTACGGCTGGGTGCAGACCGGTCGGACGCGCTGTCAGTGGGGCAGGAGATCATGCGGCTGCAGTACTTCCGCCACGTGGTGGACGACACGCGGCAGTTCGAGGACGGGTTCCTGTTCTACGCGTTCCTGGGCACGGGCAGCACCGTCGAGGAGGCCCTCGCCGTGCGCAGCACCGAGGAGCTGGTGGCCCTCCTGCGCCAGCCCGACTCGGGCCTGCCCGTGCTCGACCGCAAGTGGCACTTCAAGACCTACCCGGCGTGCCTGGTCGGCTCCGAGCTGGTCGACTGGCTCATGTCCCACCTGCCCCTCCGCTCGCGTAAGGAGGCGGTCCACATCGGCAACCGCCTTCTTAACGAGGGCTATCTCGACTCGGTGGTCGAACCGGGCAAGCCCTTCAAGGACCACTTCCTCTTCTACGCCTTCGGGCCGGGACCCTCGTCGTCGTCGTCTTCATCATCGTCTCCCTCGTTGTCCCTGTTCTCATCGTCGGCGTCTTCGATGTCGTCGTCGTCGCTCACGCTGTCGACGTCGGGCGAGGGCCTGAGTACGCGAAGCGCCGGCGGTGGCGGCGATGACGAGAGCGAACCGTGCCTGGAGGACTTTGAGCTGCTCAAGGTGCTCGGCGTGGGCGCCTTTGGCAAGGTGCTCATGGTGCGCCGCAAGAAGACCGGCGCCATATACGCCATGAAGGCCCTCAACAAGAAGGACGTCGCCGGATCCGAACGCGTACGCCTGTCCTCTCTTGGCCTGCGCTCGAGCCTTGGCCACTTTTTGTTGACACACACCACACAACACACACACACGACACACAACACCACAGGCGGTGCGCAACCTGAAGGCGGAGAAGAACATCCTGTGCAACGGTCACCCGTTCCTGGTGCACCTCCACTACTCGTTCCAGACGCCGGAGAAGCTCTATCTCGTGATGGACTACATCGGCGGCGGCGACCTCTTCTTCCACCTCCGGCAGAGGGGCCGGTACACCCTCCACCCCGTCATTTTTTGCACTTTCTCTTTTTCTCTTTTTTTTTTTGGCGGCCGGCTGTTGGCTGACCAACCGCGTGGGTGGTGTATATGTGATGGTGGTGGTGATGATGATCAGATTTTCGGAGAAGGAGGGCGCGTTCTTTGCGGCGGAGGTGGTGTTGGCGCTGGAGTACCTGCACTCGTACGGCATCGTCTACCGAGACCTCAAGGTACCACCGCCAAAAGCGAGCAGCGCACGTGGGAGGTGGTGCGGAGGAAGAAAAGAGACCGGACCGCTAACCCTCGAATACCCCTCCCCCCTCCCCCCCGATCGACCTCAAAAGCCCGAGAACGTGCTCTTCGACAAGGACGGCCACGTGTGCCTCACCGATTTTGGCATCAGCAAGGAGATTGGCGAAGACAAAACAAAGGTACCATCAATCGTCGCAAAACGCACGACACGCAATGACGGTGTGGGTCCTCATCTTCTCTCTCTCTCTCTCTCGTGTGTGTGTGTGTGTGTGCAGACGTTGTGCGGGACGCCATCGTACCTGGCGCCCGAGATTTTGCGCGGGGAGGCCTACGGCGAGTCCGTGGACTGGTGGAGTCTGGGCGTGCTCGTCAATGAGATGGTCACCGGACGAAACCCCTTCCGCTCCAAGGTAACATCACCACCCCAATCCCATCTCCTTCTCCACTATTAGTGGAACTTGCGGAATGTCGGATCGCTGATCGACCGTGCTGCTGGCATTCCACACCACACCACACCACCACACCACATTCCAGAATATGCACCAGACGATGCAGTGGATCATGCACAAGCAGCTCAGCTTCCCCGACGGGATCGACGGCAAGACCATCGACTTCATCACCAAGCTGCTCAACCGGGATGCACGCCAGCGCCTCGGCTGTGGCCTCACCGGTACACACCGCCCTCTTCTTCTTCATCAGCATCTTTGCCATCATCGTCATCATTTCCCATCATCGTCGTCGTCGTCGTCGTCGTAGTCGTGGCCTGACGTTAATGGTGGCGTTGGTGTTTCAGGTGCGCGGGAGGTGAAGCTGCATCCGTTCCTGAAGCACATCGACTGGGCCGACCTGGCGGTGAAGAAGGCCAAGTCGCCGCTCAAGATCAACCTCACCACGGAGACCGACACGGCCTACTTCTCGTCCGAGTTCACGCGGATGCCCCTCTCCGACGAGGCCCCCTCGCGGCCCCGCAAGTCGTCGCCCGCCTCCGCCGCGGCGCCGGCCAGCGTCGACAAGCAGTTCGTGGACTGGGACCACGCCGCCCCCACCTCCGACCTCCTCTGATCTGCTCGCGGCCCTGACATACTTAACTTATTTATTTGTGCTTTCCTCCTTATTTATTATTCTTTTTGGGCTCCCTGTACACACTACACTACACTAGACTTCTTGTTGTTTTGTTCTCATTGTATGTTATGTTTAACTATTAAAGAACCCAACAAAAGAACAAAACAACACCAACCCAGACTGTGCGACGCGCGGGCGCCAAACCACAAACACCAAACACCTTTATTTGCGGACAAATTAACTCAACTAATGCCCAGGTGTAGGTCATTCGCCCAACAGACCCACCAGCAGCACCGCCAGCAGCAGCAGCCATGGCCGACACGCAAGAGCACCACCAGGAGGAGCAGCCCCAGGAGGAGCAAAAGGAGGAGCAACTGCATTTGGAGGCCGAGGAGAGAGAGGAAGTGGAGAAGGAGAAGGAAAAGGAGGAAAAGGAAAAAGGCGGAGGAGGAAGAGGAGAAAGAGGAAGCGGAGGAAGAGGGCAAGAAGGGGGGCGAGGAGCAGCCCAGGGGAGGTGAGTACCGGTACGAGATGCCGCAGTGGCAGTGGTCGCACCACTGGCAGCGGCGCGAGCGGCGGCTCTTCCTCGAGCTGTGCGCCCGCGCGCTCGACCGCTGCGAAGACACCGACGGAACTCTCCGCCCGCGCGTACGTCCATTTCTTGTTTTATCCATTTTTAGACAATTTAACACGCGTTCTATGCCTACATTTTCCCTTTTTAGTCAAATTGGAAAACGAAATAACAATGAATGTGACTAAATTATATTCTAATTACCAGGTGGGAGATGTGAAGAGGCTGGAGCGCGGGTGGCGGTTCATCGTGGAGAACCTGGACCAGCACGCCGAGATCGAGGAGGAGCTGTTCTTCCCCGCCCTCAAGAAGGTGATCCAGGACGACGAGGGCCAGGCCCTCATTGACCACCTCCTCTCCGACCACAAGGACCTTGGTGCGACGATCAGCGCTCCCTCCGCACCATCCATCTTCTGTGCTCTTCGAATCTAATCTCTGTGTGGTGCGTGTCACGTGTGGTGTGCATGTCGTGTGTGTTGTGTGCAGAGGCCAAGCTGCATAGCATCAAGAAGGAGAAGCTGGAACCGCTTGAAGGAGATGACCGCACCAAGGAGGGCCTTCAGGCATTCACCGACGCCGGTACGCTGTCACGCCGCCGACTGCGCCATTGATCAGTGAATGCTGACAATCGACACACGACACAAACGCACGACATGCGACCAACGACGAGCAGTGGCGGAGCTGTTGGAGACGTACGGGGAGCACATCAACGAGGAAGAGGAGAAGGTGGTGCCGTTCGTGCAGCGGTTCATGTCGGAGAAGGCGCAGAAGGAGGTGGGCCAGGTGATCAAGAGCCACCACCAGAAGCTCCCCTCGGGCAAGTACGGCCTGCTCATGTTCCGCGACGTGACCGCCGAGATCCCCGAGGAGCTCGCCCTCTTCAACGCCACCTTCCCCTGGATCCTCCGCAAGGTGGTGCCCCTCCTCCAACACTCTCTGTTCATCATTTTTCGGTCTTTGTTGTCTTCGTTCGGTCTGAGTTGTGGCCCATCCTTTCTTTCAAACTCACTTCTCACATACCACAACAATCACAGGTCATAATTCCAGTGATGGCAGCAACAGATGGGTTGTACAAGGAGTACAAGACCATCTTCTATGAGCCCTGGCTGTGACCCACAACTCATAATGCAACATTGCTATGCACACTACAAAAGTTGTCAGGAGACAGTGCTCCACCACCATTTACTTGCTGTCCTTTTGGTGGTGTTGTAGCACAATGCCTGGTTAATTTCTATCTGAGAATTACAGACTGATACAGCTGATCATCTTGATTGCCCAGTGCTGTGAAAAGTACCATAAAGCAGCTACATGACAATAACAACAGCTATTGGCAGTAAGTGGCTGAGTTGAATACTGGCCATGACTGGTACATTTCACACAAATTTAACCTAAACCACAAGGCCACTAACACCATTTATAGTGGAGCACTGTGCTGTTGTTCTCTGCCACCACTGCAAACATCAAGCTGGGAGACAGGTCATGCATTCCTTTCTTCTCGCCTCTTGGTCTGCAGATGATAAGGGCTACAGGTGTACTACACCAAATCAAATGATTTTGTTGTTTGTTGTTTATTGTCCACAGTGTGGTGTCCGCATTGCGGTTCTAGATATGCTGGGCATACCCCACAGCTACATGGGTGCATTTTTGAGATGCACGTTTAGGCTGGCCCAAATTGCTGCCAGTTCCCCAGGAATGCCAGCCACGTCGGAGGAGCTGCGGGAGTGAGATTGCGGAGAACGAGCTCGACCCCGAAACTCTGCCGGGGGGTGTCTGTCTGCGCCTTGACTGTCGACAGTTCTTCCTCGTTCGTGGTTGGAGGGCTACCGGCTCTGTAGCCCCTGGTTGCTTGTCCGAATCGAGAGCCCTCCCCTGCCACGGGCTCGACCGGCGAATTTGTGTTGTGCAGAACCTCCCTCGTGTGTGCAATGAGGGAGGGGGGGTAGACTCCATGACAGAGTCCGAGAAACTAGAAATTGTACGGAGAAAACTCCCCACCCCCCGCGAAGGAGGTGGGGAGAACCGTGGCGTCCGGTGGCGGGACTCGAACCGAGAAAGGGAGGACCGTCAACCTGGAGTGAACCAGGTTGACCACCCCGGTCCCCCTAAATCAAATGATTTTGTGATTCTTGCTGTGTGGAAAAACATTTCCTGAACTTTTCTTTGTCAGACGTTGCCGCACAGTGTTTTTTTTTAAATCTAGTTTTCTTTTGATTCAACACAGGCCAAGATGTCGAGGCATGCGAAGAACAATACGGCGAGCTCGTATTTCACATACGCTGAACGGCAGAAGTTGAAATATGGCACCCAGAAGCAGCGTGTGGGGCGTGATTCCCTCCCCAACTTCGACTGGTGCAATCTCACCCTCGCTACCGCCGTGCAGCCTGTCGTCACGTACCCCCCCTCTCTTAATCCAGTCCTCTTTCCGCTCCCTTATTTTACGATTTATTTTTGTTTTACTCTTTCTTTTTGTAATTGATTCAACCTCACGCTGCAGGCCCGTTGGGTACGTGTATTCGAAGGAGGCCATCTATGAAAACTTCCTCCAGCAGAAGAAGGAGATCGAGCGAAAGAAGCAGCTCTGGGAGGAACAGCAGAAGCGCCTTCTCGTTCGTCTCCCAGCCCTTCTTTGCACAGCGCGCGCGCGCGTGTGCGGTGGTGCGTGTGCGTGTGTCTCAACGCCAACGTACGCTACTTCAACAGAACGACGCACAGAAGAAGGAGGACGATGCGAAGCTGGCCGAAGTGGAAAAGTTCATCAAAAGCGAAAACGCCGTCGCCCTGCCCCTCCCCGAAAAGGGTACGTCACGCACACACCACCGCACGACACGACACGACATGCTCACACTCGACATCTTCTCTAGAGCGGAAGCGACAGACGGATCGGACAGAGGAGGAGGAGCTGAAGGCGAGGGTGCGGGAGCACGCCAAGAACCTGCGCGCCTACTGGGTGCCGGGCAAGGCGCCGTCGGCGGAGGAGAGCCTGCTGCCCAAGCCGTCGTCCAAGACGCACGACCCGATGAGCAACGACCCGGTGCGCCTCAAGGACCTCCTCCCGATCGAATTCACGCCCGTACAGAACGTCAACGTGCGCGAGGCCGACAAGATCGGTCGATGGATGTGCCCCGTCTGCTTCACCATCCTCTCCAACCGGTACGCACCGCACACGCCGCACACACATGCGCCACCTTAATGTACGCCAGCACACGCGGGACCTTCGCCGATATTGATTCGTGTGTGGCGGTATGGATGTAGGGTGAAGCTGACGGCGCTGCGGACGAGCGGGAAGGTGATGTGCCACGGGTGCTACGAGAAGTTCGTGGTGCCGGAGATGAAGGACCCCATCACCGGGAAGCGAGTGCGAGACAAGGACGTGATCCACCTCAAGAGCCCCGGCACGGGCTTCTCCGCGGGCTCTGAGTCCGCCACCCTCGTCGCCACCAAGGTCGACACCGCCTTCGTCGGCTGATCGCTCCTCTTCCTCTCCTTCGCCCAAGCACACTATAAAATGAATCAGTCACTCAGAGGCCCAGCCCTTCTGTTCATGCCCACCTGTGGCGCAGCTGCATTCTTTTTCTTTTTTTGGCTTTTCTCTTTCGATTTTTGGTAGAGGAATCAGGAGAAGTTGACCACGAGATTGAGCTCTCTGATTGGAAGGCAAGACGGAAAGCGAATGATGATGAGGATGATGCCTTGGAAATGATATTTATAGAAGAAATCGAGTGGGGTGCGGCAAAGGTGATACTTAAATCACCTTACAGGTCCTCATCCTCATCGGGGAGAGGGGTCTGGGCAGCCAGAGACAGCTCCTGCTCGTACTGCTTGATCTGGTTCATGTCGAGGGCAACCTCAGGGGGCGCAAGGGCGGGCGACTCCACGAGGGCAAGATCGGCCTTGCTGCAAGATGAAAAGGAACGCGATGAGATTCTAATCATGGGAGATTGACCAAATTAAGGCAAAGCGAGAAAGGCTGACGCACTTGGTGAGCTTGCGGGCGAGGAAGAGGAAAGGCTTCTCGAAGTTGTAGTTCGACTTGGCCGAGATGTCGTAGTACTGCAGGTTCTTCTTGCGGTGGAAAGTGATGGCCTTAGCCTTGACCTTCCTGTCCTTGACGTCGACCTTGTTTCCGACAAGAACGATGGGGATGTTCTCGCAGACTCGCACAAGATCCCTGTGCCAGTTGGGGACGTTCTTGTAGGTGATGCGCGACGTAACGTCGAACATGATGATGGCGCACTGGCCCTGGATGCTGAGATGGATGCGCGTAAGATTCGGAGCGGAATTTGCTGAGATTTGATTTGAAGGGCATGGGAGTACACGTACTAGTAACCATCGCGAAGACCTCCGAACTTCTCCTGGCCGGCGGTATCCCACACGTTGAAGCAGATGGGGCCGAAGTTGGTGTGGAAGGAGAGAGGGTGGACCTCAACGCCAAGCGTGGCTGTAGACACGAGGAGTTTAGGATATAGGGCTATCTACAAAGAACCGTGCAGTACTAAAGTGATGATGCAAGAGTGGTTGAAGGATGATGCACGTACCGACATACTTCTTCTCGAACTCACCAGTAAGATGGCGCTTCACGAAGGTGGTCTTACCCACGCCACCATCGCCGACAAGGATGAGCTTGAAAGTAGGAACCTGACCCTGCATGCTGATGCTATAGATGCTATGTGTTGTGGTGAAGGAGAAAGCGTGTCCGCTGGCGAGTAAAGAGATCAAGAGAGACGGGGTTTGCGCAAATCTTCTAGAAGCTTTTATCCCGCCTTTTTCCCGCCTTTTCCGAACGTTTTGTCTTCGCGCCCAAACTGAAAATGTTTGGCGTGTTCTTGAGTTTTCCTTCGTTTGGCAAATTTTTGTGCGGCCGTGTAAAAGAATAAAAAAAAGAGAAAAAGAAGGACAACGTGGCTGGTATGGGTTTTTATTACTTCATGATACCACGAAGAGGGAGGACGTACCTGGGAGTTGTCTCGTCAGCTTATGCTGTTGTGGTTAGATGTGTAATGCGCGTTGCTACCTAGAAGTCCTGGCCAGCCAGTCAGAGAGGCAGCGACAAAATTCCTCTAGCGCCATGGTCTTCATCGCGATCCCTCACTCCAACGGACGAGCCGACGGTCGTTCCTCTTTGGCGGCGATGCCATCTTCCTCTTCACTCCCCCTTCCAACACGATGAGGTCGATCCGCGCTGTGCGCCCTTATTGCGCGAGGTGGAATGGGGGAATAGGGCGGGGTAAACACCACGGTGAACACACAAGCAGAGAAAGGAAGCGAAAAGAGCGCGAGCGAGAAAGAAGAGAAAAGGGAAGAGAGAGTAGCAAACCAGTTGGGCGGTCTGTTGGCCTCCGCTTCCTCAACGCTTCTTCCCACATCAACATCTACTTTATTCCACCGGCGGCGGGGTGAGGACTCCTCTCGAAGCGATGCCACTTTTTAGACCTCGTCATCGAGCCGGCGCCTCTTGTCGGCGCCAGGCGAAGGGGTACGTGAAGGACTCCTGGAGCGCTTGTTCTCTGCACGCGGTGGCAAGAAACACACAACATCAGGACCAAGCTCGATCTGAGCGCCAGCGAACACTGCGAAGAACGTACCTCCGGGGCTCGGAGAGCGGCGAGGAGAAGGGGACCGGTGCGCGGGGCTGCGTCTCGCTGATAAAACGGCAGACAATCAACAGCCGACTCGAGACAATTACAGCACAGAGCACAGAGCACAGACAAGGGTCCTACCAGGCGAGCGAGCAGGCGAGCGTGCCGGAGAGCGCGCGGGCGAACGCGCCGGGGACCTCCTCGCAGGAGAAGGCGAGCGACGGGCTGAGAGCAGCACCAATCAGTTTCGTCGGCCGGTGGTGAAGGCAAAGCGCTGAACGTTTTGCGAGCAAACGAGAGTAGTACCTCTATCGGGCGAGGGCGAGCGACGAGGCGACCTGGGCGGCGAGCGCCTGGGAGAGCGGCTCCTGCTCCTCCTGCTTCGCGGAGGGGAGCGGCTCCTCCTGGGCGGCGAGCGGCTGCGAGGCGGGTAGCCAAAGAAGGACTGCTTCTTACCCAGACCCACGTCCCAATCGAGGCGAAGGCGGCGACCCTCCATGCTGTAGCCGTTGAACCTGCAGAGTTGCACGATTATGAGCCATCTCTGAGGGAAGATTTTTTGTAGTGCCAGGTGAGCAATATGTACCTGTCGTAGGCATCCTCGGCATCCCTTCTGCTTTCGTACTCCACAAAGGCGTAGCCCTTGCTCTGCCCCGTCCTCCTGTTCATGCCGATGGTGACGCCCCTCAGGCGGCCGCATTTGCCAAAGTAGTCCGCAACGTCTCTCTCACGGAAATTGTAAGGCAGATTGCCAACGAACAGCGTAGTCGAATCGCGCAGCTCCCTCTCGCTCACATTCACCGGTCTGTGCAACAATTCAAACAGTCAAAATTATACAGAATGGAATGGATGGAAATCTTGGGGGGGGGGCGACAATACCCTCTCCTCGGTGGCGAGCGGTCATAGCCCCTGTCGTAGCCACGATCGTAGCCTCCACGATCATACCCGCGGTCGCGCTCAGGCGAGTAGCGAGATCGGCGGGGTGAAGGAGAGCGAGATCTGTATGACTGGGACGGTTGAAGAGGGTTAATGCAGATCTTTGAAGTTTGGGCCAGCCTGGACTGAACTGCCTGAAGTAGATACCATTTGATGTGCAAGGGATCTGAGAGCAAACAAGAAAAAGAACGCTCGTCTTTTTCGGAGACTAATCCGGCATAAAATAAAAATAAAAGTAAAAACAATTTTATTCGCGGACAATGAGGAGCAAGGCGCGGGCACTGACTCTGCACGTTGCCTCGCGAACAACCGCAGCGGGTTTCCTGCGCTGTGCTTCCTCCTGGACCAGCCCAGCGTGGCAGCGCGATGGCTTCTCCTTCCTTCCTGCCCAGCCTGGTAAGTCCGGGAAAACCTCCTGACAATAAATAAATAAAATAAAATAAAATAATACAAAATAATATAAACCTCCTTTTCAACAACAAATAAATGAATGAATAATAAATAAGAAATAATAATCGAAATACATCCACAACCGTATGGCGGTGCAGAGAAGGTGGGACAGAAGCCGCGGCCGCTGGTGCTGACGCTCGGGTGGCTGGGTGCCAACGAGCGGCATCTGGGCAAGTACTCGAGCTGGTACAGCAGTCAGGGCTACGACACGCTCTCCTTTATCTCTCCGGCCACCTCCATGTACGTGCTCGATGACGCCACTCGATGCGGGAGACACGCACCAAATGCTCACGGCGTGTTGCGTGTTGCGTGTTGCGTTGCGTGTGTCATGTGCGATGTGTCAGACTCTTCCCCCAGTTTGGAAGGAAGCACGCGGCTCAGCTGCTGGACTACGCGATTGATCTGAGCGAACAGACGAAGGACGGTAAGCAGGAAAAGCGACCGATCCTCTTCCACGTATTCAGCAACAACGGGCTCTACTTCTACGCCAACGTGCTCCAGCAAGTCGCTCGATCCAGCCAGGTAGCTACTCATTGCCCTGATCATGTGACCGCACGACACAACATACACAACATACACAACATACACAACATACACAACATACACAACATACACAACACACACAACACACAACACACAACACACAACACACTCACCCCAAATACACTCACCGCACGTGGCTTTGCTCGGGTCAGTACGAGCGTGTTCTGCATTCCACACTCGGTTGTGTGTTCGACTCCACGCCGTCGCACCTCTCGGTCGAGATCTTCACCAAGGGTACAATCGCACCCTTGCGGGTTGTGTCCTGAAGTAAGCCGAGGGAAACTGACTGACTGAACTGATCGCTCTCGGTGACACGCGCAGGCTTTGGCGGTGCTCTGCTGGGCGCAATGGGCATCACCAACGACGGCCGACCTGCCTACGATCACTGGCTCGTCTCGCCCATCATCAGAGCGCTCTTCTCGGTCGCACTCGCCCCTCCCTTCCTGCGAAACAACGTCAGCTCCCTCCTCGAATCCTACGTCCGCTTTCAGGTAGGCACTCTAACGTTGGAGGGTTGCAGCAACTGCGGTTGATCTACTGGTGCCCACTCACTCACTCACTCACTCGACGTTGTATTGCAACACTCACCCGCGCAGCCCAAGTGCCCGCAGCTGTTCCTGTACAGCAAGGGGGACGAGCTGATCCCCTACACCGACATCGAGCTCGCCATCCGGGCCACCAACGATCTCGGCATTCCGGCCACCGGGGTACACCCAGCCTTCGCTCGTTCGTTAATTTAATCAACCCGAGCGAGCGCTGTCTGACCGAGCGCTGGGCCGATGCAGAAATGCTGGGAGGACAGCCCACACGTGTCCCACTTCCGAATGCACCCGGAGGAGTACCGCGAGGCGGTGGCCCAGTTTGTTGAAGGGGCCACGGAGCGGTGGCACCACCACGGCCAACACACGGCCATCGTGCAGCAGCAGCCCGCGCCGCTCTCTCACGCCGGCCTGGACAAGGTCGTCGAAGAGTGGAAGCGCCTCATCATTCACTTCTGATATGGCCTTGTGCCCGCTCGAGCGAGTTCAGGGCTTTGCCAAGAAGTGGCCGGTGCCAATCGCCCGACGGCCACAGATAAAGTGGCGCAACGAAGGAGAATTCGCGGACCCAGCAAAATAAATTTTAATTATAAAATAAAATAACCGAACAAAGCAAAATCAACAGAAGGCCTTCACCTTAGGTGTAAGCAGCGAAAGCCCAGCCAAGAAGGTGAGGCCGTCCCAGTCCTTGTGCCTCCTCTCTCAATCAACAGTGATAATCCGATCCCATCTTGCTAATCGCAGCGATTTTTTTCTACCTGTGCATCGCGTTGTGCAGAATGGACACAAGCTTTTCCGAAGGGGAGCCTCACATGATGGTGGTGCGACATGGCGGAGATGAGCACGAAGAAGGCGAGGGACCCTGGATTACGAAGGACGTGGTCGTCCTTCTTCACGGGGTACCCTCATCTCTCATCCCAACTAATGTTGCTGCCTTTTTATTTATTTTATTGTGGTTTAGAAATTAAACAACAGTTATAATTTTATTTGTACGTTTATATCCCTATTTTTTATTTACTGGTTTTATCTCTGGGTACCAGCTGGGCATGATCCTGGCGTGGGGATTCTTCCTCAACATTGGCTCGGTGATTGGGCGCTACTACAAGAAGCCGCCGCACGACCGTACGCACCACTTTGTCCACACGACACGACACGACACACACACGACACACACACGACATGACCACATACACGCACGGTTCCTGCCCAACGCGCAACCTAACAACGCTACATTGCAATGATGGTTGCAGTGTTCGCGCCGCGATGGTTCGAGTGGCACGCAACGTTCCAGACCGTGGGCTTCTTTATCGCGCTCGGCTCCGGCCTGCTCATCATCGTTCACCTCTCGTGGAACAGATTTCCCGGTACGCCAAACAAAACACAACAAAACCGCCGCACACGGAGCTCACATTCATCGCGCACGCTCGCTCTAGCGCGCTACCCGTTCTCCAATTCACTCGACTTACGTACCGCCGCGCATGTCTGATGCTTCAGGAGAGCACTTGGGCGGACTGCACCAGGTCATGGGAGTGCTGCTGCTGCTGTGCGCCATCGCCCAGCCCATCATCGGCGTCGAGGCCCATCGCGATTTCCTCCGTCTGCGGGTACGTCACACACTTTATTTATTATGGAAGATAAATAAACACCAAACAATGGCCACGTCATCGCCCAGGGTCCCGGTCGCTTCCACCCGCCGCACAGGTGGCTCGGCCGATTCCTGATGCTTGCGGCTGTGCCCACCATGGGCTTCGGATTCAAGGAGCTCGGCAAGCACATCATGCAGATCGACACCATCGTCTGGTTCGCCTCGTGGACCCATGGCCCTACTCTCATTGCTCCCTGTGGTTGCGTGACCTGACATGCAAGGTGTGTGTCGTGTGTCGTGTTGCATCTGCAGGTGGGCTTTTGCGATTCTCGTGGTGCTCGGCACCGTCATTATCAGCTATGGCGAGTGGTCCCTGAGCGGCCAAGTCAAGCCTCGCCCCGCCAAGTCTGAGTTTGAGCTCCGTGACGTCACCGGCAAGTCGGGTTCGTGCTCTCTTCTACCACTCAAATCGTGACTACCGCACCTCATGACTTGTAGCAGGCGTGGTCGACGAGGACCACTACGGCACTGACGAAGTGGACGCGGTCGACGACGTGCGAATGAGCGCAGCTGCCTCGGTCAACAATGGCGTGGAGGAGGACAAGCGCACCGTGGTCGACTTCGTGTTTGAGCGCGAGGAGGTGCTGCGCAAGGAGCGCAAGCGAAGCCAGACGGTCCTGATCGGCTGCTCAGTGCTCTCGCTCGGCATCGTGCTCTTCATCTGCGGCTACATGATCAACTCCTACCGCAACATGGACATGGACCAGGACTGAATCAAGGGGCCAGCCAGTGTGAATAGACTTTTATTATTTATTTATTTATTTTCTTTTGTGGTCTCGGCACAATCAGTCAATCAGTCAATCGTTCGGACAAAAGGATGGAGCATTTGCTGCAGCAGCAACAGGCGCAACAGACTTGCGCAGTCTGCCAGGTGAGCAGCAGGGAGAAGGAGCTGAAGAGGTGCGCGGCCTGCCAGGCCGTGTGGTACTGCGATGCCGAGCATCAAAAGCAGCACTGGAAAACCCACAAGGCCATTTGCAAGCTCATCCCTGAGGCGCATCGGAATGTACGCCACCACTCGCCTTGGAGAACTACAACGGTTGGAGGTTAATTCAACTCGGATTGTGAATTGTGTACAAGAGATTTTGAAGATTGGACAATGGGGAGTGGAAGTGGAAGTGGAGATGGGTGGAAGTGGAGGAAGATGGGGAAGAGGCGAAACGTGCCAAGCTCAAATAATCCGGAGAGTAGCGCCAAGATCTTCTCCTCACCCCGATCATCACGCAGGGCTTTGCGAAGAAGGTTCTGAAGGAGGGCAACAACGAGCGGTTCCCTAAGCGCGGCAACACGGTCAAGGTCCACTACACGGGCACTGTACGTCGACGGCATCCCCTCTCTTCTCCCGAGGCAAGCAAGAGATCTTCATTTCCTGGTCCTCCAGCCCTGCGCTCACCGACTCTCCCCTCTTCTGGTGGCAGTTGTTGAACGACAAGCAATTCGATAGCTCGCGCGAGAAGGGCAGGCCTTTCGTGTTCGTGATCGGCAAGAAGAACGTCATCAAGGGTACCGTGCTCCAACCTCTGTGCGGTCCACCTTCAGTCCACCTAACACACAACCTCCCACAGGCTGGGACGAGGGAGTGTTGACGATGAGCGTAGGCGAGCGGTCGCTGTTTGTCATCTCGCCCGAGTGGGCCTACGGAGAGAGCGGCATTGAGCCAGTGTACGCCTCTCCTCCAACACGGCCCGCACGCAAACACCGCACTCACTCGCGTCATCCATTACTAGTATCCCGCCCAGCGCTACTCTTGTGTTCGACGTGGAGCTCCTCGAAGTGTAACCCGCTGCTGGGTCCAGCTCTCCTCCACTTGCTTGCCACAGACAAGTTATACAGCGCAGCATCCATTCTTGCTAGCAACGTTGCCCCGTTCCGCTCTCTCTTGCTGCCTACGGCACCACACGGTACAGACATCATGAACACCTCGCATTGCTCGAAGCCTCAATAAAACAGAGAAGACGACGTGGCCGAGTGGTTAAGGCGGTAGACTAGAAATCTACTGGGGTCTCCCCGCGCAGGTTCAAATCCTGCCGTCGTCGACCAAACTTTTTGTTCTTCTCCACACTTATTGAGCAACTTTACTCGTCGCAGTGGAAGCCCCGTTTGTAACTGATGTCTTCGCGGCGCGAACGCAGCACCGAGGCCCTCAAGGACATAGCCGGTACTTCGTCGTTGGTGTTGTGCACTTAGGTCCGAGATTGGCAAATCGTCTCCGTCGATTTTTATTTACTCTCATTTTGTTGATTTATTCGTTCTCGCTGCAGCGGGTTCTGTGCGAGGCTTCGCGCAGGTGGTTGTCGGCCACCCCCTCGACACCATCAAAGGTTCCCATTTCAGATCCTATTGCTGTATTCGGTCAAGGTCCTCACCCGCGCAGTGTGGGTGCAGTGCGATTGCAGACGCAGGGCGGCGAGCGGTCGTTCAACGGCCTCCTGGACTGCTTCTGGAAGACGCTCGCCAAGGAGGGGGTATTGCTGCTGCCCGCCTTGGTCCATTCCTGCTGGCGCTCGCTGCATACCACTTCACGAGGCTCATCTCTTGTGTACGCGTGGTGGCGATGATGCGGCCGTGGTGGTGGCATGCGCTACACCTGCGGGCGGCAGGTGCGAGGGCTGTACAAGGGAGCTGCATCGCCCATCACCGGCTGCGCCTTCTATTCGGCCACTCTGTTCCTCTCCTATGGGCAGGTGCGTGCGACTTACCTGATCTGTCATTGAGGAGCTCACCACCTTATCGTTAACACACACACACGTACCACCGCACACGCACACGCACACGCACACGCGCACGCACACGCACACGCGCACGCGCACGCACACGCACGATCAGGCCAAGGCATTGTTCGACGTGGAGAACAAGCCCACCGTCGTCCGGTACGGAGTCGTGTCATCAGACTGGTCTCTGATCATTGCGTGGCATCATCTCACGCGCTGCTTGCACCACCAGGCTGATGATGGCGGGCTTCCTTACTGGGAGCCTGTGCTCGTTCGTGGAGGGTCCCGTGGATCTCATCAAGTGCCGGCTGCAGGCCCAACACCCGCACCACCTCGCCACCACGCCCGCCTGCGACCTTCCATCGCGGGGAGGTCCGTCGTCTCTTTTTCTCCCCTCTTTTCTTCCTCTTCTTCTTCTTCTAACAAGCTCAGCTACGGCTGGTATCACTTATCAGTGGTCTACCAGTCGTCGTGGGATTGCGCCAAGAAGATCGTGTCCGAGCGTGGAATGCGTGGAATCTTCCAGGGACTGGGCGCCACGCTCTGCAGGCAAGCCCACTAGACTCACGTTCGCGCGCGGTATAACTCACACTCATCCGTGTGTGTGTCGTGCGTCGACTGGGCGCCCAGGAACGTGCCAGGAACGGCAGTTTATTTCACAGCCTATGAATGGATGCGACGCTTCTTTGCTCGGTACTCGCCTTATTTGTTTGTTTATTTATTTCTATTTTTATATATAAATAATAGTAAAATAAACAACCCCCCCTAACGCACGTTCTCGCGGCTGTGCAGAGAAAGCGAGAGCCGAGACTTGTCTGCCGGCAGCGTGATCGCCGCTGGCGGCATGGCCGGCGTCGTCTTCTGGCTCTCCTGCTACCCCATGGACCTCGTACGGAGCCCCACCCCATTACGCGCCCACCTGTGGCAACTGGTTTGATAACACCCTCTCTCTGCGCTCGCGCGCGCACACACCGCACACAGATCAAGTCGCGCATTCAAACGGATCATCCGGATCCGTCGCAGCGGCGATACCGCGGCGTGCTGGATTGCGTGCGGCAGATCCACGCCACCGAGGGCTACCGCGGCTTCTGGCGAGGCTTCTCCGCCGTACGGACGGCCCTCTTTCAACGCCTGCAAGCAGCTGCTCACACTCCTTTTATGTACATCTCGTGTGTGTTGTGTGTTGTGTGTGTGTGTGTTGTGTCGTGTTTTTCCAGTGTCTTGTGCGCGCGTTCCCCGTCAATGCGGCCACCTTCCTGGCCTTTGAAACCTTTCGAAGCCTCATCAGCATCTGAAGAGCAGTTTACCCCTCTGGCCAACAAGACGTCTTGTTTTTTCGCTTTCGTTTTTCGTTTTCGTTAAAAACGATGGCAGACCTGTGGGACGCTCTGCCCAATGAGCTGTGGAGCATGATCCTCGTCGCTGCACGCCTCCCCCCCAACAATCTCCTCCTCGTGGCCCTCACTTCTCGGTGCCCCCCCGCTTCCCATTTTTTTCAATTTGTTTATTGTTCATTTTTTCCTATTTAATAATTATTAAAACAAATAACATAAAAAGGAAGATGCGGGAGATGGTCGAGGACCGGCGCGTGTGGGCGGCCTCATTCGCCGGCACGGCCCTGGTCTGGGGCCGTGGCCGCCGGGGCCAGCTCGGCTGCGGCCGCATCCAGCGCTGCACGGCAACCCGCCCGAAACTGGTCCGCTTGCCGCCCTGCACGGCCGACGCCTCACCGGCGGCACCGACGTCGGTAGCGGCCGTTTCGGCGGCCAAGGCGCACACGCTCGTGCTGTCGGGCGACGGCCGCGTGTTTGCGTGCGGTTCGGGCGACCACTGCCGACTTGGCGGCGCCGAGAAGGGCCGGGCGAAGCGGGGGCGCGACGCGCGCTGGGTGCGGCGTCCGGTCTTGCTAGCGAGCCTGCCGGCCGACGGCGAGGCGCGGCGGGTCAAGCAAGTCGCCGCCGGGCACCAGCACAGCCTACTCCTGACCGAGGTCGGCGCTCCCTCTTGCATCGCGAGCCATCTTCGTCACATTCCATTCACATACATGTGTCGTGTGCCGTGTGTCGTGTGCCGTGTGCCGTGTGCCGTGTGCGTATCGTGTCGTGTGTGGGTATGCAGGAAGGACATGTGTATTCGTTTGGCGAGGGGCTCTACGGCTGTCTTGGCCACGGTGACCGCCAGCCGCGGCAAGTGCCCACGCTCATCACCCAGCTCGTCGCCAGGTGGCCTTCTCTCTCCTGAATTACCTCCAACCTGCATCCATACAATTGACCACAACACACTACCAACGACCAACGACACGACACACGACTCACGACCAACGACACACACCTCTGACACTGAAGTGGCTTCGTGGCGACGAGTGTGTCGGTGGGGCGACGGCACAGCCTGGTGCTGTCCGACACCGGCATGCTGATGGGATTCGGCGGGCTGGAGGGCCGCGGCATGCCCGTCTTCGCGCCGGTGCCCTCCACCCGGCCGCACCCCGACGCCGCGACGCGCGTGGCGGCCGTCGCGTCGGGCGCCTACTTCTGCGTGATCCTCACCACAACGGGACAGGTCCACCTGCTGGGCAACCTGCTCGGCACACGCGTGCGCACGCCGCTCATGCACCGGCGCGTCGCGCTCGAGCCCACCGCCGCCGCCGCCAACGACGACAAAGATCTCTGCGCTGCTTACAACGACAATGAAACGGTGGTGATGGTGTCGGCCGTGGCGGCGGGCGATCGCCATGCGCTGTTGCTGACGGGCGACGGGAGAGTGTTCGGCCTGGGCTCCACCAACGGCCGGGGCCAGGCGAGGCGCGGTGAGCCGAGACGAGACGACGCGGCCTACGAGGTCACGGGCGACAGGGGCGCGCTGGCCGGAGCGAGGGCGCGGGTGCGGGCCGTTGCGGCCGGCTCGGCGCACAGCGTGGCGCTCACGACCGACGGGCGGCTGTGGGCCTTCGGCTGCGACAGGGACGGCCAGTGCGGGGTCGCTGCAGGAGGCCTTTCGGTTGTGGCGCTGCCGCGGTTGCTGACCTCTCTTGTGCCAACGAGCGCGGTTGCAGCGGGAGGAACACGCACCTACGCACTCATCTAACCCTCAACATGCATTAATCGTAACTTAGAACCCAGTTTTACTCTCCGATTTCCCTCAGAGCGGTCGCCGGCACGCGAACCAAGATCGTCAGGCGTGCAAAGAGCCTCGAGTGGATGGTCGTGGCCACGCGGCCAGGAACGGCGCAACTCCCACGCATGGTCACTTTCTTGATGCAACTTCGGTTGACGAAGACAGTCAGGGAGATGCCCTTGCACGAGACCTTGCCCGATATGTCGATGTTCTTCCTCGGCGCGATGATGAAGCGGATCTTGTACGTTGCTGGGGTGTCGCCCGGAAACACCGAGATGCGCCAGGTGACCTTGCCCTGCGCGACTCGATCGTCGAACTCGACGGTCGGGGTCGAGTGAAGGTCGGGGACGACGAAGCGGTGGCTGCTAGCTGCCCGCCGGTAGGCCTTCATCAGAGCCTTCGTCGAGAAGAGGCCGCTGGGCTCGACCACCTCCTTGATCTCTTCGGTGGTCATCAGGTGCGTTTCGAGGAGCCAGACCAGGCTGGCCACCTTCTCGACCGCCGATTCGCTCGCCACTTGGGGGCCTGTCTGCTCCTCGTCGTCGGGAAACTGTCGAAGGTGCTTGTAGCGCCTCTCGATGGCGCGAAACAAGTCAACCTCCTCGATCTCCTCGAGGTCTGCCTCCAGAAGCTCTTCCGCAGCAGCCAGCGACAAATGGAGCCACTGCTGCTCGACCTGAAGCTGGACGATCTCGGGACCGCCCAACTGGCTGGAGGCATCGTCCCTGATGACCTTCAGGCAGACGCTTCTCGCCAACTCGGGCGCGATGCCCAGCGCCAGGTCGAAGGTCGCGAGCACCCTCGAGCTGTCGTTCTCGAACACCTTGCTCAGCTCCTCGGCCGCTACTGTCCTGCAGTCCTTGAGCAGATAGCGATCAGCCGCAGCGTAGAGCTGCACCAGGTCGCGCTCGTGCTGGGATGGAGCCTCGTCATCGTCGTCGTCGTCGTCGTCGTCATCATCGCGGTCCCCGTCTTCATGGACCAGCTCGGGGTGTAGGGTGTTGGTGTAGCACCAGTGGAGCAGGTGGCGCATGGTGCGCGGCTCCAGGTCTGGCACCGACACGCTGTGCCAGAAGACCGGGGGAAGAGAAGGGGAGGCCGACGTTGAGCAGGACACCGAGGAGGTGGGGGCAGGCCTTCGCGGAAGCTGCCGTTGAGGAGCGCCTCGAACACGGGAGAGCGCGCGATGAGGATCACCTTGGAGGCGTAGACAGGCGTGGCCTCTTTGCCCACCAGAAACTCGACGTCGGCACACGTCCGGTTGTCCACCATGCTGGCCAGCTGCAGCCCTCCTCCACCTTTCGACCGTTTGCTTCCGCTTTCCGATGCGCTCAATTGCATTCTCGAATGATCAGCTGCCTGTGGTGGTGCTGGTTGTTGCAGTGTTTTGCAGACTTCACAGCTTGCCAACACTCCACAGGCGGTGCTGCTGCTGTGGATGTGACTTGTCAGCCTCTATTCTGCTCTGTCCCTCTTTCCGCCCAAAGCTCTCCTTCCTTTCCATTGGCTCTCTCCCTGGCCGCATAGAAAACCACCCACCCTCCCGCTTTCGCCCCCCCCCCTCTCTAAACAGATTCGAGCACGGTTGCAGCTGGAGGAACACGCACCTGCGCACTCTTGGGCCATAACCCACAATCCTTAAACATGCATTGATCATAACTTGGCGCCTTTAGCCGGTGAAGTGCTGCACTTGGGCGAATCCGCCAGCGAGGTGCTGCAGGACACTAACGGTACGGCCCCACTGCGGTGGTCTGTTGGCACGCCGGACGAACGAGGCCTGCGGGAAGGCCTGGCTGGCGTCGACGTCGGACATGCCCGCGAACTGGACCACGGCCAGGCGCGGCAGGTCCGCGCGCCAGCGCTCGAGCTCGGCCGGCGGAGGGAGGCGGGTGCCCCAGAGCTCGAGCGAGTGGAGCCGGGGGCACGCCAGGCGCAGCTCGCGCACTCGCACGGAGTCCAGCTTGAGGGCGTACAGGTGCGCCGACTCGATCGACACTCGCCCATCGCTGATGACGTCATCGCTGCTGACGTCACCCGTCGCCGACCAGCGGTCGTGGTCCACCAGCCGCACGCAGGTCAGGCCCCACAGGTTGGCCAGCGTCACGTTGCGCAGCGGCCGGCCGGCGAGCGACAGAAGCTTGAGGGCTGGCAGCGCCCTCGATTGGTCCAGCACGAAGCCGTCGACCGGGCCGGTGAGTTCGACGGTGAGCGACCGGAGCTCGGCGGCCCCGGCGCGCTGGAGCAGCTGCGCGATTCGGCTCGCCCGCGGCTCGATGGCGCCGGGCCGGCGGTGGACCATGCAGATCGTCTGGGCGCCAGGCAAACGCGCCAACGCGACTCGGCGTAGTGGGCGTTGACGTCGCGCACTTCGAGTTCGATCAGATTTGACGCGTTCTCGACGGTCACGGACGGCTTGCGCTGGAGGTGGTGTTGATGATCATCGCGACCGTCATCATGTTCGTCTTCGTCGCCTTCAACGTCGTCTGTGTCGTTGTTGATGTTGGACATTTCGATGTGAGTGAGGGCGCTGGCGGCGGTGACGTGGATCGCGCAGTCGGCCGCAGTCGCGCAGTTCGAGCTGCGTCAGGCGGGGGCAGCCGCCGGTCAGGAGGAGGGCACCGATCTCGCTTCGGTGCAGCGCCAGCTCCTCGAGCTGCGACTCGCGGCCCTCCAGCTCCACACGCACCACCTCGAGCGGCCTCTCCTGCCCGCGCAAGTGTCGCAAGTGGTCGGGCCGCTGCACGTAGCTCCTGAGCACGCGCAGGTTGGGACAGCCGGCCACCACCCGCGCCACCGCTTCGTCCACCTGTGTGGCAAAGCGACGCTGACGTCAGCAGCGCATTCAGTTTAGTTCACACTAAAGAAGAATGTTATGTTATGCCCGCACGGGTCGTAGGGAGGTCACGTCGAAGGCCTCGATGGCCGTACAGCGGTCGTCGATGCAGAGGGACTCGAGGCCGCGCGACTGGACCTGGAGCCGGCGGAGGCGCGGGCAGTCGGCCAGCACGAGCCGGGTGACGGCCGTGTCCACGAGCTCGAGCTCCTCGAGTAGCGGCTGCCCGCGCAGCTCGAACTGGAAGGCCAGGCTCATGCGGTGGAGGCTGACGCGGCGCAGGTTGGTCGGCCCGTGCGGCCAGCCGAGCATGGCGCCGAGCCGCGTCAGCCGGTAGGGCTGGCCCGACAGCTCGACCACGCCCCGGCACAGCCGCCGGAGCGCGAAGGCGAGGAGCTCGTTGGTTCACAGCCGCCGGGCCGACAGGGTGGCCATCACCTCGTCGGCCAGCTCCTCGGGGAGAAGTAGGCCTGCGCCATCGTCGTCGCCGTCAGCCACCACGGAGACAAAGACGGCGGCGGCCTGGTCGAAGATGGTGCGGCTGCACAGTTCGGACAGCGGGGAGGGGGTCTGCGTGGCGGAAACGAATGCGGCCGTATCGAGGTCGTTATCGAGGAGGGCCAGCAGGTCCACTTCGTTATGCGCCATGCTTGGTCTTCGGTCTGCGCTGTGTTCAGTTATTTCGAGATATGTTGGGCAAATACCGACAAGCTGACGCGTGCATACGTGTAAATAGGAAAGAAATGGTTTTTCCTCTTGGTTTCTTCAGGAGAAGCAAGCCCAGCGAAGCTGTGGCTGGCGGTGGAGCGGCGAAGTCAAACAACACGCGGGAAGAGATCAAATCGAAAGAGAGTACAAGAACGAAAGGAAAGGCACAATGAGCAGATCCGCTGGCTACGATCGTCACATCACCATCTTTTCGCCTGAGGGGCGTCTGTACCAAGTCGGTTCGTGCCGCCCCTCACGGCCATTGTGCAGATCTACACATCCCCATCTGATCAAATTTGGGCACTGGAATCGCATCTCACTGTTCTTCAACAGAGTATGCCTTCAAGGCCATCAAGACTGAGAACCTCACATCGCTGGGCATCAGGGGCGCAGACAGCTGCTGCGTGATTACACAGAAGAAAGTGCCCGTGCGTCTCACCCTCCCAAGATGGTGCAAAATTCTCTCGATCTCATCTTTGCCATTGCCACCACAGGAGAAGCTCGTGGACCCCACCTCTGTGACACACCTGTTCAACATCACCCCTACCATTGGCTGCGTCATGACTGGCATGATCGGTACGCCCCCCTCTTCCCTCTAATCGAATGCTGTGGCGCACGTGTTTTGAGCCACATCGCTCACCTGGATGGATGCGGCATGTGCAGCCGACGCTCGATCGCAGGTGCAGCGTGCCAGAAAGGAGGCTGCTGATTTCGCCCACAAGTTCGGCTATGACATCCCAGTGTCCTACCTGGCCAAGAGGATGGCCGATATTGCTCAGATCTACACCCAGCACGCCTACATGCGCCCGCTCGGTGTCTGTACGCCTTCTCCTTCCACCCGAGCAGTCGCTACTCGTCTTTTCCCTCGCGACGCCCAGGTGTAGCGTGAGTGGCGTGTAGCGTGAGCGGCCTTTGGCCTGGCCTGGCTCTACGTGGGCTCATGGTGGATCGTGTGGTGCGCGTGCAGCGATGATCCTGATCAGCATCGACGAGGAGGAGGGTCCTCAACTGTACAAGTGCGACCCGGCCGGATCGTACGCCGGGTTCAAGGCCACCGGTGCCGGCCACAAGGAGCAGGAGGCCCGCAACTTCCTCGAGAAGAAGTTCAAGACCGACCCCAAGCTCGACGCTGACAAGACGATCAAGGTAATTCCTCAATCTGCACTCACTCCACTTCGTCCGCGACACGCACGCACACGCACACGCACACGCACACGCACACGCACACGCACACGCACACGCACACGCACACGCACACAGATGGCGATCAACGCGCTGCAGACGGTGCTGGGCGAGGATTTCAAGGCATCGGATATCGAGGTGGGCGTCGTCACGACCGACAGCCCTCGGTTCAGGAGGCTCTCCGACGACGAGGTCGACCGCCACCTCACCGAGATTGCTGAGCGCGATTAAAAAGAGGAAAGGAGAGGAATACCTTTCGCCTTGTGTGCTTCTCCCTCGCTTCAATCAGTGCCGGTGTATAGAGGAAGGGTGTCTTCTTGCCCCCACCAACAATGATCATCTTCTCCACTTTCTTCACGCGCTTCTTTTTCTTGTTTATTTATTGATTGATTGGTCTTGTGATTGTTTTAGGCGGCGATGACGTGGGGCTGGTCGGCGGCGGGACGGAGGAGGTCGTCCTTGGCAGTCTCGCCCCAGGTCCAGGCGGCCTCCTCGTGGCCGGCTCCTTTCTTCGCGATTTGCTCTGTTCGTGTCCATAAACAAGAAGAAAAGGGAGAGACGCGACGTGGTCAGCCAACAACGGGGGCGTGGGGTGCACATGTTGGGTGAATGCGCATACGAGTGATGGAGTTCTTCATCCGGACGATGAAGACGTAGGCATCGTCGGCCTCCTTCAATGCACGCTCGTAGCTCAGCGCTCCAACAGCCGGCTGCATGTAATTAGCATCATCAATCCACCAACGGAGGAACTGGCCAGGAGGTGTGGGGAGGCACCTTGGCGCGGTCGTACTGGTCGCGGCTCATGGCGCGCAGGTGGTCAAGGCGCTGCTTGGCGTGGCGCTCGGCCTCCTCGGCGTAGTGGAGGGCCTCGCGCATGCTCACCACGGCGCTCTCCCTCACGGGGCTGGAGAGGCCCTCACCAGCCCTCTTGAGCAGCTGCGTGGCCTTGTTCATGGCCTGCATCGCACGCACCTTCGCCTGATTGTACGCCTCACGCGCCTCTGTTGTCACGCACACCACCGCCGACGCCTTCATCAGAAATTGGAATCTGAGTATGCGGAGCTGGCGCCTACCGTGGAGGACGACGTGGACGTCGTGCTGGAGCTCCTCGCTGACCTCGTGTCCGGCCTCGACGGCCTTATCCCTGGCGCCCGCCACTGCGTTCTTCACGTTCTTGCCCACCTGCTGCATCTTCTGCTTGGCCTGCTCCCAGGCCCCGCGCACGCCCCCGGCCTTGGCCTCGCCCACCACCACCTCCTCGGCCTCGGCCTCATCGTGGGGTTCGCCGACCACCTCCACCCGCGCCCGTTCCTCCTCGGCGCCCATGGCCTCCACCTCGGCCTTCAGCTTGGCCACCTTGTCCCGCAGTGGCCGGGCCTCCTCACCCATCAGCTCCTCGGCCGCACGACCAACCGCTGCCCCCCCCCCACGCCACACACACCACGACACACACACGCGACACACACCACGACACATACACACGAACAGATTAGTTATAATGCATTTTATTGAATTGATGATTGATTGTTGGTTCGCTTTTACTCCCCACCGCGTGCGATGCAAGCTGGAGGCGGCGGCGGCTTAGTTGGGCTGCTTACCGCGAGCGTCGGCCTCGGCGTTCTTCACGGCAGCGCGCGCCTGCTGGGCCTTCTCCTGCACGCCGGCCTTGACCTGATCGGCCGCGTTCTCGACCTTGGCCTGGGCCTCGCGAGCGCCGGCCTTGGCCTCGGCCTTGACCTCGCGCGCCTTGTCGGCCACCTTCTCGCCGGCGTTGACCGTCGCGGCCTTGACCTCGCGGGCCTTTTCCTTGGCGTTGACCTTGGCCTTCTCGCCGGCGTTGACCGTCGCGGCCTTGACCTCGTGGGCCTTTTCCTCGACGCCAGCCTTGACCTCGCGCGCCTTGTCGGCCGCCTTCTCGCCGGCGTTGACCGCCGCGTCGCGGGCCTCTCGGGCCTTTTCCTCGGCGGCGGCCTTGACCTCACGGGCCTTTTCCTCGACGTCGGCCTTGACCTCGCGGGCCTTGGCGGCCGCCTTCTCGCCGGCGTTGACAGTTGCGTCGCGGGCCTCGCGGGCCTTTTCCTCGACGTCGGCCTTGACCTTGGAGGCGGCGTCGCGGGCCTCGTGGGCCTTCTCCTTGACGGCCTCGCCAGCGTTGACGGCGGCCTTGACGGCGGCGTCGCGGGCCTGGTGGGCGGTCTCGGCAGCCTTGTGCGCCACGTCAGCGGTCACGTCACGCGCCTTCTCAACGCCGGCCTTGACGGAGTCCTCGACCTTGCCGGCCACCTGGGCCGCGGCCTCGCGCACCTGCTCGACCTTGTGCTCGGCCTTGGCCGCCACCGTCGAGGCCTTGTCGCGGGCGGCCTGCGCACCCTCCTTGACGCCCTCCTTCACCGTCTCGCCGGCAGCAGCCGCCGCCTCCTTGATTTCCTTGGCGCCCTCCTTCACGCCCTCCTTGACTGCACAAGCGCAGAGAGCCTCGTCAGCCATTGGTGTTTCGTTTTCGCTATTCGTTTCGTTTTGTTTCGTTTCGTTGCGTTTCGTGTTTGGGGAGCGTACCGGCCTGGCGGGCCTGGTCGACCTTCTCGCAGGTGGCGCAGCGGACCTCGTCGGCCTTCTCGATGACCTCGCGGGCCTTCTCCTGGCCGGCGGCGACGGTGCCCTTCAGGTCGGCCTTCATCTCCTTGGTCGTCGGCACCTTGCCCACCTTGGCCGTGGTGGTGGTGGTCTCTACGCGGGCCTGCTTGCGGGCCTCGATGCCCTCGCGGATGGAGTTGCCAATGTCGCGGCCCACCGCAGTCACGCTGTCCCGCACGCGCTCCCAGATGGGCTTGGCCTCGTGCTGTCGTCGCTGCTCGTCGGTGAGCTTCTGCGCGTGGAGCACGAGCGACCCCAGCAGCACGGCCACCACCATCACCAGCACCGCCATGACCTTCACTCCGGCCGACATCTTCTTCCTTCTTCTTGTGTTGTGTTGAGGTAGCTGTTGTGTCGGTAGTTGTAGTGGTTAAAAAAAAAGATGGGAGTGTAGTGCGGTTCGCGGCACGTTCGAAGCAACACAAGAAGAGAGGGAGAGCTGACGTGGCTTGCTGGTGGTCTCGCAAGACGACTGGCCGCAGCTTTGCAGGTTGTCGTTCGGAGGAAATTTTGGTGCGCAGTGGGCGGTGGAATCGCCGGAATATCCCATCATCATCAGACCAACCAGATGCCGCCACGTCACCTCCTGAGTACGCGAGGCAGCAACCAAACAAAGAAAACCAAAAAAACAACATGCAGGTGTGCAGGGGGAAGTGCATTCTAGAAGAGAGAAGCCGTCAAGGCATGAAAAAAATGAGGATAAAACATCAAGTGGGGGAGGATCACACACAGGTGAGCCCGTCAGGCGGCCTATGTTGAGCAATCGTTGGCCAGCATGATGGCCATGCCAAAGTGGTAGCCCACGATACTACTGATCATGTTGGTGTTGGCCGTGCCGACCAGTCCGCCGACCCACATGTTGAAGGCCGTGTTCTCGGCCACCAGCGCGGCCGACGCCGCCAACTCAAAGGTCTCGCGGTCCACCGCGCCGGCCGAGCGGTAGACCCAGAACGACTGGATGACGGGGCACGGGTAGGTCGCCACGTCGTAGAACTCGGATGCGACGATGAAGTTCTTGAGCGCGGTCGTGGCGGCGGTGTCGGCCGGCCACGTGTTGCCGAGGCTGTGCTCGTAGGCGCCGGTGAAGGCGATGGCGGTGAGCATGTCGGCGGGCGAGGACACCGCCGCGCTGCGGAGGTCGGCGGCTTCGAGCAAGGAGCTGGCTGCGCGGGCCGAGTTGACCACGGCGGACTGGCTGAGCAGCGCGGCGCTCTTTTCCGTGCTCGTCCGATCCGTGCGGCCGGAGCAGGCCGCGTAGTAGTTGACGAAGTTGCCCGAGGCCACGCGGGCGCGGTCGAGGCTGTAGGTGCCGCTGCTGGTCAGCGACGAGACGCTGACGTGCGGGTAGTAGACGTCGACCATCGTGCCGCACAGGTAGGTGGCCAGGTCGGAGCCGCTCGCGGACGAGGGGGTGGTGACGAACACGGTGATGTTGACGCGCGTGTTGGCCGGGAGCGGGTCGACGGCGACGGTGACCCAGTTGTCGGCGGTGGTGGAGGCGAGGGTGACGGTGCCCGACGTGGTGGTGACGGTCGTGTTGTACTGCGCGAGGAGCACGCTGAGCGGTCCGATCTCGATGTTGACCGTGCGGGCGAAGTCACTCGCCGCAACGGACACGGTCATAGCCATCGCGTCGGTCAGGGTGAACTGGTTGAAGGGCGCCACGTTGCGCGCCATGCTGCTGCTCCAGAAGGCCGAGTGCGTGACGGGAGCGGCGGGCGAGGGCGAGGGCGTGGGCGAGGGCGTGTTCGGGGCCGAGGGCGAGGGCGAGCTGGAGGGCGAATGGGAAGCCGAGGGCGAGGGCGTGGGAGTGTTGGACGACGACGGCGTGGGCGAACTCGTGGACGAAGGCGACGGCGTGTTAGACGGCGACGGCGTGTTCGAAGGCGACTGCGTGCTGGAGGGCGAGGGCGTGTTCGATGGCGAGGGCGTGTTGGAGGGCGACGCCGTGGGCGAATTCGTGGACGAAGGTGATGGTGTGTTGGACGGCGACGGCGTGTTCGATGGCGATGGCGTGGGCGTGTTGGACGGCGATGGCGTGTTGGACGGCGACGGCGTGTTGGACGGTGACGGCGTGTTGGACGGCGATGGCGTGGGCGAATTCGTGGACGAAGGCGACGGCGTGTTGGACGGTGACGGCGTGTTCGATGGTGACGGCGTGTTGGACGGCGACGGCGTGTTGGACGGCGATGACGTGGGCGAATGCGTGGACGAAGGCGACGGCGTGTTGGACGGCGACGGCGTGTTGGACGGCGACGGCGTGTTGGACGGCGACGGCGTGTTCGATGGTGACGGCGTGTTGGACGGCGACGGCGTGGGTGAATTTGTGGACGAAGGCGACGGCGTCTGGGACGGCGATGGCGTGTTCGATGGTGACGGCGTGTTGGATGGTGACGGCGTGTTCGATGGTGACGGCGTGCTGGACGGCGAGGGCGTGTTGGAGGGCGATGGCGTGGGCGAATTCGTGGATGAAGGCGAGGGCGTGTTGGAAGGCGACGGCGAGTTGGACGGCGACGGCGTGTTGGACGGCGACGGCGTGTTGGACGGCGACGGCGTGGGCGTGTTCGACGGCGACGGTGTGTTGGAAGGCGATGGCGACGGCGTGGTGGACGGCGATGGCGTGTTGGACGGCGACGGCGTGTTCGATGGCGACGGCGTGTTAGACGGCGACGGCGTATTGGACGGCGACGGCGTGTTCGATGGCGAGGGCGTATTGGATGGCGACGGCGTGTTCGATGGCGACGGCGTGCTGGAGGGCGACGGCGTGTTGGACGGCGACGGCGTGTTGGAAGGCGATGGCGTGGGCGAATTAGTGGACGAAGGCGACGGCGTCTGTGTGGGCGACGGCGTGTTTGATGGTGACGGCGTATTGGACGGTGATGGCGTGTTGGACGGCGACGGCGTATTCGAGGGCGATGGCGAGTTGGATGGCGACTGCGTGGGCGACGGCGTACTGCTCGGCGACTGTGTTGAGGAGGGCGACGGCGTGCTGGACGGTGATGGCGTGTTGGACGGCGACGCGGTGTTGGACGGCGACGGCATGGGCGAGTTAGACGGCGACGCGGTGTTGGACGGCGACGGCGTGTTCGATGGCGACGGAGAGTTGGACGGCGACGGCGTGCTGGACGGCGAGACCGACGAGGAGGGCGACGACGTGGGCGACGGCGACGGGAGGGGCTCGCCGCCGAACACGACGTTGTCGATCCGCGACTGGCCGGTGCTGGTGGTGGCGCCGTCGAAGACCAGCCGCACCTGCGCGTTGGCCACGTTGTCGAGCTCGCTGCGGCCCCTGAGATCGACGGTGACCCCTTCGTAGGAGTTCGGCGTAGCCGCGGTGTAGGTGAAGCGGGAGGCGAAGTTGGTGCCGTCTGTCGAGGTCTGCACGTCGAACGTGGTGAAGCCGTTGGTCCTCGCCCTGAATTCGAGGCTGAGCACGAGACGCTGGAAGCCCCTCGAGTCAAAGGTGAAGGACAGGTAGCGCCCGTTGCTGGCCCGACCGCTGAACTCGCACGCAAAGTCACTGGCGCGCCCGGTGTAGATGATCTTGGTCGGGTCGGCCCAGTTGGAGTTCATGTTGCCCGAGCCCACCGTGGCGGCGAGCGGGAGGGGTATGGGGGCGGCGTTGACAGCCGCGCCCTCCGCATAGGTCCATCGGGCAATGCCGACCACCGGCGACGGCGACGCGCTGGGCGTGGACGACAGCGAGGGCGACGGCGTGGGCGTGTTCGACGGGGACGGCGTGGGCGTGTTGGAAGGCGATGGCGTGTTGGACGGCGATGGTGTGGGCGACGGCGTGGGCGTGGTGGACGGTGACGGCGACGACGAGGGGGTAGACGACGGAGAGGGCGTATTGGACGGTGACGGCGTGTTGGAGGCGACGGCGTGTTGGACGGCGACGGCGTGTTGGACGGCGACGGCGTGTTGGACGGCGACGGCGTAGCCGAGTTAGAGGGCGACGGCGTGTTCGATGGCGACGGCGTGTTGGACGGCGACGGCGTGTTCGATGGCGACGGCGTGTTGGAGGGCGAGGCGTAGCTGAGTTAGAGGGCGACGGCGTGTTAGACGGCGACGGCGTGTTGGAGGGCGACGGCGTGTTGGAAGGCGACGGCGTGCTGGAAGGCGACGGCGTGGGCGAATTCGTGGACGAAGGCGACGACGTCTGGGAGGGCGACGGCGTGTTCGATGGCGACGGCGTGTTGGACGGCGACGGCGTGTTGGACGGCGACGGCGTGGGCGAATTTGTGGACGACGGCGACGGCGTCTGGGATGGCGACGGCGTGTTCGACGGTGAGGGCGTGGTGGACGGCGACGGCGTGTTGGACGGCGATGGCGTGTTAGAGGTGACGGCGTGTTGGAGGGCGACGGCGTGTTGGACGGCGATGGCGTGGGCGAATTCGTGGACGAAGGCGACGGCGTCTGGGACGGCGACGGCGTGTTCGATGGTGACGGCGTGTTGGACGGCGATGCCGTGTTGGAGGGCGACGGCGTGGGTGAATTTGTGGACGAAGGCGACGGCGTGTTGGACGGCGATGGCGTGTTCGAAGGCGACGGCGTGTTGGACGAAAAAAGGCGTGTTCGACGGCGACGGCGTGTTGGAGGGCGATGGCGTGTTAGACGGCGACGGCGTATTCGAATTCGTGGACGAAGGCGACGGCGTGCTGGATGGCGACGGCGTATTGGAGGGCGAGGCGTGTTGGACGGCGACGGCGTGTTGGACGGCGACGGCGTGTTGGACGGCGATTGCGTGTTGGACGGCGATGGCGTGTTGGAGGGCGACGGCGTATTGGACGGCGACGGCGTGTTAGAAGGCGACGGCGTGTTGGAGGGCGATGGCGTGGGCGAATTCGTGGACGAAGGCGACGGCGTGCTGGACGGCGATGGCGTATTGGACGGCGACGGCGTATTAGACGGCGACGGCGTGTTAGACGGCGATGGCGTGTTAGATGGCGACTGCGTGGGCGACGGCGTACTGCTCGGCGACTGTGTTGAGGAGGGCGACGGCGTGCTGGACGGCGATGGCGTGTTCGATGGCGACGGAGTGTTGGACGGCGACGGCGATGGCGAGTTGGATGGCGACGGCGTGTTGGACGGCGACGGCGTGTTCGATGGCGAGGGCGTGTTGGACGGCGACGGCGTGCTGGACGGCGAGACCGACGAGGAGGGCGACGACGTGGGCGACGGCGACGGGAGGGGCTCGCCGCCGAACGCAACGTTGTCGATCCGCGACTGGCCGGTGCTGGTGATGGCGCCGTCGAAGACCAGCCGCACCTGCGCGTTGGCCACGTTATCGAGCTCGCTGCGGCCCCTGAGATCGACGGTGACCCCTTCGTAGGAGTTCGGCGTCGCCGCGGTGTAGGTAAAGCGGGAGACGAAGTTGGTGCCGTCCGTCGAGGTCTGCACGTCGAACGTGGTGAAGCCGTTGGTCCTCGCCCTGAATTCGAGGCTGAGCACGAGGCGCTGATAGCCCCTCGAGTCAAAGGTGAAGGACAGGTAGCGCCCGTTGTTGGCCCGACCGCTGAACTCGCACGCAAAGTCACTGGCGCGCCCGGTGTAGATGATCTTGGTCGGGTCGGCCCAGTTGGTGTTCATGTTGCCCGAGCCCACCGTGGCGGCGAGCGGGAGGGGTATGGGGCCGGCGTTGACCGCCGTGCCCTCCGCGTAGGCCCATCGCGCAATGCTGACCACCGGCGACGGCGACGCGCTGGGCGTGGACGACGGCGAGGGGGTGGACGACGGTGAGGGGGTGACCGACGGCGTATTGGATGGCGACGGCGTAGCCGAGTTAGAGGGCGAGGGCGTGTTGGACGGCGATGGCGTGGGCGAATTCGTGGACGAAGGCGACGGCGTCTGGGACGGCGACGGCGTGTTCGATGGTGACGGGGTGATGGACGGCGACGGTGTGTTAGAAGGCGACGGCGTGTTGGACGGCGACGGCGTGTTGGACGGCGATGGCGTGGGCGAATTCGTGGACGAAGGCGACGGCGTCTGGGACGGCGACGGCGTGTTGGACGGCGACGGCGTGTTGGACGGCGACGGCGTGTTGGACGGCGATGGCGTGTTGGACGGCGACGGCGTAGCCGAGTTAGAGGGCGACGGCGTGTTGGACGGCGACGGCGTATTGGACGGCGACGGCGTGTTGGAGGCGATGGCGTGTTGGACGGCGACGGCGTGTTGGACGGCGATGAGGTGGGCGAATTCGTGGACGAAGGCGACGGCGTGTTGGAAGGCGACGGCGTGTTCGATGGCGACGGCGTGTTGGACGGCGAGGGCGTGTTGGACGGTGACGGTGTGTTGGACGGCGAGGGCGTGTTGGACGGCGATGGCGTGGGCGAATTCGTGGACGAGGGCGATGGCGTATTGGACGGCGATGGCGTCTGGGACGGCGACGGCGTGTTGGACGGCGATGGCGAGTTAGATGGCGACTGCGTGGGCGACGGCGTACTGCTCGGCGACTGTGTTGAGGAGGGCGACGGCGTGCTGGACGGCGATGGCGTGTTCGATGGCGACGGCGTGTTGGACGGCGACGGCGTATTGGATGGCGACGGAGTGTTGGAAGGCGACGACGTGCTGGACGGCGAGACCGACGAGGAGGGCGACGACGTGGGCGACGGCGACGGGAGGGGCTCGCCGCCGAACGCAACGTTGTCGATTCGCGACTGGCCGGTGCTGGTGATGGCGCCGTCGAAGACCAGCCGCACCTGCGCGTTGGCCACGTTGTCGAGCTCGCTGCGGCCCCTGAGATCGACGGTGACCCCTTCGTAGGAGTTCGGCGTCGCCGCGGTGTAGATGAAGCGGGAGACGAAGTTGGTGCCGTCCGTCGAGGTCTGCACGTCGAACGTGGTGAAGCCGTTGGTCCTCGCCCTGAATTCGAGGCTGAGCACGAGGCGCTGGAAGCCCCTCGAGTCAAAGGTGAAGGACAGGTAGCGCCCGTTGTTGGCCTTACCGCTGAACTCGCACGCAAAGTCACTCGCGCGCCCGGTGTAGATGATCTTGGTCGGGTCGGCCCAGTTGGAGTTCATGTTGCCCGAG